TGCGAGAGATGCGACAAAGGCAGGTCGAAGGAGATAGCAGGAGGCTCTGGTCGCTTAGACGCGCTTGTGCTGGGCAGCCGCAGCGCCGGGTCGAAAATCGATACGGTTTGTATGGGGTTTTGATAATGTATGATAAGAAGAAGGCGTTCGGGCCTGTGTGTGGTCGCGCAGTAGTTGTGAGGTAAGCTCTTGGGTAATGGAAACAGAGATGGGCTCGAACGGAGGGGCGGAGTGCTGGACTTGAAAAGGCGGGCGGACCACTCTCTGCTGCCCAGATCACCTCCTCCCGTGTGGTTAAAGCTCGACACTCGACTCGCCTCCAGGAAGATGTGCCCTCTGGCGCGCAACGAATCGCAGCCGCGCGAACGCTGCTGGGCACTTCCAACGCGCAATGACGGCCAAGCGTGCGGGAGCGCGGTTGGCCGACAGCTCAGAATTTTCTCGCGGGGTGCTCACGCTGCATCACGGCTCTGGCAGGCAGGCTTCGTGCAAGACGCCTTGGTGGAGGACGCCGAACATGGCTGCCCCAGCCGAGCTGGATCGCGATACTGCATACGGCGTAGCTGCGTGTTTAGTTCCCGCGCCACTAGAAACTTTTACACGCTTTCTCCGGTTCTCCATGGACGCGCAGTGCAGACTGCGAGCCTTGGGGTGTTATCTAGCAGGCGTCTCCCATCCAAGGGCGATCGACCGCGACATCTATGCATCTGTCTGATTTCATCTGCGCAGCCATGAAGTGTTCCTGTGAAAAGCAAGCAACTCGTCGTCGCATCGACACCAGCCCACCGACGTCGGAGCGCGCTGCCCCTGCACCGAGGCCACGCACCTCGTCCGTATGAAGCCATCCTACTCGCAGGCGGCATATGTAAGGCTGACGAGCATGTTCCATCTGATATGACGAGGGGTGCAGCTCGCGATAACGATCGATACGAAGACCAGCCAGTCCATCCGACATGCCTCACCGATGAACCTTCGACGTCTTCTCAGCCGTGACCAGGACAACGCCAGTAGCTGAAGCGCAACGGAATTCCGATCACGCTCTTTCGCTCGTCACGTGGCTTGACTCTCCCGCTAGTCTGGGGACGGAATTTTGCGAACAGCGAGCAAGGAGCCAAGCCGGCCTCAAAGCCTGACGCATGCACAGCACACCACTACCACACATCTGGTACTCTAGACAATTCTCTCCGCCAACGCTGCATCCAGCTTCCGAACCGCTACCGAAGTCTAACCTAGGGATCACCGGAGGTCGTTGCTTTATGCACCACATGAGTCCTATTCGCCCGAAGCAGCCATAGCGTCACCACGCTTTTTCTCGGCTCTGCGAGCAGGTGACCTTTGACGCGGTCGAGACTTTCGTACGAGGAAATTGGCTGCGCCTTGTCACATCGTGACATTGACATCCAGCCGTGTCGAATAGTCGAGACGTGTCAAATCGGCATCGTCGCGGCATCACACAGTCGGAATTGCCTGCTAGATGCGGCTTCCTCGGATTGCTCTACATGAGCCCCGGAACATGCAATCTTGAGATCATAATTCATGTATAACAATGCGCACTATGAATTCCAGAGAAGTCTAGGAAGCAGCAGCATGCCTGTGAGTGCCGTGCCGTGTCGTCTTGCCTTCAAGTGGCCCAGCGACTAGCGAGGCACTACTGCCAGTATGAACGTAAGAGTAGTCAAGCAGTGTAGACTCTCAGTGCAACGATTTTGGTTGCATGTTCATCAGCGACAATTGTTTGCTCCGGACACTGTTGATCGCTCATGCTAACTTCAATCGCCACGTGTGGCATCATCATGGAAAGGGCGAGTACCGCACAGGTTCATTCCTCACCTCTAGAGGCAATGAGACGAGACATTGGGGCATTCAGTCTCCAACACGCAACCCTCAAGCGACAGTTCTCACCTCTACCAGGATATCCAAGCATCGACATAGTCTCATATGACTTTCATCCTGTTTTCAGCAGTATCAGATCCCGCATCAATCACTCGGTCAGCTCCTAGTCGCTAGTCGCCAGCTTCGCGCGCAGTCTATCGTTTACGAGGGTGCTCCGCACGATATAAATTCCCAAAGCATCGCGCTGACGGTAGGCAGCAATGACATTTTCCGAGATAGCGGGACGGCTGCTGAAAGGGTCAGGACACTCGCAGCCACCGCTGGTCAAAGAGCAGCTACCTAACGCCCGTCTTTCACCAGATCGGACCAGTATCTCGTCTCTGCTCGCTTCGCCAGAGTCAGACAACGGCAATATCATAGCTGGTGAAGGCATGCTTGGCAGCCATCTTGGTGAACAAAGAGGACACTCCGTCGCCTCTTCATGGGCTAAAACCCGGCCCTTGTCAGACATTCGCGAAGTCACCGAATCAAGCTTAGCTGATACTATACCTCGAAACGCCCTATCTAATTACTTTCCCCGTAGCATCTCGCGCACGGAGATGTCGCGTCGGCCCTCTGCTGCTACAGGACGCCGTCCAAGCAACGACAACCGACATGGCGAAAACATAGAACCTGACCGGAAGAATAGCATCGAAAGTAACGGTATAAGATCCACCTGCAGAGGTCGGGCTTCTAGAACACCATCTCCGTCAAGTCCTGCAGATAACGTCAGCATATGCAGTATATACAGCGTTCCAGCAGGCAACGTTCCGCCACGATCCTCTTCACGCCCTCGTGCACCTAGCACCTCACGAACCCGACAGCCGCAACAGATACCACCTATACACATAACGCAGGCGACAGCGACAAACACAATTAGTGCAATACCTACTATACCTCTCCAGCCTCCTAATAACAGTTCCAACACTATCCTTCGACACGGTCAATCACAGTCTCCTCTACGCCACATCGTTGCTCGCCTCGATCCTAAATCTCAAGACATTAACCGACGCATACCCTCCAGGACGTTTGTTCGTGATCCACTATCAAAAGAGTTGCTAGAGTTTCCATTACACCGACATCCACGAATTGAGCTTGGCTTGGACTTATCCGCAGGCATATTCGTAGGCGGAAGCTCTATCGAAGGGACTGTTCAGATAAACGTCGACGATGCAGAGCGAATACGTCATAGAAGGACTCTGGACATTGCTCGGATATCTATCGATCTTCTTGGGACGGAGGAGATAAGCGGTAACAGACGAGCTGTCTTTCTCAACCTAGCCACAGAGCTTATTGACGAGCAAAATCCGCCGCCTCAGAATATGGTAGATACCCAAGAGCCAATAAGTTCAGCAGATATATTCTGGCATCTGATGCCTTCTACGACGAACCTTGCTTTCAACCTAAGTTTACCTCTCAACGTCGGGCCTCCGCCCTTCCAATCGAAGAATGCAAGGATCCGCTACATACTTTGTGTGTCTCTTCTTGTTCGCGACCAAGGAAGACAGTACATTGTCAGAACTTCTCAAGACGTTATAGTGCTCTCAGTGTACGATCGTATGAAATGTTTCGGTTTCGGTTTTGTGGTTACATGCTAACACAAGGTAGCTGAGAAGGCACTTGTGTCGCTTCCCAGCCCCTTGACTGCATCAGATGAGTGGATCAAGCCCCGAGAAAACACTGTCGAGGTCGTTCGGGTCACAGCAGGTCTACATCGTCAAGTCTGGGTCAGCGGTACTAGCCTTTACGTCGATGTCCATATTGCCAATAACAGTCGCAAGACAGTAAAGAAGATCGAGCTTCAATTGGAAAGGGACATACTATGCTACAAACACGTCTGTTATGAGTGCATATTCTACGATCACACAATGATGCTAATGGGAGTACTTTGCAGGCTGCTGCCGCTACGATGGAGAAGTCTGCTGGTCAGGCTCGCATTTTTGACAGCAACGAGCGGTCTATTCTCAGCAAATCCATCGTGAGGAATGGCTGCGCTGGCTGGAGCGGCGTTTCTGCACACCAAACTCACATCAGAACTTGTGATCTTGAGGTACCTCGAGGCCATGGTACGGTGAAGTGTGGTAGGTGCTTCATCATGGCGTAACATGAGCCGCCTTTCTGACTGAAGTAGGCAAGTATTTCGAAGTCAGGTACTTCCTGAATGTCATCATCGCGAGTGCACATACGTAAGTATCCGCATGATTCTCCCCGATGAAGCTGACCTTGTTCAGAAAGCTCGTTACCGTTCAGTTACCAATCGTACTCATCCACATGGTACGTCTCATGACCAACCCCTCTCTCGCACCCGCTGATCATCACATCTCAGAACTCTCTGGACGTAGTCCCCAACTCTGTCGCCCAAGTGGCCATGGCTATCGAAGAGAAGCGCACAGCCCGCCATGGTCGCCGTCCATCCGAATCGGTTCAAGGCCGCGCATTCGCAGCACCGCGCATGCAATCTCTGGAACGCATGCGCGCACGTGAGGAAGCCATCCAAGAACTCGGTCAAGCCCTCGAGCAGAGTCCTCGCAAATATGGTCTCCGCCGCGCAAATTCCAATTTTGATTACCATACCCCACCTTCCAATCGCAAAGGCAGAATCGTAGGCGATGGCGAAGCAGCAGACCTCCAGGACCGTTTAAGGCGCGTGAGATCCAACGAGACGATCGGATCCAGACCTCCTACCCTCCACAGGGTCAATTCGACACGGTCGAGACGTGGCGCAGGATCGGCGTTTGGGTTTCGCGAAGCGGAGGTTCGGGAGGACATCGAGCTGGGTGGCTTGGGTGCGTCAGGGGATGGGCTGCTAAACGAGAGACTAGCCAGGAGCAGTGATCGGCAATATCGGTTTAGCAAAAAGAAGAGCGTGGAAAGGTGGAAGGGTGTAGCAAATGTGGGTGTTGGGTGGTTGAAGGGGAATGGGGTCAAGGATGAGAGAGAGCGAGAGGGATGGATATGATCTCGCACTGCTTATTATGAGCCCTGTACCTTGGATAGCGCGTCAGCATGTGCGACGCATTGACTGGCGACGTTGTCTTTCTCTTCTTGGTTCTGGATACGCAACACGTTGTTAGATAATGGCATTGCTACGTGGAGACCTCACGTACACTACGAGCAGCGATAAATTAATGTTGTTTGAATTGTACTATCATATACATGATAGTCTAAAACCCTCGATATATAATACAGTCATGTCGTGATATAGTCGTTAACCTTCTTTGGAACCCTTGCCATGCAATATGATACAGTTTTGTACACAGTACGCCAAGACAGTCGTAGCAGTAGAAGCTCTCTCATAAGGCTATGCTTATGACCTGCTCTTGGCAAGCTCAGATTGAGCGGTCGAAGTGGGACCTCCCTTTACGCGCTCTCCACCAGTGACCTTCTTCTCACCCTCGGTGATGTCGTGTAGAGCCTCGCTAGTGATGGGCTCCTTAGCATGGCTCTGCGCCTGCGCAGTAGGGCCTCCGGCTACCGGTTGTGCCTTGCCAGTGAGCTTCTTCTCAGCTTCAGTGATCTTGCTCAATGTTTCTGAGTCCAGCTTTCCTGAAGCAGAGGAGTTGTTGGCATTGTTGGTGGATGTCGATGAGCCAGATGTAAGAGCGGACTGGGCGATGGACGTTGGGCCTCCTTGCATAACCTCAGCCTTGCCGGTAAGCAGCTTCTCGCCCTCGGTGATGTCGTGAATGACTTGTGCTGTCAGGTTCTGGCCAGCGTGCTGTTGAGCTTTTGCGGTTGGGCCCCCCTTCGCTGGCTCATCCTTGCCGGTGATAAGCTTCTCTGCCGCAGTGATCTGCGAGATGAAGTTGGAGTCAACTTGGACGGACATCATCTGTGTTGTTGTAAAAAAGCGGTGGTTGCTGAGGTCGTTGATGTTGTTTCTGAACGGTGGTCTTTGAGAGGCAATGCGAGCTGCCGGTCGTGCTGCGAGGAAAACGTTGCGGTTGATACGAAGCATTCTGGAGGCCATTGTTGCGGATTGTTTATATGCCTATTGAATGGGAAGGTGCAATGGTGCGAGCTGTGTGTCCGATTTTGTAGTGTGATGGATTACTGATGTAATGCGAAAATGAAATCGTCTGAGGGTGTGCTTGGTGTGACGTTAATATGGGGAAAGATGGATTCAGATGGCTATTGGCAACTTCTCGATTTAAATGTTCGACCGTGCACAGCAAATCTCTGCATCACTGGCGACGACATCACGCTTGATGACCCTGAGATGCAGGTACCATATCACCGATTGCCGCAGCGACTTCTCGATGCGTGCCCATGATGTGGTGGAGCTATGATGTCAGCATCCTGGGGAACGAGAGCGACGACGATTCGGGTGCACTAGCGGTGAGCTAGCATCACGATCCGATCTAAGGGTCCAGACGCAAACTTCACAACCTCATTCACGATGACGATCCTATGCGAATCGGATAGCACAAGAAGAACCCACTGTAATGATTGACAAGTCGCTTTGGCGATTTGCGTTCGGTCATAGACCCAGAATGAACAACTCATGTCAGATCGTCAGAATGACACACTGGCCACCAACACCCTATGCAATTGTAGCGACGTAACGGCGAGTACTAAGATATGGCGGATTTATCTTGTATTTTTTTAACTACGGATGCTGCTCCATCAGGCGAACGCACCCGGGCGGAAAACGCTCCCTCCGAACAGATCGCAAGTACACGTGCTGATCAAGCCATCGAACCGTTCCTGTCGCGCAGTGCTTGTGTACTTCTTTCACTGATAGCATCCTGCTCGATACTGATCCGTATCTCTGTAGTCATCACCACGTTTCCCATTGGCAACGCAGTTGTTCCATCCTCGTCCATACGCGCATACGTCGAGGGGCCGAATCGTGAACCGCGCGCGTTTTCTCCTAAACCATCCTTCGTAATCCCATGCCCGTCGCTTATTCCAGAGATATGACGCGAACCGGCCTGCGCGTTAAAGCCCTGCGTCGTGAAGTCGACAAGTTGATTGAGGATGTCGAACTCGAGTTTCAGCTTGATGGCGTAGGCGAGTGTTTTCCAGCTTGTCTGAACCTCATAAAGACCAGCATATTGGAAAGCGAGGATAGTAACGTCGAGCGCGATGACAACCGAATTCACGGCGATAAGATGATTGAAGAGGCGCTTCGCATCTGGGCCTCTGAACACAGCCGAGCTGCGCATGAGTATGAAGGTGCGATAGATGTACAGCCCGCTGATGACACACTCTTGAAAGACAAACCACGTAACCTGGAATATTTCCCACTTCTCGTAGATCTGGAGCCACTTTCCAGGTTTCGCCAGACTGGATCCAGTCATAAGCGTAGTTGCTCCTCCTTGCACGACAATGCAGTCCGCGATGATCATGTATAGCAACCATTTGTCCGTCTTCCCTGAGCTGATGAGATGCAGCCGCGACCAGAGTACGATAGATTGGCCAGTAATCATGAGTATGCCCCCGCCGCACGCCATGGTGATCTCCAGTGGAATTGAGTCGCATACATTATAGTTGCGGATGAAGTAGCCGAAGGCGTGTATAATGATACCGAGAGACGCTGCGATCAGCGCGTAGAAGTAGACCCCGCGATATGAGCGGAATCGACGGAAGATTGTGACGAAGACCTCAAGAGAATGAGAGACGGCGAGTGCGAGGAAGACGATGACGATGAGAGAGGTCCTGTAGCTCAACGTGGGATTTGAGCCCATACCTTCAGCTCGATCAACCAGTCGGAAAGCCATTGTTGGTGTGACTGTTACCGAAATCACTTCCTACAAGATCGTGAGATGCAAAGACCAAGATGAGCTTGGTGCAGTTGCGATTGTAAAGTTCATCTGGATAGCTGGGGAAAGGCCGCGGGGATCAAGACCCGATCGTGGACCGCCTTCTCCTACTCAAAAGACTTGCAACGATTCCTATTCACACCACACTTGAGGCGCACGCTGAGATTCGTTGGCCTCATTCTGTACTCGTTCGATCCAGACTGACCGCCACCAAACTTTGAATCCTTCGATCCGTGCCCCACACCCTGGTTCCTGGCTGAACGTCGATCATCACTGGCTCGCATGCATCATCCGCGGCCCGCCTGCAAGGAACATATGTTCGAGGGCATGTCATCACGACGCAGATGAAGGGGCTGATGCGAAGCCTTGCTTTTGAAACGCGGATGTGAGTAAGGAGGGCTGCTAGCAATGTTGGGGCGGGGAAGATGTCCACCAATAGAATGAAAGGGGGGACACTCTGATCGCTGCTTGTATCCTTGTCAATCAATTTTAACGGCAACGTTGTGCCGCTTGCATCAGGCCAGTATTGCTTCACACCACGCGGCAACCAGTTAGTGTTCGCGTATAAGTCCTAGTGAGTATGCGTTTTGGTAGCGGATCGTTTCGACGATGCTATTTCACGCTACGCTAATAATCCACAAGACAAGACACACGCAAAAAAAAAGAGGCATGGATCAACGTTGAGTCTGGTACAGAACAGGTATTGTTTGACTAGAGCTCGCCGGGTTGTGGTCACTATGGCTCACGCATTGTCAACGGTTGCTGATTGCCCACCGAATCATAGACTGGCACAGAATTTTGTTTCTTCGATGTAGGGTTATTGACTAAGATGCTAGACCAACATGCGTACTTCTAAGCCACGATCGGAAGCATTTCTCCAGCTATAGATCAGACAGTTTCCTGGAACCAGGCAGCCAAGACTATCCAACGGATACTATGCCGCACGAAATGCTCACCGCCCTTTCAATTACAGACGTATTGTGTAAGCGATGATTTCCTTCTGTGAGGGGAGTTGACCAAGTTGTTGTCATTTCCAGAGCGAATGTGACAAAAGGTACGCAAAACTTACGCTTCTGCAATCGCCTCATAGAGCTGTCGTTCTTAGATAAAATTACGAGGTGTCCAATTGTGTTGCCGAATATAGTGAGGAAGCCAGCATCTGTAACACAAGTAGCCCAGTAATTCTAACTACGTGATGACTACCCTCGACACCAGCTAAAAGCTCTAGTATGACACGATCCGTGACACCAACAAGGGCTACCATGCGCATAATCGTTGGGGAGCATCGTACGATTAGCTCTGTCGAGCATTCATACTTTCGCTCTCTCACATTTGGATATGACCTGGGGTCGTCTTCATCTGTCGATTCTACGCTGGGAAGATCGTCGTCCCCGACGTCATGATGGACACTGCGAACGTGGCTCGCAAGCTCAGGGCGATCCAGAAGAGTGCAAATGAATTAGTTTGATACGTAAATTATCCACCCGGTCTGAAAGTGTTCGTAGAGGGTTTCTGTTGCGATTTCATTGAGCTTGCGCGAAGCCAAGCAGATCTTGAAGAGTCATCATAATGTGACTTCTTACGTCAAGATAGCGACCTGTTTCGAATGTAGATGTTACTTAGGCTTAGCATTTCGTGCATTCGAAGTCAAATTGAGCTTCAGTCGAGGTTTGCGTCTCGGAGTTCAAGGCTTAAGATGGTAGTGTAGATCTGATTTGTGGTCGAGCATTTGAATAGGACTGTTGAAAGTCAAGCATTCGTTTTGGCCCGGCAGGTAGACGGTCCCATTCTGCGCATGGTCTGCTCTTACGTGTACCAAACTAATTTATACTGGATGCAGTAAGCAAACCAGAAAACGACAAAGCGTATGTGCTTTCACAATCCACTGATGGTACAGATCAACCCTCTACGATGTACGATAGCAAGAGACAAAGACTCGGCGATGGGTTCATCACCAGTAGTAGAAGTGTTCTTATTCAAGCCAGAATAAAAAGCTCCTCGGATAGCAATGTGCTCGAGTAGATAATGAGTGGGTTGACTCTAACTGAGTCTCGACTCCTCGCATATGCGCGTGGATGGATCAAAACGATACCAGTTCTGGAGAACTCTCAGGTATTAGGATGTTGTTTATAGAGAGAGGACCACCATAATACCTAGGTAACTTGAGAATCTGGTCTCGAGCACATGTACAGCCATCTTTGCTAGAGCATGGTTTAGCATGGGAAACCTCGAGTTGTACGCATACGTGCTGATACCTGCCCCTGTAAGTAGACAACTGATCTGAGAATATCGTGTCAACATAGGCCAGTCCGTCTTATCGTGTCGTAGAACAAGGCCAGAGGAACTGACGTGTCTGATATACACATCGAGCAGGATGTCGGCGCGGCTTGACCGTGTAAGGACACTGAGTAGATAGCATCTGGCCCGATCATAGCTTATCGTACAAGCGGAAGAGTTAGAGAATTGTTGCGAGAAATAAGAGAGGACGAGTTCCATAGTAAATATGCATTGTAGGTGTGGGAGGTTGGGAATGCAGACGCGGGTCGCGACGCGATTTGGCATTCGAGTGGACGGCAACAGCCAAGCAAGTGGCTTGAGGTCAAAGACAGCACGTGCACGTCGGAAGTTCTTGCTGTCGCTCCTGAGGTCCACTCAAACACCATCGCCATAAGTCTTACATCTGAAGCCATCGTCGTACAAGCATGTTGCTGCAGCCACGTCTACCATCTCATAATTCGCCAGAACTTGGCAAGAGGATCCTTTCCCCCGCGCATTGCCTGTTCCTACAATGTTCTCAGATTTATGACCTAGCCAGGTAGCAGATTTACAGCAAACAGGCTGCAAGTGGCTTGCGACAGCTCTTCGACGGACCCTCCCTGCAGCATGTCTCGAGCTGGTGGGGCGTGTTCGATCCGTACGATCCTGATAGTCTGAGGTTGAGAAGCAATTGTTACAATAGTGGGATGTAGCATCCTTTCCTGTTCTTACGTTTGGCACTGATAAGGTCTTGGAGGACGAGCCGACGTACTACCGACGTCTGGGTTAGTGCTTGCCGAACAGGATGTAGGCAATGTGTCAATAAGACCTTATCAATCCAGAGCCGCTTGATGCGCCATCTCGAGCTAACGGAAAAGATCCGACGGATAACCCATGCAACGAGTGTGCGCCGACGGGAATTCGCTGCAAGCCGTGTAATAGCGAGTTGGGGAGTTGATAGCCGTAAAGTTAGGTGAGGCAACAATAGCGGGGCAATTGCCGATGCCGGGCAGTACTCCAACGGCTATCTAAGAACATCGGTATATTGGTATTATGTCGGCATTACATGAACAAGATCTCATCAAGAAAACGTACTGCATACACTTAGTCTTTGAAAGCTTTCTCCAAGTTTCGAAGGTACGTCGCAAGATTGAGTGTAAGCTGTATGAATGTGCCACATATTAACAGATTGACAGGAACAAAAACACATCTAAAGCGATGTCTAGACCTGAAGTGCGAATCCCTCAAGGTACTGTTGTAGGCACCACCTTACGCGGCGACTACCCTCGTGCGGTTGAAGCCTTCAAGGGCGTTCCTTATGCATTACCACCAACAGGTGAACGCCGCTTCCGACCACCAGAGAAAGTGGCACCAAGTCAGGAGACTATCGATGCCTCAAACTTCGGTCCAAGAGCGCCAGCACAGCAGTTCATCGTGCTTGGACCGACGCTCGAGGAGAGTGAAGACTGCCTTACTGTTAACATCTTCCGACAAGCTGAACACAATGGATCAAACGCCCTGCCAGTGGCAGTGTATCTTCATGGAGGGGCTTTCAATCGGGGAAATGCCGCAATGCATGACACTGCATCCATGGTGGGATGGTCTGAACTTCCGTTTGTTGCAGTGTCATTCGGCTATCGTATAGGAGCCCTAGGCTTTCTACCATCAAAGCTGAGCGCCGCAGAAGGCGCGCTCAACTTAGGTCTGAAGGATCAGATGTGCTTGCTGGATTGGGTTGAAGAGAACATCCAGCACTTTGGGGGTGATAGGAACAACGTAACGCTCATAGGACTTTCAGCCGGCGCACATTCTGTGAGTACAAGCCTGTGTTCTTTCTGATCAGCCTGACTGACATTTCTCTAGATAGGACACCACCTCTTGAATTACCAAGAGGGCAAAAAGCCTAAGTTTCACCGTGTTGTCATAGAATCTGGAGCTCCAACGTCCCGCGCCGTCCGTAAGCCAGACGCAGAAATCCACGAGATGCAATTTGCCGACTTCTTGAAGAAAGTTGAATGTCCATCATCACTACCCGAGTCAGAGATATTTACCTACCTCCGTAAACTTCCGACTTCCGCAATCGCTAAAGCCCAAACTAAGGTCTTCCAAAAGTATAACCCCAGTCTACGTTGGGCGTTCCAGCCAGTGATTGATAACGAAATCATTCGCCGCCGTCCAATTGACGCCTGGCGAACAGGGAAATGGCACAAAATGCCAATCATGACCGGATTTCAAGGCAACGAAGGCTCACTGTATGTGAACAAAAACATGTCGACCTCTGCAGATTTTCTGGGTTTCTGGAAGACATTGCTGCCGCAGATGAGCGAAGATGATATTCAAACGATAAACCGTTTGTATCCTGATCCGACAGAGGTACCCGAATCCATCTATAAAGAGACACGACTCGAGCACGGTGTTGGCCCAATGTATAAGCGTATCGAAGCGGCTTATGCACACTATGCATACGTGGCCCCAGTCCGTCAAACGGCTTTCTATGCTAGCCAGGATACCCCCGTATATCTATACCACTGGGCAATGAAGCGGGATATCGTCTATGGAGCTCGTCACGCAGACAACATGTTCTATGAAGTAAGAGATCCTTCATTCATCGCGAAGTCTAAGAGCCAGGACGAGTTGTCGGGTACTCTGCATGCCTACGTCACTAGCTTCGTTTGTACCGGCACCCCAAATGCGCTTGGCGGCTCGTATGCCAACAGAACGGAATGGAAGCCTTACAATAGATCAGATCCGAAGGTGATGATCTTTGGAAGAGACAATACGGAGTTGATTGGTGGAGAGACTATCGGCGAGCCGGCTATCATGGTTAGTGACACTTATGCGAAAGAGGAAAGTGATTTTTGGTGGTCCAAGGTTGAGCTGTCTCAGCAGTAGTTCTCTAAGTGTACCAGGGGTTCACACATGTGTATCGAGAGCCCTCCATGTTCTATTCTGGACATCGAGTTGAACCATTCATATTCTTCTTCCACTGTTACTCACATTCATAGTTTAGCTTGCGGCACGATCTCGTTAACCAGAGCAACAACCTTCTCAGCGCATCCGTACGACCCCTGATAGCCCCACCCAGCGTGTCCATAATTGTGTATGACCCAGATTCCATCCATTTTCTCCCTCTCGATTCTGACGCCAGATTCCCTTCCAGGTCTTAACCCAACGCCATGTCTAATAACATCAAGATGTTCCGGCCCTTGGCCATCTGTCAGCTCAGGGGACATACTCACAGCTCTCTTCATGATGCGACTGGCGGTGTTGAGATCCGGTTGGCTCTCCCAGTTTCCATTCTGCATCGTGCCTCCTAGGATTGTTCCTCCACCAACAGCTCGTGTCATCATATAACATGCCTGATCGTCGCCGTCATCCGTTCCAGAAACGCATATCATCGCTGGGGCCACGTTTCTCACTACGACCACTTGCCCGCGGATGGGGTAACAACTTTTATCCTCGACACCTCCTAGCTTGGCAGATGATAGTCCTGTCGCATTGACAACGATATCGGGACTGAAACCATCAACACCAATGGATCGTAATTCAGATACATGTGTTAAAACTTTTCGATGAAACACCACTCCGTTTGCGCGACATTGGCCCACTAGCCATGGGAGATAAAGCGCCGGGTTGATGCATACAGAGCCGAATTCACAGCCTGATGCCATTCCTGATGGCATCTCGGAGATAGGGAGATCTCGGTAGTCGTCCACCAGTTCGCGCCACCAGGGGTTCTCAGCAAACACGTTGCTAAAAGTTGTGCCGCCACTACTTCTTAGCTTATCCATGTCTTTTCGTCGGCGATAGATTCGACATTCTAATTTGTTAGCCATGGACCGTGATATGTAACGGTAGAAGAGATTACTGACTCTGAAGATGGATGCCTGCTTCTGGTACATCTGTCGCTAACCGCTTGAGTTGGGGCCATGTTTTGCGTTCATATTGACTATCTGATGATGAGGACATCCTTCCCGCTATGCGTCAGCTGATTTTGTAGCTTGTAGCTTTTGTGTGCAAGCTTACGGCATGAAGTTTGCGCCAGCCCATGGTGATGCATATTCAATGTCGTGGTCGCCTGGCATATGCTTTGCTACAACAGCGATCTTATTGCTTTGATCCTTGGATAGGAGATACGCTGATGTCAGCCCGGAGACTCCTGCTCTTCACCACAAGATGTGTTAGCTGTAGAAAGACGACGTCTGCTGCACGATGGAACGAGCTTACCCAATAACGATGATATTAGGCATTGTGTAGCTGTCGTTGTACAAACGTCACGTAGGTGCGCCAACGATTACCGGGACTTGTTTGCAAGGTTCAATGAACGACGGGCTATTGTCTCGAGGTGCACAAGCGGTTATTGGCCTCGCTAAGCCTTAAGTAGTCGACGGGTCAAAGGTGCATGTTCGACGCCAAGCCCGCACCGCAAGTTCTCCGCCGGATAACCCAAAGCTTCCGGTATCCACGATCGGGTCCTACCATTCGCGAGGCTCATGAATGCTGACCTTCGTTAACTGTATTGCGCAGGCCTGAATTAAGTGATTTCTTGGAGGATTCATGCTTCCAGTTCGTTATCGATAAGATTGCGTCACTCAATCAGGCAAGGCGTCGGCCGCACCCTCCCAGCTCCTGCACGTTCCCAACAGCTACATCTTCCGAACCATCACGACCAAAGAGAACCGCACCTACACCCCGGTCACGCTTACAGTCTCGCAATTGGCATCTCCAAAACTGCGACACAATCCATCTCGACTTTGGCACCGAGAGCCAGCTGCGGAACCGGTATGCACGTCCGGCACTACGATGCAATGTCAAAACGATTACTTGCCACACCGCCACGTAAGTGACCTACCGGTTTCTGATCGAATTTGGAGAAGAACTTATCATATACTTCATTCATGGCCTTGAAGTCGTCCATGGAGGTGATAAAGATGTTAAGTTTGATAACGCTAGCAAGGCTACTACCAGCTGCTTTGAGTATGGTGGACAGGTTTTCAAGTACCCGATGCTGAAGCAATATAATTAGCCGGTGTTGACCTCTTCATGGTACATATATTTACTGTCTCTGCTTGTATACCTCCCGGGATGATCTGCATCGTTTTCCCCTCGAGCGCAAGGCTACCAGAGCAATGAACCATACCGTTGCATACTACCGCCTGTGAAGCGTTGAGTGGGGCGGCTGGCGCGTCTTCCGTGTATATTGTCTTTCTAGACATGGTCAAAACAGTATCGGATGTAGAATTAGGTACCGAAAAGGATATCTGTCATCAAATCAACTATCTGAGAAGGATTGCAGCAGGTAACTATCTAATCTTGGTGACATATCGCACATTGTACGATTTGCATTGGCTTGAGAGATGCCGTCCTCGGAGCTCTCGTACAATCGATAGATCGGGAAATAGATAGATACAAGGACAGAGATATGCCGACAGCAACAACATCCAGCCGAAGTATTACCGAGACGCTAAAGGAAGGCTAACGGCGGCTAGCGCTCACTAAAAGTTCTGACCCTGGATATCACAAGACACTAATTGTATCTCCCATCTGCAAGTATGTGGCGTTCTTATCACTACCGACGTCGCATCGCTACAGTTGCTGTAACGTTCTCATACTGTTGCATACTACTAATGTTGACCGGGGCAGCGACCCACAACTTCGATTCCTAACCCAGGGTGCGGGTTTCCAGCTTGTACGGAAGCACTGCTCCGCCTGATAACAAGATAGGAATAAAGTATGGAAGCTTCTTCCGAGCAACATGATTGGATAGTCGATACCTGTCATCGAATGTCCTCTTATCGAGACCCGCATAGGTTCTGCCCATGCGCAATCGGAATCCCATAGCGCGGGGTACGTCGTCAGACAAAGCGGCTTTCAAAGTTGGGGTAAAGTCTATGGGCAAGATTAAGTATATGTATGGTCGAGCCTCAGAGATATTGGGAGTGCGTCGCCAGTCCATGTTCGTTCTTCACCATGCAACCTGAACTGAACGCCCTCAAGGGCGACGACAAAGCAGTGGCCATGTCGAAAGACTTAGAGATCCAGCTGGACAATATGGATGGCAACTCTCTCAAGAAGGAAGAAAGCGCCATGGTGGGCGAAGTCGAAGACCTGGACGAAGCGAACCTATTTCTGCGGCAACACAATATCACTCCCCAGTACATTGCCGAGCTCCTCGAAGACCAAAATGCGAACAAGAAGGTCTCCAGGAAAGTCGATTTGCTATTGCTACCACTGCTATGCGGAACGTATTTCCTCCAATACATCGACAAGCAAGCGATCAGCTACTCTGCCGTATTCGATCTTTTCGAAACCACTGGTATCACCGGCGATCAGTATTCCTGGCTGGCATCAATCTTCTACTTCGCCTACTTGTTCGCAGAATGGCCATCAGCATACCTTGCGCAGCACTTCCCGACTGGTCGAGTCGTGTCAATTTACTGCTTCTGTTGGGGCTCAGTTATGTTACTTACAGCCGCTACGCACAACTTTGCGGGCTTTGCTGCCATGCGATTCCTCCTTGGTGTCTTCGAGAGTGTCGTCACCCCGGCTTTCATGATGGTAGGTCTTGATTACATAGCAGACATATGACACATACACTGACTTTACACCTTCGCCTTTGCAGATGGTTGGAATGTGGTACGTCGGGAAGCAGCAGCCTGCAAGAGCAGGTATGTTCTACTGCTTTAATGGCATCGGTAGCGCCGTTGGTGGTATACTCTTCTACGGCTGTGGATACGCAAAGACCTTCGTCGTCTGGAAGATCATATACATTATATGTGGAGGTATGACCGTTCTTTGGTCCATACTTCTCTTCTTCAGACTGCCGAACAACATCATGACAGCCAAAAGCTTTACTACAGAAGAGAAAGCTCTTTTGATCGCCCGTGCCGCCAGCAACCGTACTGGAGTTTACAACAGAAAGATCAAACTACCGCAGGTCTTGGAGGCCCTGATTGACCCTCAGATCTGGATACTCTTCTTCTTCGTCTTATGCAATGAAATGATCAACGGCGGTAATGCAAACTTCGGCAAACTCATCGTCAAGGACGTAGCAGGAGGTGATCCACTCAAAACGACGCTATACGGGATTCCACAGGGCTTCGCCCAGGTGTTCTGGGTTTTCACAGGTCCTTTCCTCGCTTCACGACTTCCCAACGCGCGCACCTTCATCATGGCTCTTTACCTTTGTCCCACAATAATAGGCACGTGTTTAATATGGCAGCTACCGCGCTCCAACACGGCTGGATGCTTGGCGGGATATTACTTGGTATGTCGTGAACACGCAGCAGCCTTTCTAATCAGTAGCTAACGGAAGTAGACCGGTTCGTTTGTTGGCTCTCTAGTCATTGCTCTGCAGCTACCTGCATCAAATGTAGGTGGATACACAAAGCGAACCACAAGCACAGCCTTCGTCTTTCTGGGATACTGTGTTGGTAACATTATTGGTAAGCTCTCCTGCATTTCTGGCCCATCTCAAGACCATCATTACTAAGACCAACCACTTTAGGCCCTCAGGCCTTCTTGGCTGAAGAAGCTCCCAAATACGAGACAGGCGTGAAGATGTTTCTGGGATGCGCTGTCTCTCAGGTCGTGCTAGCACTTTGCTTACGAGCCTTACTCGCACGGAGGAACGCTCAACGCGACCGCGAAGAAGCTGAGGGTTCGCATAGCCAAGACGATGATCTAAACGACGCGGATGCCATCGAGGATACTACAGACTTCCACAACAGGAAGTTCCGATATGCCATATAAGCTTGATATGGATATTGTATAAGCCGTCACTCTACCTTTCATCGTTAGCACTTTGCCTTTCTCCTCGAGATCATTTCTAATGATGAAACAACGGGAATTTTACCTACCCCTCCTTAGTCTTACTTCTCTATCCCGGAAGACATCGCAGTGCTTCCCTCCCTCGCCTTCATCTCCTCTTTCTGCCTCTCCTTGACTTTCTTCGGCTTCTTTGCGCTAACCGGCCCGTCGGCACTTCTATCTTTCCACTACCCACGACTCCAGATCAGCCATCTTTCCTTCTCTCAAATCATTTGCAAAAACTCACCATACCGCCATATCGGTAATATGGGTATTCCTCTTGCATGCCCTTTGCATCTTCAACGCCACCAGAAACTGATTTCCAGCATGTTCCAGGGCAGACGAAATGCCATTTCTGCGACTCGTCGATCTGACAGCGCACAAGGACGTCACGGGGTTTTGAACAGAGAGTGCAGGACTTTGTCATATTCGAGAGATGCAATCGAGACAGATGATGATGGATTGAGCATCGGGGATGATTCAATAACTAGTTGTGAGCGAGGAAAAGTGATGACATCATGGCTTCTATTCTCCGTCCTCCGTCTTCTGCGCCAGCACAGACCCATGATCAACTGGCTTCCATATCTCTTCATACCTTTCCACCCAATGTTCTCTCCATCCTTCTTCTAAAAGCCATTCCGCCTTTTCTTCTCGCACCACGTCTTCAATGCGCAATCCGTTCCTCGCAAGCGCACTGCACCATCCATCCCATGCGCCACAGCGTTTAGCGTACATACTCGGCGTCAGACCATCATGATCGCGATGGTGTACATCGATACCCGCTCTTATCAGCGCGTTGGCGATTTCTTCGATAGCCATTGGGTCTCCTGGACTGCCTTCATGATCGATAACGCAATAACAACGCTGGATTCTGTTGCGGCCAAGACTACCCATCGTGTTGATGTATGCAGCATCAATTTCGAAGAGTGGTGCAATGATACCTGCTACAGAAGGCCAGTCCCACGGGTCATCATTGAGAATCACTGATTCCGATATGAGACCCTCTTGCTGCAATCTTTGTATCTGTTCACCCAATAGAGAACGCGATCTGCCTTTATAGTAGTCCCAAAGCAGCATATTCATTGTTGTCTCGAAAAGAAACGAGGACGACTCGTAGACCTGAGGAATGATGTGATCAACGGTTCTCTCGAATGCGACTCGATCATGATCGACTATCGAGCGCATGAAGAGACCTGCGACTAGGCTAACATCGTGGCTTTTTTACGTTAGGAAAAGGTTGTTACAGGATGGTAGAGACGACTCACTTCAGGTTTGATACGCCGATACCTTGACTTGCCAAGTAATCGAACAGGTCTATCCGTGTGTGCTCTGCAGCATACTACGCATTGTGGGTTAGCGTTGAGTCATTCCATCAGAATATTTGGGTACAATTTACATAGAGACATAGATTTCTTCCTTCTCGGTTGATCTCATACGGAGAAATCACGCCTTGTCGTAGTGCATCATCAATCTCGTGAGCACTAGCAGATGCGAAAAGCTGGTTGTAGTGGGTTTCGGACTCAGCCAAGGTAAAGACACTGAGTTGGGCGCAGAGCCTTGGATTCGATGGACCGGAAGCGTTGCGAAGAAAGTGGGCATGAATAGCGTGGAGTGACCGCCCGATACCGCAAGTGAAAGTGAAGCTAGCCTCCTCATCTGGACGTCGAAGCTTCGATCTGGACGCTCTGCGAGAAGTTTGTAAACGCAGACTGCCGAACGGAGTAGTATGTGTATATGAGGATTTGTGAGCGATAGCTGGTGTGCTGAGGTAGAGGTTCGCGTAATGCGCTTCTTGTGTAGTAGACCTGATTTTGGATTGCCCTATTACACGCCGAGGTGTCGTCAGATGGCGCGATTTGGTCTCTTCAGAGTAATGCCAACGGTCCAGAGAGGTTGCAGTGGACTGCGGGTGCTTTGTCGCTTCCTCCTGCGCTGCTGATGCTATGAGGTTCTCGTACTCGGACTGTAGCCAGGAAATGTAATGTGGTGGAAAGGTGCTGATACCGTCGTTGAACAAATTGGCAAGCGCAACTTCCAAATGGGGTTTGACAATGAGCAGATAAGCCATGATCATGTCGCGACGTTCACCAAAGAAGAAGACATCTCTAGTCGACACGGATCTAGCGCGAGAGATGCGGTACTTCTCGAACTGGGTGACGATGACGTCCTCAAGCTTTGCCGATAGTACGTCTCGGGTCCTTTGATGCTCAATCAGATGCTCTTGGTGAGCAATCGCTATTTCTTTTGAAGCTCGTTTTGTTTCCTGATAATGGCAGACTGCCAGACGCCCCAGAAGCTCTTGTCCTTGTATCAGTGTGGCTTGGTTCCGCTTAGTCGAAGCCAACAACTTTTGAGTTGTGTTGTGCCTCTTTAGAGTCTCCAGATGTTGGTCGTCAGATCTTTGCCTAAATCTACTATGAGCGCAGGTTCATCCGCGACGCGAGGAATCATATACCTGCTTGCGACGTGCAGAGAGTTTGCGAGTAAACTCTTCGCCCGCTCAAGATTGTTGAACATCTTGTTGACTTTACGCTCGTCCAGAACGTACTTCACCCTACTCCAAGTCTTGTTGCTCACACCTCTGAATCTCGCGTTGAGTATCCTCAAATTTTGAAGTTCACGTTGTAAGCTCTTAAGTGCAGATTCGAATAGAGCTGTAATGCGATCCGTGGTATCGGCTGGTTTCCGGCTAGCGAGCGTTTCCAGAATCTGTTTGACGGTCTCAGCGAGGAGTGTGGTTTCCTTGACAGTAGTACATAATCGATCAATCTCTTCTGGAGCGCCAGAAATATCGCGCAGGAAACCATGGACCTCCCGGCCCGTTCGCACGGTAACTTCAGCAACGCCAATGATAGCGAATATCCCCGCAGCAAATTCGAGGCCTGCAGACATGATAGGCGATGCGAGTTGTATGAGATGCTGCTCGTTACCGAGTTTTGAGGGTAAAAAGAGACCTGGCTAGATGGCTTTCGGTGTCGCGAACATGTTGCTGCTAATAGGCGTGGCCATTCCGTATCCCGAATGGGGGCGGCTGATGCAGCCCATGCACGTGTGTCCAGGACCTAGCCTATCAGTGATCTTTGGCCCCTGCCAACGGTTCCCGACATCTTGTTACTGCAGTAGCTTGCCACTATTTTGGAAGCAAACCGGGGGCCTTGCTTGCGGGAACAGGGCCAATAAGGAAGGTTGTTGTGCGGTTTCAAGGCACATACCATGGAAATACTAGCTGGCCACCGCGCATTGATAGGAGGCATCCTCTCCTATGGTAATCGGATGTGCCGACTGCCACTTTAATCCTATCATAGCTTGGCCGTGAAGGCCAGGACCAGTGCACATAGCAGGCAAAACAAGGCAAATCTCCACGTCAGCAGCCACCAACGGAGGCTGCTCCTGGCTCGGACAATTCCATATAATATTCTAGAAGACGAGCCGTCTGCATGCAAAGTTCGCTAACACTTGCACGGCTCCAATATATTTAAGCTGTTGGGTTTGGTGAGGCTGACAAGGAAACACTTGATGACATCACAGCTGCAACGGCTCGCTTGTCGATGGTACGCTCCAGCATTGTTGCGTGGGGAGCGCGTTAGAAAGTATAGGCGACCCCGAGAAAGCGAATAAAGCGGTGTGATAGAGGAAATAGTGCGAATGGTAAGGTCGCAGTGACGAAGGTTGCCGCTGGAGCATGGCCGTGTAGCAGACTGCAAAACGCATATTAGTTACTGTATCGACGAAAGTTTACACAACCAATTCTTCGCCCATCCTGGAACCGTGAGTTGTATCGCGCGACTTGCGCGAAAGGCAAGCGTGTAGCTTCTGTCTTGCTTCAGAAGAATCGGGCCACCGCTGCGATTTTCGACCAACCCGATGGAGATGTGCTTGCAATCTTAGGTTGTGGGGCCGTGCACCGCCCCTCACTGGCGTGGATGCCTTTGCCGATTTCCCTTGACCTGTATCTACTGTTCACTCCAAGCCCCATACGTCCTATTTACAGATCTTGTTAGATTACATTCTGATAAATCCGTTGAGGACCAAGCGGCAGAACTGTATTCAAAGGGTGGACTTATTGATACGAGCTCTGCCCTTGCTTCCCTCTCTGCTGAAGGTCGCAATAGACGCAAGCACCAGAGATGGAGGTGTACACTAAAGCTACCAAGACCATGTGAGGCTGGCTAAATAGCGTTAATCTTAAGGTGGTGACTGAAAAAGTGTGCAAGGCTGCTGAAGTTGGTGCTCAATTCGTACAAACCCTAGGCGACTTGTAAGAAATACCCAGGTATCGATAGGTACGGGAACATTGAGGCAAGACGAGAATACGTAAGACATCAGAATCATTAGTAGTATTTACACTAGGTTCACGATTGGGTATCTTGATAACTGCGAAGGTGCGCTTTTTATTTGCCTGAATCATCGAGCACATTCATTCCCTGTCACCATGAAGCAGCCGCTATTCTCCTGTTGCTAGGCGCGAGTGCAGATCTCGCGCGGGTTACTAGTATTCACACCACCAAAAACGTACTGGAAATCTGCAAAGACCCCGGTTCCCACCGCTTCGAGATATCTAACTGTCCTTCTTGTTGCAGATTTAATGCATCCACAGACACTGCTGACAGTAGATATGTCACCACGATGAGTATCGTGTCCACAATTGAGACAGATACCACCCTGATCATCAGAGTTTCACTGGTCAGCAAGATATCGACGACTAATGCAGCAACTCCTGGCTGTGTATCCGTCTATTTCGCAATGTATAACTTCATGAGAAGGAGCAAAACAAGCGAAGATCAGGACAAGTGGACAAAGACTTTATCAGATGTAGACCTAAAGGACATACCGCCAATCTTTACCGTGGAGACATCGTTACCGTGGTTTCAACTAGGACCAATACAACCACTGCTACTACAACAACCAATACTAGTACCATCATTAGTATGGCGACAATGACATATGTTCTCATCCCTCTCGATGAAACCGCTACCAGATTCTTCACGTCTTGGATGTGAATGTGGGAATGGAGTTCTCAAAAGTACATCTCGACTGTCTACTCAACCACCACCATCACCATCGGAATCCCTGGCTCAGCCTACTAGACAGCATACGTTCCAAATAGCATCATATCCACAGCGAACGGCGTAAGGATTAGTAATGGCTATTTGAGATTGGGAGTAGGTCACAAGGTTGTCAGTGCGGCGAAAAGTCCCTACGATGGCTGCATCGCCTGCGTTACAGGAACTGACTGTGGCCTTGCGCTCTTCCTCTCAAATAAGTGCTTGCGGACGATTTTCGAAGATGAGAGAATATTCAGTCAAGGCAACGGGAAGAGCACTTTATTTACAGTTCCGAACAACGACCCTATTGCTGCATTGAATGGGTAATGTGAAAAGACTACACTTTAGTAAGTCAGGCTATTGGCTTAACGTGCTCATGTATCCGGTTTGAATTCTACTGTTCATCTATGATTAGAAGTTGAACGCATCATAACACCGCATCATTGCATTCAATTTAACCATTTCATCACCAGAAAACGGGAGGTTGGTGCTACAGCCGTATATTGAATGGACTCCAACGACAACTACATATATGTTGACTCATATCTTCATTCCTCCTTTCTCCGTCCAAGCTTCATGTTTACATGCCTCGGCTGACTTCATCCATCATCTCGTTGTACTACTCGTCGCAGCCACAGTCGGAAGGAGTAGGAGCTGGCGCAGTGCTAGACTCACAGGAGCTGGAAGCGGGTGGGGCTGGAGGGGCTGGAGGGGCTGGAGGACCAGCAGTAGGAGTGGGACCACCACCACCTGTGGCAGTAGCAGTGACAGTAGCGGTGGGGGCACCGCCACCTGGGGCGCCGGCACCAGGGCTGACATCCTGACACAGAACGTCCTGACCCGCAACGGGAATAACACAGCACTTGGCTTGCTGGCCAGTGGCAGCGCAGCCGCTGATGAAATCGCTAGTGTTGGCAGGAGTGGTGGCAGCTAGTTTGTAGCGTTAGCGCTGATCTTTGTATGCAAGAAAAGACATAGGAGCGGAAGACATACGGACTGCGCAGTTCAAACCAACAGCACCAAGGACATCAGTGGCACAGCACTGGGGGTTGCTGTAAAGCCCAGCAGGGCAAAGAGTGGTGGTTCCAGTGGAAGCAAAAGGAGCGGCAGCGACGCCGGCAGCGAAGGCGAGGATGGAGTAATGCATATTTATTGCTGAAGATTTCTTCTTGACTGGTAGACAATGAAGGGCTGGTGGAAGCGAAGGTAGAATGCTGAGATGCTGCTTGATGTTGATGGTAGTCATTTTGAAGTCCATCCTTTGCCTTCTTTTATACTTTGCTCTCCGACATACTTCATCGTCGCTTGGCGGTCTACTAGTGCCGTGGAGTCTCTCTTTCCGTTTTCCCGTATCCTATATTGCGGTTGTTTTCGTCCCTAGTTCATCGAACGTGGTATGTACATCGTTTGGACGCAGCATGACGCTGTACGACAACCCGAGTCCCATCTCGGCTCGTCGCAATCCAGAACCATCTGCGGAGTAATAAGAAAACACTGATCTCATCCAATACCATTGGTGAGAAATTTCATTCCTGAATAAATTCGATAAAGGTTGTTTACCCAGTGGCCCATGTAGGTATGCGATTCCTCGATCTGACCTTGGAATAGCCAGACATTGTTGCATGTGCTGCAAGACGTGCATCTACGCGATGTCCCAGGGGCTTCCCCGCAACTCCAAAGCGAATCGCTCACTGAAGCTACTGAGTACCTTGAGTCAAGATTGATACTCTATAGAAGGCTAACAGTGTGGCTCGCAAGGGACCAATGCATTCGACTGTTCAAGTGTTTGCGTGGATATCGCAAAACCTCCAACAATAACCGAAAGTCCGCATCAATGATTCAATGACTAGTACGTGTACACAACCAAGACTGCAATTCACGTCCTTGGCACATGTGACCCCGTTGGTTGGAAGAGGACTCTGCTTCAAAGCGGTGCGTGATCTCAGTCCTTCCTCATCGCACAGCACTTTTCCACAGGTCGTGTAAGAACACATACAGTATGTATGTCAAACAACTTAGACGTTCCCCAAAATCCAGAAACGCTCTAGAACCTGATCTTAGGGCCTGGCAGTCATCCTGTAAGGTACAATGTGGCTTGCTATCATGGACCGAATGTCAGGCGGTCGTGTGCTTTTGCCTCGTAGATGCCCGAAGATTGTGTCTCGTTACGAGAGACCGTATATAGTGGCCATGTTGCTTCGTCGTCATAGTACTGATATCCGGAAAAGACGGAGGTTAGCCATGGTATGGATATGGACATTTTATTAGCCATATAAATCTGATTGGGCAATGTACATGACCCAGGGCCGGGGCAACTTGCGGTAGTGTTACCAACGTGACGGGGTGTAGCACCGGGTGTATTGCAGATAGGCGATTGGTAAGAACGGACAAGATCACCATAGTGAGCATGGAAGGTCGTGGTATCGATAAAACGTCGATGCCGGCAGCGAGGTCGAAATTAAGTTGCGGGGAAAGTAGCCTGCCATCGGGCTAGGTGATTGAACCTTGCTTAGCGCGTCGGCTCCATAGGTAAGCTCCACATCCACCTTAGCCATATCACTAGCGATGGTGGTCCAGTCGATTTCAGTACGTCGCCATTGTCTAAGTTAGACAGATTGCCTCGGCTATACTTGGAGATCTAGAGCTTGAAGAAACCAGATTGCAGGCACTTCACCGTTCAATGCCGCTTAGAACTCGGAATAAAATGCTGCAGGCGCGTCCTTCGCCGCTGCCAGATTCATCGATCGATCGTCATGAGCTCGCTCTACTCCGTAACATGCTAATCAGAGCGCCAACTAGAAGAAGTCCTACCAAGACTCCACTCTGTACTGGCGCAAATAGTGCAGATCGTAAGATTACCAGAGTACCGACGATGACGAAGATGATGGGAAGAATAATAAGTGGGCGGTAAGGCCGTTCCATCTGGGGTTCTCGGCGGCGGAGTATAAGCAGTCCAACTACCGTACTAACGTAGAAGACCCATTCAGCCATACCAACGAACGTCAAGAGTGCCCGAAAACTACCTGTCAGGATATAGACAAGGGTTACGACCAAAGCCAAAGCGTTAGCGTAACTGTTTTCCGCGTTAGTCAGTTGTGGAATGCAATAAGTCAGAAGGGCTTACATGGGAGCGTCGAGGCTGAATGAAGCGGTGGTGTCTGCCTCAGACCTCTGCGTCATTGGCAACCCTCGTTTGCTGAATACTGCCGGAAGATAATGGCGTTGCGATGCAGCCATCGTCAGTCTGCCCACCGCGAAGACATTACTAGTGATGGACCCTGCGCAGGAGATGGCAACAAGAATAGTAACTAGAATACCAGCAGGTCTCCCTAAGAGGGATGAAGCAGCAGCGACTGCCACTGCGTTGTTGCTGCTTAGCTTGTCCCAAGGTACAAGGATGTAGTAAGCCACGTTCACAAGTTCAAATGAACTGAGTACCACGATCATCGCAGCTTTGATCGCTTTTGGAAGAGCACGACCTGGGTCGCGGATTTCACTCGCAACGATGTTGGCCTGGACAACGCTATCAGCCGGCATTGTTGGAGCACAAGAAGTATGCACTTACATTATCCCATCCGTCATACGCCCAAAGTCCTCCATATATCGCTGCGCAATAGTGACCGTAACGATCCCATGTCCTCATTGACACCCAGTCGATAGTTTGGCCGTCCGATACTGTCGACCTTGTCTGAAACCAATTGCGAGTGTACCAGTCGCTCGGTCCAGATAACGAAGAGTTTGGGTTGATCAGATGTGCCACTACAGCAACGACCCCACCTAAGACTATCAGGGCCACGGTCGACAGCTTGAAGACCGTGAAAGACTCGCTCAGCCGCATTGTGAACCTGGTATTGATGGAGTTGAGCAACACCATGGAGACAAAAGCTATGGCAGCGATGAGTTTGAGCATTTTGGCATCTGGTAAGTCGCCAGTACTGGATGTGACTGATCCTATGGATTCGGCGATGACGATACTTTGGATGGCCATGGATGAAGGCTTCACGCCGAGGATGTACACCCAGGCCATGAGGAAGGCAGCCGTGTCACCGTAGATGTGGCGTAGGTATTCTTGCATACCACCATTCAGTGGAAGCGCTGCACCAAGCTCAGCAAACGATGCTGCTCCTGCCCATGATAGCAGCCCGCCAAGGACCCAAACTAGGAGAGCAGCTCCAGGAGAAGGCACGTTGCTGTCAACCTGCGCTGGTGAAGCGAAGATTCCCGACCCGATTTGAAGTGTAACAAGAACGGCAAATGCATGTCGCGTAGTGAGCTGCTTGGATAGCTGCTGTACCGCGCGTGATGAAGACGAAGAGCGCCGTGCAAGCAGTGGTTCCCGTTCCGACTCGGTTGTGTTCAACTTGGGAGCGTCTTGGTTCCCAGGGCGGCTGGAGCCGTGTATGTCGTCCATTGCACTACACCCGCGGTTTCCGTCTCGAAGGTATTGAGGCTACACAGTAGTGGATTTTCTTGCTGCTGGGTAGGAACGGTCCTTTTTTGCGACCTTGGCGGGCGGAAGACGCTAGACCATGTCACAAGACATCAAGCACGCGCCATGCGGCTCTCTGCTTACAGGTGAGATCCGATGGGTTAGATGTAGGAGATGACCAAGTGGGCCTTGCACAAATCCGGTTGACGTTACTGAAACTTCTGTAGTCGTCATATCGTGCTTTCCCCAGTTGATGTGGCGTCTGCACTAGCCTCAGGTGTGGCGCAGCAAGAGAGCACAATATGGAGAACCGAGCATGACAACGACAGATATGACAGATGATAGACCGAATATCGTTCAGAGCACTCAAGGGTAAATTTCTTCCAAGCACTGTTCCCCATCTCTTCTGCAATACCCCCATCCTGCGAGCGTGGCGCGTCGGTGGTGCCTGCCTGTGGCTCGAAAAGCTCGGACTGGCCCTTCAGCGCCCTGACACCCCTCTTCGCTTCCTCACCAACTGCCCAGGTACGTCAACACCACGCCCGCGTTTTAAGCTCCCTACCGCGCACTCATAGACTTAACTCCCCCCAGACCCTGAACCATGGACGCGAATCAAAATGACGAGCTTTACCCCATCGCCGTGCTCATCGACGAGCTCAAGCACGACGACGTTATCCTCCGCCTGAACGCCATCCACCGACTAAACACAATTGCCCTCGCCCTAGGCGCCGAGCGGACACGAGAGGAACTCATACCGTTTCTAGATGGTGAGCGGCTGCCCGGTCGACATGCCCAGTCTAGACTAGCTAACGGATGTATTCAGAGTCGGTTGAGGACGAGGACGAGGTTCTCACAGCATTGAGCGAGGAACTTGGCAAGTTTGTCGAGTACGTCGGCGGCCCAGAGCATGCACACGTGCTTCTGTCGCCTCTCGAGAACCTTGCAGCAATAGAAGAGCCCCTTGTCCGGGAAAAGGTGTGCGCTGCAATCGCCTAGATCTGGCTGCCAGCTAACACGTGCAGGCTGTCGAATCGCTCAACAAGATCTGCGAAGAGCTGTCGCAGCAGCAGATTGAAGAAAACTTCATACCCCTCGTCTTGCGCCTATCTAAAGCCGACTGGTTCACCTCAAAGATCTCCGCGACGGGACTCTATCAGACCCCCTACACTCGCGCTACACCCCCTTCACAAGAAGCCCTCAGGCAGCACTACGGCCAGCTAGTGCACGATGATACCCCCATGGTACGGAGACAGGCGGCAAACAACCTCGCCAAGTTCATCAAGGCCATGCCGCCGTCCATTGTCATCGAAGAGATGATTCCCCTCTTCCAGCACCTCGCCGCAGACGACCAGGACAGTGTCCGACTCCTGACTGTCGACATCCTCATCGCGATCGCCGAAGCGGTACCCAAGGAGCAACAGTCGAGCCATGGTGTTCTCCTGACTGCGCTGCGGAGTCTGTTCGAGGACAAGAGCTGGAGGGTGCGGTATATGGTAGCAGACCGATTTGAGAAGGTGCGTTCGGCTGGTAGCGAAAGGAAGCATGCGCTAATGGAATTAGATTGCGAAAGCCGTCGACGAGGAAGTTGTCAACCGCGACCTTGTGCCAGCCTTTGTCAAGCTTCTCAAGGATACAGAGGCCGAGGTACGCAGCGCCATTGCAGGACAAATTCCAGGTATGCCTCTTGGGAGCAGGTGCACGGCACATGAGCTAACCACTACTAGGTTTCTGCGCGCTGTTGGAGCGTGAGACCCTTCTACACGAGGTTATGCCTAGCATAGAGGAGCTGGTCTCCGATCAGTCTCAGCATGTTCGCGCTGCGCTTGGCACCCAGATTAGTGGACTCGCTCCAATCCTTGGAAAGGAAGAGTAAGTTGCGACTACGCGTGACCACGTGCTTTCTTACTAACACTAGTCAGGACCATTTCGCATCTCCTTCCCATGTTCCTGCAGATGCTCAAGGACGAATTCCCCGACGTTCGCCTAAACATCATCTCCAAGCTCGAGTCTGTCAACAACGTCATCGGCATCGAGCTCCTCTCGCAGTCCCTCCTCCCCGCTATCGTCCAACTTGCCGAGGACAAGCAATGGCGCGTACGCCTGGCAATCATCGAATACGTTCCTCTCCTCGCGTCGCAACTCGGTGTGCAGTTCTTCGATGAGAAGCTTAGCAGCCTATGCATGAGCTGGCTCGGCGATACCGTCTTCTCGATCCGTGAGGCGTCGACTCAGAACTTGAAGAAGCTTACGGAGGTCTTCGGTGTAGAGTGGGCCAACGATGCTATCGTTCCCAAGGTCATGGCTATGGGCCAGCACCCCAACTACCTCTACCGAATGACTACATGCTTCGCCGTCTCAACACTGGCGCCTGCACTGAGTCTGGATGTCATTGAACAGTCCATCATCCCCATGATGGACAAGCTGGTCAATGACGATATCCCCAACATCAGATTCAACGTGGCGAAGTCATATGGTCAGCTCATCAACACGCTCAAGCAGCTGCCTGAGCAAGGTACTGTCATCGCTCTCGAGAAGGCTGGTACACCGGGCCAGGGTTGCCAGAAGGCTACAGATGTCATTACCAAGAGCATCCTGCCGAACCTCGAGAAGCTCCAGCAAGACGACGATGTAGATGTACGATACTTTGCGACGACGGCCGCACAAAGTTTCACGGATGCGATGCAGACTTAGAAGATCCAGCTTCGTCCGTGTTCTTGAATGTGCAGAATGACATCATGAATAGCATCAACGATGGTTAATGATATGGAACGGCTGCAAAGAAGGGCATGGCGGTGAGAAAACAGCGTAAGCCGAAAGCCCTGTAGGTGTAGTTCCAAGCTTTGTTTTATGAGAGTTGAGTGGGCTAGTAGTTGGGCTCACTGGCAATAAACCACAAAGATTACCCAGTTAGAATCATTCCTGACAGATTCGCAATGCATACTTTGGCGTTATCACTAGTATCGAGTGCACAAGATGAGTGACGTTGATGATTTATTTTCATTCGCATTATGCCATGGTGTAATAGCTATAGCTTGGCCGTTGAGGTTGCAGGTAGTCAAACGGCACCAGCCTCCTTGAGAAGGTTGTTGAGCTGACCCTTCTTGGACTGCAAATCGCTGTTTCCACCAATGTGCTTCTGAGCGATGAAGATGTTGGGTACGGTGGTCTGGCCAGTCATTTCGCCGAGAGTAGACTGGATAGCTGAGCCGTCATCTATGCGCATGTTAGCTGCTAGTCTTGTAGCTCCGTCGATAGTTGCAGAGTCTACATACCAACTTGGTCCAACTCAATCGCGTAGAACTTTGCGCCACTGTCGCTGAGCAACTGCTTGGCCTGGCGACAGTAAGGGCAGTAAGACTTTGAGAAGACGGCGACGGGGTTCTCGTCGATGATGGACTGGACCTTGGTCTTTGTAGCGGACATTGTGGCGGGCGAGGGGGCGCGCGTGAAGAAGTGACGCAGGAAGGAAATTTTGGCGGTAGTTTGGAGGTGCTGGAGGTTGGTGAGTATTGTGTTTGGTAGTCGAGGGTAGTGTTGCTAGAGGGGTGGTGGGAGGCGTACTTATGCGTGGGTGATGGGATGCCGAAGTTTGTCAGATAGATTCTAGATCGGTGTGTGTTTATGAGCTCGGTGTGGATGTGTATAGAAGTGGTGATTAGTGATGTGCAGCGTGCCCCCCGCAGTAGTAAACGTTCTCGATGGCAAATGATGCAATCGCTCGTGAAAGACGGCTGCGCTAACTGACGTCGGAGATGGATCGGCGATGTGATGTGATTACAAAGAGGCTAAAAAGGGACAGGGGCCAGAGGCGCGGCTTTGGCCATGACGCGTGCGGCTGGATGCGACGCGGACGAATGTAGGGACCTAGCTTGCACACATGTTTCGGCGTCTTTGATGCCAAGCAGACAGCTGTTACTCTGAAAATGTGAAGGAAATTATGAAATACTGTAGATGAAGAGATGATAGTGCAGAGGTAGGAAGAACCAGAATCAGGAAAGCACAACGGGTCGCGTACGTTCCGCATTCCGAGATTGAGCGTTCCGACGCTTCCACGCCGTCGCAACAACTGTCAGACTATCTTGGGTTCCCGCCATCCCAAGGCGTCCATTCACTCTCACCACACACACCATCAATCAACTAGCTGTAAACCCGCGCTTCTTATGCGCACGTCGCACCACACTCCACGATGACGTCCTCAGCGGCCGGATCAACCGCCTTCTTCATCCTCTCCCTACTGTCCATATGCGGCGCCGTTCTGCTCCTCCTACGCTACTATCTCCCGCTTCGCACAACACCCGCATACGTCGTCGTACCCGTCTTCTTGGCAATAGCGCTGCCGGCCAGCATCGTCGTGCTCCTGCCCATCGACCTCGCGAGTAGTGCTGGACTCGACACAACGGATGGCGCCAGAGGCATATGGCTGGACGACACGGTTGTGTACAAGGCATGGCGCATCATATACTGGCTCACGTTTGCGCTTACGTGGGCCATCTTGCCTATGCTAGGCGAGTACTGCGATAGTGGGTATAGAGAGCCCAAGGCAAGATTGCAGTATGCGCTTAGGAGCAATGGCCGGTATTGGCTCATTGTGGCTGGGTGTAGTATCGTAGGTTCGATATACTTGCTTCTGTGGAACGGCTTCCACGTGGATACTTTCAAGAGCTTGGTCATGGCGCTGGCGTATACCTGGGGTCTGATACTGGGCATCTACCTTATGGGTCATGGACTCGTCGCCTTCCCCAGGAGTTTGTTTCGATACGCTAGTGTTAGCGAGAGATTGAAGAGGATACAAAGTCAGGCGCCCAAGGTTCACGACAAGTTGACTGAGGCATTGGAGAAACTGGATCAGTATGAATACCAGGTTGTGCAGCTCAAGCAAAGGAAGAATAGTACTGCGCGCGAGTTTCAAGAGTGGATTGATGAGTTGGCAGAGAAGGGTAATCTTCCGGAGAACAGGGCTGGTGTTGTTGGGCGTATGGGCACAGCGACAGTGCCTCCTGTCATCACTGAGAGATACCTGGCGGACCTGACGAGGAAGTTGAAGCGGGCGCGCCATGCAAAATGCCGATTCGAGAACGAATGGGACCGTGTTGTACAAAAAGCTGTCAGGACGCAGGCTATCCTCGATTCCAAAGCCAGCAAACATCTTGAGTTCAAAGGCGTCGCGTTGCCAGCCTCAAGAGGATTGTTCGATCGCATCACCATTCTCACACCATTCACGCGCTACCACCTGCACGTCCACGTCATCCCCGCTCTGGCCTACGTCTCCTGGGCCATCACAATCCTCGCATCCATATCCATCGTCTGGTCAGAATGCGTGCGCGAAGCCCAGGACTTTGGTGGACCGAAACTCTCTATTATCGGCTGGACTGTCGTACACCGCCACGACAATGGCCGATCGTCGGTCGGCTTCAACAGCCAGATAATCGCTGCTGCCTGGCTATGCTACATGTGCATTTGCGCCTTCTATAGTCTAACCGAGGTCAAGATATGGGGCAACAGGGCGCTCGTGCGAAGAAACACATATCAAGAATCTGCGACCTGGTACGGTCTCCAAGTCGCCAAGTTGACCGTCCCTTTGAGCTACAATTTCCTTACCATGACGGACAAGAACATCTGGAAGGGTACCATGTTCTACAAGTTCCTTGGCCGCCTTATCGTTCTCACACCACTCGGTGAAGGCTTCAGCGCATTCTTCCCCATCTTCATCCTCGTACCCGTCTTCGCTACGGCTTTCGGACTCTACGGCAAGGTGAAGAACATCTGTGGCTTCGGAGATCTACTCGACGATGAAGAGGACGCATCAGGAAACTACGCTGGCACCGGCTCATGGCGCGAAGGTCGCGCATTGATCGAACGCGAAATTCAAGGTGCAAGTGGAAACGTCCTAGGCCTTTCCCAACGAACCAATACTAGCCCGCCAAACGAACGATACACAGACACACCAGCACCGTCGTCGTCATCTAGCCTCCCTACCGCGACCGCAGCAGCGGCAAACGGCGGCCCAAGCACCACACGCCTCTCAACAACCCATCCCGACCGCCGACGCCCTGCACTCGAAGACGAAGAAGACGAAGGTAACTTCTTCGAAAACTTCGCTTCAAGAGTCAAAAACACTTTCGACACCAACGACTTCTCCTTCCCCCGACCGAAGTGGCTGGGTGGCGATGAGGAAGAAGCCGAAGCTGGACGTAGTAGTAGAAGACCGTTTGATCGAGGTGACGGGGATCGTGGAAGTGGGTTTTTGAGTCTGTTTGGTGGGAGGGGGGATGAGGGGAGGGTAAGGCTGTAAGATTTCATGTCGTTACTCAAATGGGCATTGCGATGGTGTTTTGGAATAGACATTAGGGATTTGGATGAGTATGTAGAACTATTGAGTATACTGGTTATGATGGGTGCGCGGCTGCGCTTTAGATATATTTAATAAGGACCTTTTATCTCTTAGGCCCGGTGCCATGGCAATCGCGTTAAGTTCTGGTGTCTTAGTGGTCGATCAATCTGACTTACTCGTGGCGCTTTCCTGGGTCCTCAACATGATGCAACCAGTTGCACTTTGCGCAAATCGGTGTAAGCGTACCGCAGCCAATCGGTCCAGGGTCGTGAACTGGCCGTTCCTTAAGAGAAGGGTGAGTGCCTTCTCCCGCCTTTCTCTTCAGCCTTTGCCCACTTCCCGCCTCATCGATAAGCAAACCTCATCGACAAGCAAACTTCATCGCCTGGAACATGGACGAACCTCCCACAGCATCCGAAGCCGATAGCAGCTACGAGGCCAGTGTTAGCGGCTCTTGTGCTGGGTCGGTTTCAAAACATGCATTTGTTGATCTCTGCCAGCCACGCCTGTAAAGCCAGGTTGCACTTCCTAGGATCGAGCTATGGAATGTTTTACATGGATTTTGTTCTTGAAAAGTCTTGGGGTCGCAAAGAAAACAGTTGCTGCGGTATCTACATCTTGGTCCTAACACTCTTACCAGTTCCCTCAACCAGACCTCAACAGCATCGCGAGACTGACGAGCTCTTTCGAGCCGGGACGAAATTAATTGTGGTGGCTACCGACGAAACTAAACATGCAGTTCAGCTTACCACCCTAGGACATGCACCCCCAGCTCTCAGGCTTCTTATGATCTCCCCCAAGAAACGTATTTCTGGCTGGATACTTGCAGTGTCTCCTCATAAAATCTACCCCATTCTTCACAGTATCATTCACGAACTTCGTCCCCTCCATATACGCCGGTGCACTACCCCCCTCTACCCAATCGATCATCGCTGCAAGGACATTATGCTGCGCATCGAACGGAATACCAGCTTGCGCCGCGTTCCCACCTTGACCCAGCACCCACGCACCAGGACCAGTACTGCAATGGAACATACCTGAGACACGGAAGAAACGCGTCCATTCATCCATGTTTTCGTAACTGCTGTTACCGCGGAGATGCTCGTAGAAGCGGTTCGTATTGAAAGAGGTAATCTGATTATCCTGCTGCCCGTGGTACATGAGCAGCTTTCCGCCGCTTTGCTTGAATCCCGGCAAAGACGATGGATAGGTGCGAATGTCTCCTGGATTCAGATCTTGGGCTGCACGTACGTCATCTAAACCATACTCCGATGCGTTCCAGGTCGGATCATTGTACACGACGTACTTGAACCAGTCGTCCGAGTAGGCGAATGGAGCGCCTGCGTATAATTTGTCTACGGCGTTGATCTCACTGCCTGGTTGCATGGCAGGGTAGATCAGCTGTCCATCCGGAAATCTGTAATCGCTGTAGATGATCTTCAGCTGTTGGACTTGGTCCTCGTTCAGGCATTCAGCCGTAGAGTTGTGGCCACATAACAGCGTCGAAGGATCGAACTTGCACAAGGCCGGGTCTTCAATGATGCCATCTTTGACCTTGTCAATGGTATCGCATTGGCGCAGCACCTCGTCGTGGATCCACGTCTGCCAAGCGGTCTTTGGAATGAAGTTGGAGCCTTTGATGGGGCCAGTGATGGTGAAGAAGCGTGCGCGCCAGGATATCAGATTGTTGAAGTCGACACCTGGTGCTCCGGCGACGATGCCATCAAAGTCATTGGGGAACTTCTCTGCGCTCTTAATGCCTTGGCGTCCACCAAGAGAGCAGCCTAAGTAGTAAGATTTGGTGAAGTCCTCCCCGTAGAACTCCTTGGACAAGGCCTTGCCGGTAACTACGCTGGTGTGGAGTCTAGATCGCGGGTGAGTAGATGTTTCGAGCTAAGGAGGAACTATGCTTACGATCGCCAGGCGAAATCCACCACCATCTCAGGATTGTCGAGAAATGCGACTCCTGTAGTACCATTATGACCATTGTTTGCACCGACGGTGGCAAAGTTTCTCGAAGCCCCATACGCTATATCCTCATACTTTATGCCTTTTGTTGCCGTCAGCATCAGGTACAGCTAATACTCATTCTTCTATTTATCCAACACTTACAGCCATCGATACCCCCATTACCTGTTGCCAGGAAGCGACCGGACCAGTCTTCCGGAAACCATGCTTCAAAAGCAATTTTTGAGATTCTGGATGTCTTGATCTCGAGTGTCATACGACAGAGATCCACGGAGACGATCTGGCTAGTTCGACCGCATGTCACGTCGTTGTCCGGAAACGTCAGGTTGGCACCCGCCGGAACGTGTTGGAGGACGTTCAGAGTCGCATCCTTGATGTACTTTTCTGGTGTGAAGGCGAGACATTTCTTCTCAAACGCTGACGACGCGATAGAGACTTGGGCCAACGCAAGGTACGAGACGATCAGCGCCCAGAACGAGGGGAACATATTGGCGATGAAGGGATTAGATGACTTGGCAAGTGCTCGTAGTAGAAATTTAGCCACAGGTAGTCTTTATGTTCCGTGGGAAGGAACAGCCGTGCATTAACGAGCCGCCTTCAGCAAGGTGCGGGGCGTGGCTTGCGGAGATATTCTTTCTACCTTCAGTGCCTATAAGAGTGAATGATCTACCTAGGACACCTCGATATCTCTGCAGTAGTAGCACCCTGAATGAAGGAGAAATAGCAGCCATATCAAGATATGAAGTTTCTGCTACATTTCCTGGCAAAGGGAGCTATAGCGAACGGAAGGTTTGCACAGTTTGCTATACAGGGCATCTCTTTGAATCGACTGAACTGGATAATTATCCCCAGACGGACCCCTGCTATTGCACCTATGTATCGGGTAAATCGTGCTGCGCAACATGGTACAGTATTGCGGGGTTCGGTGTAGACGCCGAGCACATTTCCATGCGGCAGGTGCTCATTCCACGCTAGCTTGCATGCATCCGACTGGTGCTGTGGCTCGCCTTGACTATCTACATCCATCACTCAAACACTCACATGATCCCAGAATCTCTCGATAATCTCCCTCGGAATCAGACCCTTCTCACCCTCCATCTCGAAGATCTGCAGCGGCGCGCCCTTCTCTACCGCTACCAACACAGCCTTCTTTCCCGGTGCCCCTTGCACCACGCGTCTCAGTTCCTCCAGCAGCCATACTAGTCGCTTGAGCTGCCGCTGGTGGTCCTGTGCCCATATCTCGAAGTCTTTCTCAAACCAACGTACCTCCTCAACGTTTGTTATGAGATTACGGTAGTGGTGACCAAAGACGCAAAGCGATGTGCGGCCGAACCAGCATTGCTCACTCGCTTGACGCTTCTTAGTGTTTGACTTGAGCTCTATCGTTGAGTTGTGAGGCTGGTATGTGCCACAGTTTATGACAAAGGTTTGACTGTTGTTGCTATGGGGTACTATGGCGTGACTGGCTGGTTGGAAGATGTGCATGATATTGTCGAAGAACTCTTGTAGGTCGTAGTTGTCGTGGTTTTGAGAGGCAGGCTCGATATGTTGAAGATATGCATCAGCTTCAATCCTAACTGCTAGCTGTAAATCTCCCATCTGGTACTGAATGACCCTGTGATGTCCGTCGACGTCCTGGAGGTTGGAGTCTTCGCAAGTGAAAGCATTTTCGAAGTTATGGCCGCATCCTTTTGACTGGAAGACTTTTGGATCTTTCTCTTTTCGACCGGTCACCAGGGTCTTGCCGACTACTTGAAGCTCGAGGCAGAATGGCCGATAGCTTCGCTTGAAGGACGCAAACTCGAACAGTTTCTGGAGAGAATTCCTGTTAACCAAGACGTCAATGCCATTCCAGCGTTTGGTAGGATTCATGACAGCCATGGCTTGGAATATTGGTTCGAATGAGTATTCAAGACTCGGCTTGCCATGTTGGTCGATCCAGAATGCGCCCTTGTCGGCCTGTAGCTGCCTTGGTAGACGCGGAGGCTGATAAAGAGACGGAGTCCCCGGGACGTAGATGGTGGGCTTCAGAGCACTCTTCCAGCTATAGCTGCAAAGAAGATCGTAGGGCTCGTTGCCGGTGACAGCGGCAGAGGAAGATTGCACGTCGAATATCGCGATCGTGTGAATGCGCTGTTGTCCTTTTCGAACGCGCTTGAGCATCCAAGAAGGATCCGAAAACTTTGTGCGACGACCTTCGGGGCGGCCGTTATAGCCCTCTCGTGTTTCCCAGGGCGGTACACGTTGTTCTGCTGCTATAAACTGCATTTTTCAGGGTTAGCTTATTTTCCAACAACAATTTAGTGCATAAGAGGTTCGACAAAGAGGTTGTAGTTGGAGATAGGCGGCTGAGCAGCGAAGAAGGTATGAGGCAAGGCGACCCGTGTTGACAGCTAGGTTCGCGTAGTGAAGGTGAAAAGACGTCGCCAGCTCAATCGGGCATCGACTGATGGGAATACAGTATCAGCTGTAGGCGGTAGCGTAAGAAGCAGGCTGTTCAATCGAGCTCGAGAAAGCACGATTTAGACGATACGGACAATCTTTGGTAATGGTGTTTTTCACGCTCAAGGTCAAGTAGGCATGACCGTGATGGCTGAGTGGCATATCTGTAGCTGTAGAGAGGACTGTAGCCTGTAAAGGGATCTCTTGAACAGCAAGAAATCGCGATATCATCCTAACAGAGCCTCTATATAGTATTAATCAAGTATCTGTGCAGTACTGTCAGACGAAAGTAGCTATCGATGTGTCGTCCGAAGTCAGTCAACAGGAATGTCTAGGTTGTCAACACGACTATGGGAACCACCAAGAATAACAATGAAAACACTCTCTCGGTGTTGTGTACATGTCTACTTGCAGCGCTCTTCGTCATACCGATAGCGCCGCTGTTGTCCACCACTTCTACTCGCATGTCAACACATCGGAACATGCAGATTTGGGAGAGTACTTACGACTGCCGATTGCGCCGTTCTGCTGCAACACGGCATCGCTGTTACAGAGACCCATCAGCGTAGCGTTAGCCTTGAGCTCCTGTAGCTTCAACAACGCCTTTTCAAACTTTTGTTGTAACCCCTGCTTCTGTTCGTCGTTGAGGAAGTTCGCAGTGGGTCCTTGGTTGAGACCAGTCTGACCATTTGTCGAGTTTACCAGCTTTTCCAACGTGTTTAACGCCTTGCATTCGCGAAAAGCGTCACGCTGCGCATTGAGAGAGTCACATTCGGCTGTGAGAGTTGAGTTAGATTGCAATTCTTCGAGTTTGGCGGTTATATCGGCACGGTTGCTTTTGATCCAGTCGATGCGCTCTTGGGCAAGCTTGGCAGATATGCTCGTCGCGTCCAGCGCGGTGTCATTTTTCGCGATATCATTGAGTTTTGTCAATGTACGTAGGCGTCTGCATATCTTGTCGATTTCGATTTGCCTGGTAGTGTTGAAGGTATCGCCACCTCGCCAAAGCTTAAGAGATGGATTAGTAGTCCAGGCGGTTGATGTGGTGATGAGTGCAAGGAAAAGACCGGCGAGTAATATTGGAAACTGCATCGTCAATCGAAAGTAAGTAAGTATGTGATGAAAATGCCCAGTAGAGAATGAGATTTGGCGGCTGCCACGCTGGCTTGGTATCTTGCTTCATAATCGACTAGAGCTGTCAATGTTTCAATTCATGCTCGGATGCCGCAGAGCCACAACGACTTCCTAGCCATGCGACGTTTCATGGCGAGTATGCTCTGACGTTTCTAGTTACGACGAAAGCAGCAGACATGGTAGTCAAGGTAACCCAGACGTGATTCTTAGGGAATGCGCGGATGAATGGGCTGGCTTGAGATGGATTGAGAGAGTATCGTCTTGATTTGGTGGGGTGGTATCGATAGTAGGGCTGAGTCACGCTAATGGCGGGGACCGGAGGAGTCAACTCCAGGGCTCTAGAAAAAGATTCCCCGCCACGGCCGACTCTCAGCAACCTCACGCCGCCACCATGTCTATTGAGTTTCCGAGGGAGGAGGAGCGCATCCTCGCGCGCTGGAAGGAGATTGACGCTTTCCTGAGGCAGGTTGAGCTCGTAAGTTTCCATATTACAGCCTCTTCGGGGCAAGCACGTGTGGTCGACACTTGCTGATGCATTATAGTCGAAAGGAAAGCAACCATACACTTTCTACGATGGACCGCCTTTCGCGACGGGATTGCCGCATTATGGCCATCTTCTGGCCTCGACCATCAAAGACATCATCCCCCGCTACTGGACCATGAAGGGCCGCTATGTTGAACGACGCTTCGGTTGGGATACTCACGGTGTGCCCATCGAGTATGAGATTGACAAAGAACTGGGCATGTCGGGACGCGACGCTGTCAAGGAGATCGGAATCGCCGAGTACAACAAGAAGTGCCGGGCGATTGTCATGCGATATTCAACAGAATGGAGGTCGACCATTGACCGTCTGGGCCGCTGGATCGACTTCGACAACGACTACAAGACCATGGACACCAGCTTCATGGAGTCAGAATGGTGGGTTTTCAAGCGCTTGTTCGACAAGGGCGCTGTGTACAAGGGTTACAAGGTTATGCCATACAGCACTGCATTGGCCACGCCTCTCAGCAACTTTGAGGCCACACAAAACTACAAGGACGTTCAAGATCCCGCAGTTGTCGTCACATTCCCGCTCTTGGACGATCCAAACACATGTTTGCTGGCATGGTGAGTTGCCCAATCCAACATAATCTGACTGGCACGCGCTAACCCGGCCTGACTAGGACCACAACTCCATGGACACTGCCTTCAAACACCGGCCTCTGCGCGCATCCTGATTTTGAATACGTCAAGATTCTCGACGAAGCATCTGGAAAACACTACATCCTGCTCGAGGCACTACTACGCACACTTTACAAGGACCCCAAGAAGGCCAAGTTCAAGATTGTCGAGAAGCTGAAGGGCAAGGACATGTTGGGCTGGAAATACGAGCCACTGTTCGACTACCTCTACGAGGACTTCAAGGACTACGGCTTCAAGGTTGCCAACGATACCTACGTCACAGCAGACAGTGGTGTGGGCATTGTCCACCAGGCACCCGCATACGGAGAGGACGATTACCGCGTTGCTAAGGCCCATGGTGTCATCTCTGACACCCGACCACCACCAAACCCAGTTGACGACCAAGGTCGCTTTACTTCAGTTGTCCGCGATTTCGAGGGACAACATGTCAAGGCAGCAGATAAGGGCATTATCAAGCATCTGAAGGGCACCGGTCGCTTGATTGTGGACTCACAGCTTCTCCATAGCTATCCCTTCTGTTGGCGATCCGACACACCTCTCATCTACCGAACTGTCCCATCGTGGTTCGTCAAGATTCAGGATATTGTGCCTCAGATGCTGGAGAACATTGCTGGTTCGCACTGGGTTCCTTCCTTCGTCAAGGAGAAGCGCTTCGCCAACTGGATCACAAACTCACCCGATTGGGCTGTGTCACGAAACCGTTTCTGGGGCACGCCGCTTCCGCTGTGGGTCAGCGACGACGGCAAAGAGGTGGTCTGTGTTGGCAGCGTCGAGGAGCTGAAGAAGCTCAGTGGATACGAGGGCGAGCTTACCGATATCCACAGGGACAAGATCGACCACATCACTATACCCAGCAAAGAGGGCAAAGGCGTACTGCGAAGAACAGAGGAGGTCTTTGACTGCTGGTTCGAGTCTGGTTCCATGCCCTACGCCAGTGCGCATTACCCATTCGAGAACGTGGAGCAGTTCGAGAAGTCCTTCCCGGGTGATTTCATCGCGGAAGGTCTTGACCAAACGCGTGGTTGGTTCTACACACTCACAGTTCTTGGAACACATCTCTTTGGCAAACTGCCTTTCAAGAATTGTGTCGTCAACGGTATCGTACTCGCGGAAGATGGCAAGAAGATGTCGAAGCGCCTCAAGAATTACCCCGACCCTAACTTGATCATGAGCAACTACGGTTCTGATGCGCTGCGATTGTATCTTATCAACTCACCTGTCGTTCGCGCCGAGACACTACGATTCAAGGAGGCAGGAGTCAAGGAGATTGTTTCCAAGGTCCTTCTACCTCTATGGAACAGCTACCAGTTCTTCGAGCAACAAGTGTCACTGCTGAAGAAGGTTGCTGAACTGGACTTTGTTTTCGACCCTGAGGCTGGCAAGACCAACAAGAACGTGCTTGACCGATGGATCCTCGCGTCCTGTCAGTCGCTACTGAAGTTTGTGAACGAGGAGATGGCTGCATACAGGTTGTACACCGTGGTTCCGCGGTTACTGGAGCTCATTGACAACACGACAAACTGGTACATTCGTTTCAACCGACGCCGGTTGAAGGGTGAGCACGGTCTGGAGGACACCAAACATGCTCTCAACACCCTCTTCGAGGTTCTTTACACACTCTGCCGCGGTCTCGCACCCTTCACACCATTCATCACAGACAACATTTACCTGCGATTACAACCTCACATACCCAAGGAACTGCATGTGGAAGACAACCGAAGTGTCCACTTCTTGCCCTTCCCAGAAGTGCGCGAAGAGCTATTTGACGTGGACGTCGAACGCCAAGTTAAGCGCATGCAGTCAGTCATCGAGCTTGGCCGTATTTGCCGAGACCGTGCCAACAAGGGTCTGAAGATCCCGTTGAAGACTTTGGTAGTCATCCACCCAGAACAGCAATATCTTGATGACATCAAGTCACTGGAGAACTACATTCTGGAGGAGTTGAACGTCCGGGATCTGGTACTGTCAAGCGACGAGGAGAAGTACAACGTCCAGTACTCAGCGTCGGCCGACTTCTCCGTTCTCGGCAAGAAGCTGAAGAAGGATGCTATCAAGGTCAAGAAGGCGCTACCAAACCTCAAGAGCCAGGAGATCAAGGACTACCTGAAGAGCGGCGAAATTGTCGTGGACGGTATCAAGCTCGAGGCTGAAGATTTGATGGTCAAGCGCGGTCTGGCCAAAGATTCCAGCAACAAGGACCAAGAGTTCAACACTGACAACGACGTCCTCATTTTGCTCGACGTTGCCTCATACCCAGAGCTTGAGCAAGAAGGTCTCGCGCGTGAGGTCATCCGCCGTGTACAAGATCTCCGCAAGAAGGCCGGATTGGTGCCGACTGATGATGTAGGCATGGAGTACCGTGTGCTGGCCGACCCAGAGAATGTAGGTTTGGAGAAGGCATTTGAGAACCAAGGTCCACTATTTGAGAAGGCTCTACGGAGACCTGTGGACAAGCACGTCATCACCGAGCTTGACGGCAAGATCCCAGAGAACAGCAACGAGAAGGTCATCGCGGAGGAGGAGCAAGAGCTCCACAAGGCGACTTTCATGTTGCGATTGATCAAGCTATGATAGCGTTTGGATGTGATTTGATAGCATGATGGCGTGGGATGAATCGTTGAAGAAATGAAAACCAAATTTCGAAGTTCATGTCAAAACGCCTCTATATGCCTTACGTGTCAAAAAAGCTCCTGCCACCGCTACTACCGTTGCTTGTACGCCTTCTGTTGTGGATTTAGCCGTCGATGCCTTTATATACTTTGAGAGATGACACTTACCAAATAACACTCCTTCAACTTCATAAACTCATTGACGCACATGTCTTTTCGTACGTTGTTGTAGTCTGCAAATATGCATTTGCCGTATACCGAGCTCTGCATTACGTTAGGGCAGTGTCAAGCGTGACCGGTCACATCGAGGGGCTTAACATGCCTCTTTGGAGCATTTTGCTGCCGCTGTGGCGAGTTTGTCGATGGGACGTGTTCGGCCGGGCATTTTGATGAATAGTTTGTATCTTGTCTCGCTCGGGCTCGCAGGAATGTACCAAGGAAGCGCGCCACGTCAAGATTTGTGATGTTTCTCTAAACATGGCGAACTGCCACCTCGATGAGGTCAACGATGAGGGCCCACTTAACTAAAGGCTTGGCGTTGCCTGCTTCGCGAACGCGGGCGACCAACCACTCGAACAACAAAGCGCGTCGCTGCAACGCCAGAAGCGGGCGCACAACAGCATCTCTTTTTACTTTAATCTCCTGATGCCTCATCGTTGCGCGCCTTCTCCACGACTTTCACGCATGTTGTTTTTGGGTTGCCGTTGCGATAATTCCTCCCGGTTACTTCCATGTTGTCGCGAACGCGCTGGAGACGAACGAGTCGCGTACACGAATGCTATCCTCCATGAGCCGGAATGGAGCTGATCCGAGGGCTATAACGAGCGACGACCTTTTGCGGAATGAGGGTAGGACGCCTATGCAAAATTACACCCAGAATCAAACTAACATCGCAGCAGTCTCCGAGGCCATCCACGACATTGTTCGTCGCGCACAAGACTCCCACGATGGCTCTACCAACGCTCTCTTCGTCGCATACGATGAGTACATCAAAGACTACCGTCCATCGCCCAGTGACGCCGCTCTCTACTACAGTTTCCTACTGCGCATGCAGGAATATGAACGGGATGGCGAGGACTTGATGTCGCGCCTTTTCCGCGTGGTCAAGGAGGGCTTTGGTCTTGACGCCGAACTTGACGATGAAGAGGTTGCCAGTGTCCCGAAACACCCTGAAGCGACGCGCAGAGGAGCACAGGCGAGCTTGGGACGATACTCGCGGACTGGCAGCTTTGACTCGTTCCTTGACGGGACGGCAGACAAAGTAGCAGGCACCGACTATGGCGATTTGGCTGTGCGCCCGAGGAGAGTGTCGCAGCAGGATGGGCCAAATGGCTACGGAAACAAGGGGAGCCACCGTCGTGCCACATCCGACACGGAAGCGCATTCATATCGACCAGCACAACTCCCTGCCCGTACCAGAGTGAATGGCACTGCGCCTCGCCGCACAAGTTCTGGACCGCAACCACCAGTCCATAAGCGCAGCGCTTCTGTCTCGAGCCGTGGCAGTCTACGAATCCGAAGAGGTGGACCTACCCACTCATACAGAACTGGCACTCACGATGCAGATGAGAGCGACTTCACCGATCGCACTGCGAGCCTCGACCTCTCCTCCATTCAGATACCAGGAGTCAATGCGCCGATACCTAACGATCCTTACGACTCCCCGCACCAGCGCCGCCTACGACAATCGGAGCAACAACCTCAACATCAGCAGTATGTTCCCGAACCGTTTCGACTATCAGATACCCGATTGATGGACGATGCGGAAACTTTCGAACATCAACGAGTACACAGGGTAAAGAGAGAGTGTTTTGGAATATGGCGTAATTGCACACAAGAGCGCATGAGTCTGCGTGACGACATGGAGAAAGCTGCCATCGCCTTCGATCGTCGCGTCTTGCTCAGAGCCTCGCTCCTGCAACTACGAGACACAGCGCTTGTGAGGCGTTCTGGTCGAGAGACCAATCGCTTCTTCGAACGGCTAGAAACTCGTGCAGACAAGGCTCGCAGCCTCTTCCTGCTCACCAAAGCCTTTACACATTGGGCAAAGTGCGCGGAAGATGAAGTGCAGCGTACATCAGTGGCGCGACGGCACATTCTACGCACTCGATTCTTCAATGGGTGGCGCGACATCACAGCAGTTAACGAGCTCAAGATCCAGCACTTTGCTCTGGCCAAGTTCCTCTGCATATGGCGAACACGCGCAGCAGAAGTGCGTGATAGGGATCAGTTTGCCGAATCCTATTATGAAGAGAAAATCGTCAGGAAGTCGTGGAATGCCCTGAACAATGAGTATCTCAACAGAGGCGCAGCAAACTGGCATGATACAAGAACGGCAAGAACAACACTGCAAAAATGGCGTGAGATTACTGAGATCATGAGGGAGCGGAACACGTGGGCAACCGATCGACGAGATGGGACGCTGCTGCGGAAGACATTCCAGATGTGGCAGCAGAAGACAGTGGGAGAAAATGCTCTTCAATCACAAGCGGACCAATTTCGACGTATCTCCCTCCTTTCAACGGCACTCCATACACTTCAGAAGCAGGCGCAGCTTGAGCCACTATCGCGCCAGGTCCAAGCGCGTGTCAACGGTCGCTTGCTTCGTGCGAAATTTCAGGATTGGCGTAAAGACGCTCAGCTATCACGTCAAGCAAGCAATGTCGACCGTATGCGCGTGTTACGCAACGCTTACACTGCCTGGAACGATAGACTGCGTATCAAAGCATTGGAGGATCGAATCAATGACCGCGTCATTGTTGAGTGCTTGTACAAATGGACTTTGGCATCTCGAGTATCCCTCTTCCAACGTGTTCATAATCGGCAACTCAAAGAGTCAATATTTCTATCCTGGGTCACCAAGACCAACCAGCGTGTCAACACTCTTGACGCTGCGGAGATTCGGTTCGCCCAGTTCAAACGTGCTCAGCTAATGCGGACATGCTTGCGTAAGATGGAAGCCATCACTACGGAGAGGCGACGGGAGCAGTTCGCTATCATAGCCGAGTATCAGCAAAAGATCAAGCAGCGTACATTTGACAAACTCAAGGAGAGGCTAGCGCACTTTCAAGAGTTGAAGCAATGGTCTGCCGATGCGCGCTTCTATGTTCTTAGCAAGCATACACTAAAGACATGGAGTCAAGCCACTCAACATGCACGTCGCAACCGCAGACGCGACACATACTCCCAAGTCCGTAGAACGGTCAAAACGAATCTTGTGCGCAGAGTCTTTGAGCACTGGAGGCATAAGGCAAATCACATTGCAGTGCTGACACGAAGAGCAAACGACATGATCGAAAACCGCACTCTTCAGACCAGTGGTGCAATCATGCATCAATGGCACGACAACACGCTCATACTTCGCCAACAGAATGCTCAAGCCATGAGCCTCTACACATTCAGACTTTCCGCTCGTTACTTTGCCATTTGGTCTCAACGCTTGGACCTTATACATACACTCGAAGACCAAGCTGTGGCTTTACGGCAGGAAAGCACGGAGATTGCTGCTACAGGTGCTCTCAAGAAGATGGGCTGGAGACTTTGGAACTTCCAAAGACAAGAAGACAATGCCAGGGCGTTGTTTGAGAGAAACTTTGAGAAGCACGTTAGAGCTATGGTTCGTTTCTGGGCAGAGCGGGCTACTGAACGGCTTGGCCATCGACCTGCGAGTCCAACGCCTTCCAGTAGGTCGAGAGTACGAAGACTCGATGACGGCGATGGCAACAACGGAGACTTCCATACCCGCGACGGTGACAATGATCCCGGGCAAGATGGCTTTCAGCCATCAGGTGACGAAACGCAACGACTAGAGGCATGGACAGCTTTCGATGAGAGCGCTCTAGGTCTAGATAACGATCTCGACCTCTCCCTGTCCCTCACACCAGAACAACCACCACGACAGCCAACCCTCACCCCCAAACCCTACGCTCCTGGTCCTTCTCCTGCATCAATTCGTCCACCAGGCTCCATCCTGCGCCGACCAAACACATATCCGCAACCACAATCCGCAGTTCGGCCACCGCCAGCCACCATCATAGAAGACGACGAGTCCGACCTCGACTTCGGCGAGGGCGCACAGTCGACCTTCTGGTCCGGAACACCTATGCCACCTCCTCCAAGCAGTAAGCCAGGGTACCTCAAAACACCCAGTAAACGCAGCGTCGTCCGGGCCAAACGTCCTGAACTACCTGCTAGCCCTGAGAAACAACGTGTTCTGTCTCCTGTGCGTCGGCCATTGGGCTCATTACTGGAACGGGAGAGAGGGTCGCGACTAGGTACTATGAGCGCGCCGCCTATACAGAGCAGTAGAGATAACAAGCTTGGGGTTGGTGGTGTGACGAGTTTTGAAAGGAGGTTACGAGAAGGGGGATTTGGGGGTAGTGTTGCTGCTGGGGGCAGTGCAATGAAGAGGGGGAGGAGGGGAGGTGGCAGGGCTAGAGTGGGGTTTGGAGAGGTTAGTCAGATGGGGGGATTGTAGTTATCTTGCATTTTTGGAAGCATCGCGCGGCGTCTGCTAAGGTGGATCGGTTTGGATTTGTTAGGATACCCCCTATTGCTTGTCAATGTTATCTTGATCCTGTTACCTGTCTTGTTGTAGATGTATGCTTCTAGGTACCTCACTCTCCATTGTGTTGACGGTGTAGACATTGTACGAAGATAACTTTTGAAGTAAATCAAACCTCTTCCCACAGAATGTCTACATTTCTTGGGATCTTCTGAGTTCCTTGAAGTAATACCACCAAGAACCTAGCAAGAGAGGAGCTATAGATTGTATCGCATGGGGCTAGTGAACTCGATCAAGTTGCTAAAGAAAGGAGACTGGGGTTTGGAACTATGGACACCTACGACAAGCAACACAACATCAAGGGCTCTTTCAAGGAGATGTTCGGCACAGATATGCATGAGGATTAACCCACATTTCCCAATATTGAGGAGGGCTTGGATGACATAATTGATCAATATGGTGATGAGAGCGCTGAGTTACTGGAGCTGCCGAAGAAGTGTCGAGACAAGAATCTAGAGAATACGAGCCATTTGGCAATTTTACTTCGGCTGCTAGAAAGCAGCAAGGTCAGACTGAGAAACACTGAGACAGGTTGCAGAAGGTGTGAGCGATTGCATGAAAAAGAGTAAGAACTTAAAGAGACAACGAACCGTTAGGTCCCGAATAGTCCCTAAAGCCTGAGCCAAACATCCTGTACGTACGCCAGCTATATGCAAGGATGGTATAGCTGAAGCATCTCGACGCGCTGATCAGGGGTTTTTAAGCGCGCATGCAGCTTACGCTTTTGTGAATGAGTTACGCCGCAACAGCGGGTGTATAGATGTTGTATTTTTGTTGGTCGACGAACATGTCCGTGACTGAACCGATTCGTCGCTTAATCTAAAGAACCCTGCCAATATATGGCTCTCTCCGTATATTTGTTTCATTTCTGACATCAGCTCATGCTTCGTCCAATGCTTGGTCATTATCATGGTGTACCTGGTGTTCATACCCACAGTGCTCATGCGTGAAAGCGACATCATATCAATACTACGTACCTCTTCTCTCAAGACTTCTTCATATCTACCACACTTTCCTCAATACTGTTTGCCATGCTGCATCATATCACTATCAGGATGTGCAAACCCTCGTCCATATTCCTCAGCATCCTCGCTATCACCCTCACAGCAGCCCAAATTCCCCCAGACTATAACTTCTGCACGGGTGACAAAAGCACCTTGGGCCATTGCGACACACTCACATACGTAGACACTACTCTGGCCGCCAAAAATCCACCCGACGCGACGGAATGCCAGGAAGCTTGCAGTAGTATTTTCCAAGATGCTGGAGAGTGGGTCGTTCATCTAGAAGGTAGAAGCACCACTTTTCCATCCCTCCTTGTCTCATATACGCTTGTTTAATTCCATCAAGGCTAACCTTTCTACAAGGCAAACCAGAAGGTTACCAACAACACATGCACAATGCGCCCTGCGGTTTTAGCATGGGTGCCATTCCCAATAGTTCACACGAGTTTTCGTTTGACATGAATAACCAGGATATGGTTGACATCATCGATGAGGCGATCAAAAGGTTCGCGGGGTTGCACGATGGGAAAGTGGCGGCGCAAGGAACGGTGAGATGTGATGGCCATGAGGCCATGTGGTATGTCAGCCGGGATGCGCGGTAACATTTTCACTTTGCAGTGATGTATTGATGAGATATGTTAACCCTTGGGACGTACTTATCCATATCAGTTCGTTTTGGTATGAGCTGATGGAACCTACGTAATATCTGGCCTAACCTGACTCAGCCTCCATAATACTCTGCAATCTACCCAGTGAATTGACCACAGTGACAGCTACGTGTTTCTCTTGACCATTTAAGTCCAAAGTTGTCCCACAGTTCTGCTCTTTCTCAGCAAGCCACACACATTCTATTCCTGCTTCCGCCGCAGGGATGATGTCCCTTTCCCAGCTGTCCCCTACCATCACTGCATCCCCACTCCTTATTCCGAGAGTCTCCAGCGCCTTGCCAAACAGCCCATCTACCTTCGCCACACCAAGCTTATTCGTCGTGATCAGCCTGTCATAAAATGGCTCTAAGCCCAAAGCAGCGACAGTACGTTCCTGCGAATCCTGGGGGCCTTCTGTGACAATGGCTATGCTTTTCCCTTTTTGCTTCAAAGCCTGCAGTAGTGGTATTGCGCCTTCTTTAAGCTGCAGATGTTTTGTAAGTGCTGTTTCGTAGGTGTCGAGTAATACCTGCATCTGCAGCTCTGTACATCTAAGATCAAAGGTATCCATGACACCCTGGAAACGCTCTGCACGGTACTCATGGCTTGTTTTCCCGTCTACGAATGCTGCTGCTGTTTTGGTTCTAAGTACCTTGGTATATTCCTTCTTCAACTCGGCGGCTATGAGCGGTTGACTGGACGTAGTCTCACGGTTCGCGTGTTGTTCTGCGATGATATGCAGCGTCGCATCGACGGCGGCGGAAGATGCTTTGCGGAACTCGTGCAAAGTGTCGTCGAGATCGAAGAAGAACCAAGTTGCTCCCTTGAAGTATTCAGTCATGTCGCCGTTATTGAGTGTCGGAGAGGGGTGTAAGATGGCGTTCTTGAAGGTTGTCTAGGTACCTGCGGTCTGGTGCTGAAAGTATGGGTGCAGAGATGGATGGAGTAAGCTACGACAAACTAACTGTACTCGAAAAGAGTAATGGGGAAATGGAGTTTGACTTGGCGCTCCTGCTCGACATCGCTAGCCGGTAAAACTCGTGTCTCTATGCTATATCTTGATGTTGAAGCAGAATTTGAACAAAATCATTGGCAGCTGACAAACGTAACATAGGTCGGAGACGCGCCTCGGAATCCGGCACCTGGTTTGGCAAGTAAGAACAGCATGTTGCAGGGATGCACATGATGGCGTAACCATTAAAGAGAGTTGCGCAACTTCAGTGTTTGACTCTGCAGAGATCGTCGGGGTTAGTACGCTTTCCTCGCGCATTCGAGTGTGTGTCGTCATTGGCAAGCGCAACCGGACCTCGGAGACGTCCGACCAACGGTCGTACAGCTTTGCAATAAAGTCAACGATACAGGAAGCACTTGACACAGGGATACACATATCTTCCTGGACAATCTTGAAGAGTTAGTGACGAAGTTCGCACTCATGCAAAGATTTGAGGCTAATAGCCAGTCGGACAACCCCGCTCTTTCACTCGAGATCCTGTACCGAACATCACAAGAAGTATGCACCAAATGACACAGCTGAGTCTTGTAAGAATAGAAATAAATTTATATACTGAACTAACAATCCTATGACCATCATACCCATCAATCAATACCGAGTTCTTAGTGAGGCGCATAACCTCCCGCGTTAGGATCATCAGTAAGCACAACGTAAAAACCCAAGGGACACAGCAAATCGCTTTGCTTGAACGTCAACGTTGTATCATCGGAGCACAATGCCCCACTGACGGTCACCTTTCCGATGCCAGGAGGAATTCCACACGGAGCACCATTGACAATATAGCTGTTGCCCGGCTTGATGACCGGCGGTGGGTTTGGTGGGCTAGGTCCTGGACGTGGTTGGTGGTTGTACGTAGTAACGCCAGCCTCTGCACCAGCATTGATATCGTAACCGGTAAAAGTGAAATGACCAGGGCCTTGAAAGACGAAAAGACCAGGTGCTTGAATAAGAGAAGGAAAGTCGAAGACAAGATTGCAGATCTTGCCTTGGGTGGCGTCAGAGTCGAGCTCGAGATTGAAGATTGTGCATTTATCTTTGGGAGTTACGGTCGCCCATTCCGTGGCTGGGTATGCTTTGTCGGGGTTCTTGGCAGATATGGGGACGAGTACTGAGGTTGAGATGCTGTTTCCTTTGGGTAACCTGCCGTCAGGTTGGGCAGGATTTGCCGGACATTTGGCGAAGTTCTTCAGGACGCTCAGAGTGCGTGGTGTGATATCGCTTGGTGCAAATGTAGCTGGTGCAGCGAGTGCTGTAGCCAGGAAGGCTGAGACAAGCGTGAAGGTCTTCATGGCAAAATGGCTGACGTTGATTCGACAACTTTTGGAGATGGATCAAGAGATGTTCTATGGCTTGCGAACCACAAAGAGAGCGTATATCATCTGTAGAGGCCAATCGCTCTCTTTATACTTCTCTCTTTGATACCGTTAACTCAGCTTGTCGTCGCCAAACTGGCGCACATTGGCAACGATAATCTAACGTTCGCGTAACGATTGTCGCTCTCGACTACCCCTTCAGATGATGAAAAGCCTCATGGGTGACAGGCAAGCTGATAAGCGAGCCTCACTTGTTTCCAAGAACAGCTTCCTCGCTCACATCTCCAACTCATGCGATTTGCTAGAGACGCCAGGCACGGCTCGATAGCCTTGTAGGTGAGACGTAGCTAGCTAAGTAAGCTCTGTATTCAGGAACGACTGTCTTGACTCTGCTTTCGCTTTACTAAAGTCAGAGAGGCCTGAAAAGCGTATTGAGAGACTATTGGCTGATGGCTGTTTCATACAGTAAAGGTTGTCGGAACCCCACCTTTCTACCCGTCAACGTGGGCATCGAGTAAGCTCTCCCAAGACTATTGGAGGCATCTTCTGTGCAGCTTGATATTGGCATTTTCACTTTCAAAGCAGTCAAGGCATGCTCAGCTTAAAGTGGGCACTTCTTCGGACGCAATCGGCGGGGCGTGTTTAGCGTTCTGTATTTCCATGGTAGCGCTGCAACACCTGCATCCATATCATAGATTCGCGCGAACGAGTCGAGACCCCGAGAAAGAAACAAGCCTAACGTCTAGTGCCCGTTTGATGCCTGCTGCCCTTGGCCTTAGGCAACCTCCAAGAGGTATAGAGGTGGCGTTCGCAGCGACGGTCTACGCTTAATGAAACCACCTTAGCTATCGAAAATTAGTTCGTGGTCCAAACATAGCTCCCAAGCTACCCATTGGAGGCTTCTCACGATACTCAACTATGACTGGCTGAGATGAGCAGTTACTGACGTCGGTGTCAGAAGAGAAGGAATGGCGCGGCCGTGGTGTGTCTCCAGTGAGTGTGCAGCAAAAGATGGGCCGCATTGCGCTCTACAACAGCCTTCCTGGTTCCTGAGGTTATGTCATCGCATCTAATGCTGTGCCATTACCACGAGACTCTCATGCGAGCCAGCCTCATGTCCACTTGCTGTACTCGTGTTCCGCGGCGACCCAGTCCCATGGTAGCCATGCGCCGGTAAGCCAGAGCGAAAAAACACAGACTGACCCTGGCTAGGGCGCCGTGTCCATGTCTTACCTGCGACTACAAGCACACTACGTTGAATGCGGCCTTACGCCGTGCGATACGGGATAACAATATGTTGCCACAGATGGGCGCACGTGATCGCCATATCTCAGTGCTGATAGCTAGCTGCAGCTCATTCACGGTCGGCGTGACTATGATCACTGGAAACACACGTTGGGCATATGGTAGGTAGAGGATATGAGCGATTGGTAAATGAAGTTCACGATCAAGAGTAGCATAGAGAAGTGGTTTTTTTTTCAAGTTCAATTTCAACAACACCATCCGCAGACTAATTACAATTACCCTTTCCGACACCAAGGATATTTACAGTGAATTTCAATCCCCAATGCAATGTATCATGTAAAGTCATAGCTTGCCCGTGGACACGCTCAATTGAATGTTATGACATTTACAAGAAGAAAGCAGCGAAAGCACCAACACCGGCAACGAAGCCACCGACGTTGAGAGCAGAGGCAGCACCAGTGAACTCAGCAGGGGTGGAAGGCTTGACGTAGCCACCGGTCTTGGTGGGCATGCCAGTGCCAGCGGGAGGAGCACCAGTGCCAGCAGGGACAGAGGGGTAGGGAGCACCACCGACGGGGACAGATGGGTAAGGAGCACCACCGGAAGGCTGGGGAGCACCAGGGACCATGGGGGTACCGGAAGGCTTGCCAGCACCGGGAACGACGGGGGTACCGGTGGGGTAGGGGACAGTGACGGTGATGGTGGTGGAGCTCAAGCAAGAGGTGGTCTCAGCCTCGGGGACCTCAGGGGTCATGGAGGAGGCAGGGTAAGAGGGAACCTCAGAGGTGGCGTGCTCGGGAACCTCGGGAGTCTTGGTGGACTCGACGGGGTACTCAGCAGGCTTGGAGGGAGTCTCAGCTGGGTACTCAGCGGGCTTGGAAGCAGAGGGGGTCTCAGCAGGGTACTCGGCTGGCTTGGAAGGAGTTCCAGCGGGGTACTCAGCGGGCTTGGAGGCCTCAGGAGTAGCGCTGGAGGCGGGGTACTCAGCAGCGGGAGTGGAGGGCTCAGCTGGGTAGGCAGGGTAGGCGGGAGCAGCAGAGGAGGGCTCAGCAGGCTGAGCAGGGTAGGCAGGGTAAGCCGGGGCAGCGGGAGTGCTGGCTGGGGCAGCAGGGTAGGCACCGTATTGGGGAACGGCGGCGGCAAGGCCAGCGAAGGCAGCGACGGCGAATGAGTAACGCATTTTGATGGTATTTAGAACTTGAAACGGTAAAGTTGGAAGTGTTGGTTGGTGGAGGTTGAGGTGGTTGAGAGAGTTGGCGAGTGTGTATTATTAATGATAGTATTAGTTGGTAACAACGAATGGACGACTCGAAGGTCAAAGGACTTGAAGCTCGAAAGTTTGGCTGTGAAGTGAAGAAAAACAGCAAGGCGACCACGCTGCTATGATATATACCGTAGGGAGATTACAGCACGGTAGCGCGGACCGGAAACAAGTGGCCACTGAAAGGGGGGACCAGGACGGCGCAACAGGGGCGGAAGCATCTGGGCGCTGCAAGTGGTCTGGCGGATGTCAGGGCTAATGCAGGAACCAAGCTGGCATGCCGCCCCGCTGGCCACTCGCAGGACGTGCGTACCTGGTGCTAAGACCAGATCGGCAGGTTGGCTGTGGAGGGTTGCGGTGGCTTCTCGTGTTGCAGAAATGAACGGCTTGCGTTGGTCGCTCAGTCGAGTGTCTGCTAATGCTGTCTTGCTGCACCCAGGCCCATAACCCCAGACCGGCGGTTGTTGTTCTAATCACGCGCTATAGGCGGAAGAACACAACACTGCCATTTTGAGAGTATCGCAAGGCACGTTTGTTTCGACGGCCTCTGCTCGGTGCGCCTTTGAGCTCTAAGTGGCGATCCTAACAGGGTATCTTCAGGGGCGTCCTTATCGTGCTGCCCGTTGAACAGAGGTTCTCCACCAGGGCATGGGGCTTCCAGCAAAGCCTCTGGAGATCCTTATCCCGAAATAGTGTTTATAGCATGTCAGTGTTGCAGAACCTGCAGGGTGCGTCAGCTTTTTGTTTAGTTTTGCAAACATCCCACAGCGCTTTTCACGTGCGCGTCAGCTTGCCTCAGCGAAACATGTCTTTCGGCCTTGTCGTTTGCAAAAGATGTCACCAAATGCTCTATGCGCTGTCTTCACGCCGGTGCCGGCTTTGCACGACCGGACGGTCCTTTGTGCAAGGCGCCGTGGCCCCAGAATCGACGAAAACATTGGTGAGGCCAGTCTGCCGAGGAGTGGAGATTAAGCATCAGGCGCTTACGAATACGGCCTAGCTGGCTTCTGCGCTGTCCCCTTTCGTCTCCACTACGCCTTGTCCAGCTCGACTTTCATTTCGGCCTCACCTCCAGCGTCTTTACGCCGGTCGTACTTCACGATACGATCTCCGCATTTCGTCATTGTTGCTGTTGTGTTCCGTTAGCCAAATTGCTCTTTTTCCTCGCGCTTCAGCCTTCACGGTCATGCACACAATAGTGCGCTGCACTCGTTTCGACCGCGATGCATCTTGACCGCCTCGCTTTCATTTGCATGTGCCGCTCACTTGCATTCAGCCGGGAAAACTCCGGTGGGCATCGGCGACAACGTCCAGAAGACCCTTCTGACTGCATTCTCCGCTGCCACATAATCAATGCCGATCATATCGAAGCGCATGACTATCAGGCTGATGATAGAGCGGCTTTATCGGAGCGAGATAAGGCGGTCAGTCATTCGACGTCGGGAATGAAACCATGAGGCGTGCAGCTTGCGATTGGTGTGCTCAGCTCGGCTCGCGAAGACGAGAGACCCACACTATCGCCTAAACATCAGCCGGCATTTGATCTGGCTCTGATTGCATGCTCCTACCATCGCTGCCTTTTTGACAGTGGATGAGCATACGTTCTTAGATCTTCACCTACCTTCGCACCTCTCCACCAGCCCACTAGCTCTACGTTCGTAGACTCTGATATTCACTGCTGGTCGCGTCTGCTCGGATCTTGGGCCATGTAACTCTGCGGCATGGGGATCTCCGGCTCATGTGCACCTCACAACCTTTCGGCGCACCCTCTGCATCCGTTACACCACCAGAGGAACACACCAACAGGAATCCCCCAGGGCTCAGTCTATCGCCTACGGCCGGAGCTCTCATAACTGCCACCTCTATTCTGGTGTCGTAAGTATGAACGATCTACTGCCCATGGCCTGCGAGGTATTGCTATCCACGCATTCCATATGGCCGCTTTGCGTGACAGGTGCTGTAAGTTGCACATATGGAAAACGCCCGGGTGGGAAAGCTTTCGAGCTAAAGGACATAGCTCCTAGAAGCGATGTTGCTATCGCTCATAAGGTTCGAGAGAAGATTGGATCTTTGCATGCTGAATATTACCCGGTTCACAGCTCCTACAACAAGGAACTTTGTATCTGCCCAGAATTGGAACCACCGTTACTTGCTTGTTACCATGACAAAGAGGTTTCTTCTATACCATATGGTGATGGAGATTTCGCGAGCACTCTTTAAGGGTGGAACCTTGCTATGCCATGGACCATCGTGCATAAGCTCGTCTCCGACCACCAATCCCGGGTTGTTGACGGGATTTTCGTAAGTGAACATTTAGCAACATTTTGCGCTTTTCAAATCCGCACGGCCATGGCTGGATCCAACTTTAATACTAAGCAACTGTTTTTAACCGCGACTAAGAAGGTACAGCACACTCTTGTTCGCAAAGTTTACGCCTCATTCGTGTTACAGCCCGTGTACCGAACAAGATAACAGTTATTCATCAAAGCGCACTGGTCGAGATCCGACCCCGAATTATATGAGACAGGGTACCACAACTTGCCACCAGAAACCCTCGATGGGCCCGCTTTGTTCCTGTCAGCCAGTTTCAAAGCGCGTGTGTCCTTGACTCCGCTCAACAGAATGGACGAAGCGTCTAGACGCGCAACAAGAGCTTCCATCACCACAGCTCCGACACAGCTACTGTACCATGATATTGAGCGGACTTCTTACTTCGCCCTCAACAACCCTCATATAGACTTCGTTCATTGTTTATCGAAAAGAAACGGGCTAATGATCCTGCAAGCGTCACGATATAGGCCCTTTAGCATGCGATCTATGTTGCATGCTTTCAAGATTGAAGGTCACCGCTCCATCCGCTACGGTTATGTCGTTCACACCAAACTTGGAGGGTATGCCGTCGTGGACGAGGGTCAGCAGCCGGTGCTAAAAAGAAAAACTATTATGAAGTTAGTGGTGCATGGATCCGATTCGACTATGGGGATTGGGAAGGACTTAATGATCCAGTCGTCGGGATCAGCAGTGTGGCAATCTACCGCAAACCTAGGCGGGAAAGTTTGCTTGTTACCGGAAGCTTCTTGTGGGTTGGTAGGGTCCTGGGAAGATTTGTCACTCATCTATAGGTCTTGTGACTATCGACAGAGATTGGGTAGGAGCAATAGCGGTAGCTGAACGCGTCAAGATATTGCTTTCCATTATGAGCGTTGCGATGTATTATGCTTGCTGCGTTCATCACATCCTGGAGACACACGAAGGGACACTTGGTGGGAAGAGGGCGATCTTGTCACGAAGACAAGATGACAATGTCTAGGTAGGCTCGAGAATACGTGGCGAGTTGTTCGCAAGTTACAGACGGCCAGTGTTCACCAAGATGAGTTTCCCCATGACGTGGTATAATACATCGCGATGCTTCAGTGTTTCCATCACTACTTAGTTCCCACGTGGTCAAGTACCATGTATTTGTAACAACCTTTCAGTATATTCATACTGTACTCGCACAGGCTAGACGTACACAAACACACGTGCCTTCCAAGCTCCTACGACAAGAGCAAGGATACAAAGATGACAAAGTCCCTAACCAACGCCATGCTAATACACACGCTTCCACGGTCGTAGCCTGTGAGTGCAAAAACTATGCCTGTCCTGATCAATAACATGCCAACATCCTACATGCTATACCGCGATGCCCGATAAGAAACACCTATGTACGCCTGTTGAACCTGAAATAATATGCCTAACCTGGTAGGTGGACATTGAGTGGTCGCAAAAAGAGCATATTCAAACCAAACGACTGTCAACATGCTCAACCGATACTGCTTCATGTCTTCATCTTGCCAAGGAAGCCATCGAGGTCAAACTCCTCCTCGTACTGCTTCTCGTCCCAGAGATCTCCGAGCTCATCCAAGAAGCCCTTCTTGCCCTTCTCTCTCAGCGCACCTGTCGCGTCCACAGCATCATTTTCATCGATACCCGTGCCGTCGTCCTTTGCATTGCTGGGTGGCGCCGGTAGTGCGGCAGGGTCGTTGGAGTCGGCGGAGACGTTGAAGAGATCGAGAATCTGATCCGTTTGCATGGATTGTAGACCGGCGTTTTGCTGGTTCACGACTGTGGAAGCTACGTCGATCTTGAAGCGTTGGAGACTGGAAAAATTAGTTAGAAGGACTTCTTGGGTATTGGGGGTTCGAAATACTTACTTCAAGATCTTTTCTTCCAAGGTGCCCCGCGTCACGATTCGGTACACGTTCACGACCTTCTTCTGACCGATACGATGGGCGCGGTCCATAGCTTGAATGTCTTTCTGTGGATTCCAATCGTGCTCAACGAAGATGACGGTATCGGCACCAGTCAAATTGAGACCTAGACCACCGACACTGGTTGTCAGGAGCAAAACATCGTACGAGGGATCAGTGTTGAATTTGTTGACAATCTCCTGGCGTTTGGTAGCCTCGACACCACCATCGAGACGCATGAACTGCACAGAAGGAAGAAGCTTTTCGAGTACGTTATGCTGGACCATATCCAGCATCTCCTTCATTTGACAGAAGACGAGGGCGCGATGCTGAGAGACAGCTTCTGGTAGGTCGCCATTAGCGGCGGCAGACTTGTCACTAACAACGTCAGATGCACCGATACCGCAGTCGACAAGCAAATCCTTTAGGGCGCCTAGCTTGGGTGCGTGCACGATGTCGTCGATCGTGGTGTTGTGCTTCTTGAGATACTGCTGGGTAGGCTCATAAGCTTTGTTGGTAGGACCCTTGACAACGAGTGAAGGCGAATTGCAAAGCTTCTTCATGTACTGTAGAGCCTGGAAGATATGTTGCTTGCTCTCACGATCGGCGTTGCCAGCCTTGGACTGAATCTCCTTGCCCTGGCGCTTAGTGAAGTCGTCGAAGAGATTACGTTGCAATTCAGATAGATCACAGTAGTAATTCTGCAGAATCTTGGGTGGCAGGTCATCAAGTACTTCCTCCTTGAGACGACGAAGAAGGAATGGGAGCACTTGCTTGTGTAGAGCTTCGATTGCAAGCGCACCTCTCTCTTGCTCCTTCGACGAGCTCTTGGCGAATCTGGAGGCAGCGATGGGCTTTGCGAAACGCTCCTGGAAGACCTTCTCGGTACCGAGGAAACCGGGCATGAGGAAATCGAAGAGTGACCAGAGCTCGAGCACATTATTTTGAATGGGTGTACCGGAGAGAATGAGACGATGGTTTGATTGGAACTGCTTGACGGCCTGGCTGGTCTTCGACTTGGAATTCTTAATCAGATGACCTTCGTCAAGTACGCAGTAATTCCAGGTAATGGGCTTAAGAATGTCCGCATCGTTCCTGCAAATATCGTACGAAGTAATGACGATGTCCACCTTGTCGAGCTGGTTCCTGTGCTGACCACGAATGGGTGGAGAACCAACATAAGCGACGCAACTGAGGAAGGGTGCATATTGCCGGATCTCCTGCTGCCAATGACCAGACAGTGTAGGCGGACATACGATGAGAGATGGCAGGCGTCGGAAGTTTGGATCGCCAGTTTTTGCAAACTCGTCTGCGCGTATGTGATGATCACTAGCCACCATGCACAGTGTTTGTAATGTTTTACCGAGACCCATGTCGTCGCAAAGGATACCGTGAAGATTGTAACGGTTGAGGAAGGCCAACCAGTTGACACCTTCCTGTTGGTATGAACGAAGCGTCGCCTTGATACCGACAGGAATTTCGAAAGGCTCCACCTTCTTCGCATCGAGCATCTGAGCAACGAATTTTCGTTCTCGGTCTCGGCCCTTGAGGAGAGAGTCTGGAAGACCCGGTGGGTCAGGGATACCAGACTCAAGCGGTACGAGCTTGACCAGTGTGGCAAAACTGGTTGTAGCAAGCAACCGTACATCGTTGTCTGAGTCGCTCATACGACCAAGAACAGGGGTGATAAGGAAGATGACGTATGGTAGGATGGCGTCTTCCATGACATGAATGAGATGGTAGATGCACTCGATGGCTCCTTGGCGGGCGTGCACGTTGCCACCATCGCTGATGGTCGGTAGAACGTTCTCGACAAGCATCGTCACACCTTCCACAGACATGACGCTGCAGATGGTAGCGAAGCACTTGGCAGCTGCGTACCGCAAAACGTACAGCTTGCTCTGGAGAGCCTTTGCAATGAGTGGAAGCAGATCCTTGACAAAGCCTCTGACACTTGGGTGGAAGCTACCGACCAGGGCACGTAGAGTCGACAAAGCATCAACGACTTCCTGGCCAAAGACACCATCTTCGTTGAAAATGTGCGCTGGAAGAGTGGCCTCGGTGAAAGCGTCCTTGATGGGTCGTTCAATCAGGTCCTTGAGGATGGGGACCTTCTCGAAGATCTCAGCGCCGAAACTCTCGACAACCTTCTCCAAACCCTCTCGTGCACCACGCTTGGTGATCCTAGCGGCTCGTGACTCCTCTGCAAAGCGAGCAGCGTCCGGGTGGTCGCGCACGTCTTCATCCTTCTTGAGAGTAAGAATGCCTGTTTCGATATGTGACTGTCCGGCAAACTCGGGTGTTTCAGCTGTTTCCATGCAGTAAAACTTGACCAAGTTTCCGACAACTTTGTTAACTACGCCAGATCTCTTCGCGTTGACCAAAAAGACGATGTAGCCCGCAACAGCAGCCGCTGAGCGTTTCTGTAGCTCGACGTTCTCCTCCTTCTTGACGCTGTCCATCATAGCCTTGATTGGTGGGGATGGCTTCCTCGGGGGTGAGTTGAGCGCCACCAGTGCACCGGCTGCAGCAGCCTTTATACGGACATCGCGCTCTTCCTTGATATCCTTGGCCTCTTGGATACTCGATTCTACCTCCTTGCGTGCTGTTTCCAGGTTTGTTCCGGCAACCATGCGGGCTGACGGTGTCATTCCCTTCTTGAGTTTCTCATACTGCACATTGAGCAGCTTCTCGGCATCGGCGACACCAAAAGCATAGTGATTCGCATTTGGCATGCCCTGGACAAGAGCAGCAATCGTTGGCAGATTTTGCACATGTGCTTCGTGGAAGATGCTCAGCAAAGAGTGACACTGTGTTCGAACGATTTGTAGTTTCGGCACGAGATCCTCGTAGGCGGCTGGTCTTTCGCCTTCGACGATAGGTAGGAGGGCCTGAACGAACGATTCAGCCAAGGCATCTTTGGTCGCCAAATTCTTTCCGAATTCCTCGATGATGATCGCGCCCGTCAATTGGGTTGACGCATTGGGAGAAGAGAGAGGCTTCAATAGTCTAGATTTGAAGGCCTCCAACCTCAGTTCCTCAGGCCACGCTCCCATCGCTTTGCCAAGAGCCTGTGCTGCAGAGGTCCTGGAGCGAATCATCACGTCCGCTCCGATGAGTTCCAGATCGCCAGTAATCATATGTCCGTCGACGTTGTGACTTTGGGAAGTTGGAGTAGGCGTTGACATGTCATCCTTTCCGTGGCGAGACTTCTTCCTCTTCCGAGCCGGCTCACCAGCATCTGGCGGAGATGATTTACGACTCGGCTCAGAGTCTGGTGGCGGGCCCATGGCTTGCCCAGAAGGTTTGATGAGTAGTGACTTATTCAGCGATATCGGATGACGAGAAACTCCGATAGGCGTCAGGGTGAGGGGGATCACAGCATCTAGTATGGGCTCCATATGAGTGGCCAGCTGGTTACCCAGGGCCTCCACGATAGCGTTCCAAAGCTGGAGAGAGAGCTTCAGCACGCCCTCGTTGCGTTCGAGCAGGATGTTCTGGAAAACAAGCTGTAATGCCTTGCTGTCTACCCAACTGTCTGCACCTTCGCTCTGGATATTGAGGAAAGTAATCAGAGCACGCAATACCGCCGCGCGAACACTGGTGATTGTATGGCGTAGGAATGGGAAGAGTCGAGGCACCAGTTCGTGAAATGATTGACTTGGGTCCTGTCGTGCGTTGGCTTGCATGGCTTCTAAGACTTGAGGAAAGCCACAAAGCTTCGCCAGCAGATCCATGATGAAACCAGTGCTCGCGCTCAGGTCATCTTGTAAGCTGGAGAGACACGACCAGACTACGTTCATCAACCCTTCGAGTGATTTGGGACGCATCTCGATAAACTCCTTAGCGACCGGGATAAGAGTCGCTGCACTGATTGCTCGAACATCGTCGTCGGAATTGCTTAAACCGCTGATAACTGCAGCGAGTACCCCATCCAATAAAGTACCATCTTCTAGGAGCAGATCGTTCCTAACGGCGACAAGATACCGTAAACCAATCATACCACCTTGACATAAGGCCCATGGTGCGCTTAGAGGGTTAGTGTCGAGGGGAAGGTTGTGATTGATGATCAGGCGGTTGAGGACCTGAAATGTTGCGAGAACGTTGTCGCGAGACATGTATTGCAGCAATGAACCAAGGGCTTGTCCAGCCGTCTCGCGAATGGGCGCGATGGCATTATCGCCAGTGAAGTCCGCAAAGCGGTCAAGCATGAAGATGCAGATCATGCGACATGCTAAATCGTTGAGCCATCGCTGGTTGAGCCGATCATTCCCAGTCCGACTGAGACCCTTCCGTCTGCCAGCACCACCGCCGTGGATACGAAGAATCTCTCTAAGACCCATTGCGGCACCATGACGTACCTCCCAAGTGTAGTCAAATAACTCAACAGAGAGATACGCACACACGCGCTCGAATGGCCATTCCAATCCGGCCTCTTCAGCCTCAGTCTGGAACGATGACTTCTCTGCCACTGGCGCGCCCTTGAACTCTTTGACGAATTTCGCATCGTCGTCCCCACCGTTGCGCTCGAGTGAGAAGTAGTCGTTCATGGGTTCGTCTTCGTCGCCGTTCTCCGATTTCTCAAATTTGAGGGCCACGGGGTGTGGGCGTACCGGCGTCTCAACAAGGTCTGGTTGTGAGTCTTTTCGTGAATTTGAGTTGAAGTCGACGACTTGTACTTTGTTAGTACCTCCGGCAGCTTGCCTCTTGTTCTTGCGCCGTAGGGCATTTTGTTGACGCTTGCTAAGCCCTTTACCATCAGGTGTGCCTGCAGTAGGAGAACTGGCATTGTTCATGCTATCTGATCGTGAAACATTGGTGTCGATGCGATTTATAGCAGGTGTTTTGGGAGCCGGCGTTTGCGGCATCAGCTCTTGGGGTGGTGTAAGGTCCTCAACCCATGCGCCTTCGAAGCCGAGACGCTTGAGCAGGGTACTCTTTTGGTACTCTAGTCGTTCAGCAGGATCCATGGCTGCAAGCTTGTAATCATGTTCCTTTGTTCCGAGAGAAGCTAGGACTTTGCCAAACTTGAGGATGGAAGGCAAGTCAAGTGTAGCAAGATCGAGCCCGTCGGTGAGCGGTGGTAGAGTGCTGTCGCCATTCTCCTCCTTCTTGACCGACGCGCCGTTGGTATCCTCAGACTTGATTTCGCCATTTGAATCTGACTGGCCTTCCGGTTTGACAGGCCCCTCGGGATCCTCTGCGTTGGGGTCGAATTTGTCGGCATTGGCGGCGATGCCTCCTATGGCCTTGGCAGCAGCAACTCGAGTTTCCCAGCTTTTGGATCGCAGGTAGGGAATGACTCGAGTAAGAAGATTAAAAAGTTCGTCGGGATGTTGTTTTTGGACGTCGGCGAGCTGGTCTGCTGCTGTGTTTCGGATTAATGCTGTGCTGCCGGTCTCGAGGAGCCTTGGCGTGGGTTAGCGAGAGTCAGAAAGTGTCGAGTAAGGCAAGGCTGTCGAGGCAAGATAAACCTGTCGCAAAAGACTGCAACTGTAGTGTATCAAGTTGCGAAGAGCATGCAAGATGTTGCGACCGGGTATACTTACGTTACGAGACGGTCCAATCTGGTGGCACTATCAAAGCGTTAGCGCGTCATGCATGCATCGATGCGATATGCGACATACCTCATGTTTGCGCCGCAGGATGAACAGCCAGGCTCGCAAGTGGAGCGCAACCGGAAGAATTAGAAATTACTAGGCGCCCGCAGGCGTGGCCATTGAAGCACTGAGCACGGCAAATGATGTTGGGCTATGTAGTCAGAGGTGTGTATGCGAGTCACGTGACGGAGTGGTAACTCGATGCGGTGCCGGGAGCGCGTTCGGAGAAGGTGGGCTGCGGGCCTATCTAAGAGAATGAACAGGTCATTAAGTAGGCTGGATCACCACCAGGAACGGGCTAGTGCGGTGGCCCGAGCGTCCCGTTTCAGGGAGTAGAGGGAAATTTTTGCAACATCAACGGCGCCGGCCAGAGTGATGCATGTACAAACAGAGTGCATGTCCTCACTGTCCAGGTCGTCTACCGAGTGCGAGACATATTTTGATGCTTATCGGGCGTGGTGCGATGAACTGCGCCGGTCGCGACTGCCTTTGAAAGCAATGTGGCCTCTGCGCTAGCCGGATCCATCACCGCCTCATGTGTACGCACCAACGCGCCTGCTCAAAGACCAACTTCCAACATCTCCACTCCTCCACCTACTCATAATCATATACGATGATCGCATTCGTCGTCGCGTCAATTTCGCGACAGCACTCTGTGCATTCAGTACACGACATACAACTCCCAGTCCCAGCGTGACTCTACGCGTCTTTGTTGTCACCCGGCTAGGCTACCATCATTTCTGACAGCCAGCCAGAGCTCTCCGGTGCCCTGGTGGCTTGCAAGGCTGCCCACCGGTAAGCCCTTGACCACTTTTTGCCCATCGCAGCAGCCGCAAACAGTGCAGCCCTTTCCGTGTCGCCTTCTGCTCTATTCGACACGAATCAAACGCGACAATTCTGATATCCGTGGCAAGGCGGATGTACCGGACGGACCCAACCTCTCGCTTGAACTGATCTGCATGAAGCGCTGCAGCTAGCGCATACCTGCATCGACATATCATCTGGGGATATCGTTCTTCTACATGTCTTCCTTTTTTCTATTGATTATTCTGTCTTCTGGCCCCAGCGCTCCCCCATGGGAATTCGACGTTTTCCCCGCAGCATTTGCGTGTTGAACGTGTAATTTCGAAGTGGAGTCCAACGAACGCAGGTCCAACGCTTTTCGTGCTACGCGAATTGCCCTCCATGTCATTGGTACCGCGCCTGTGGCTGGCTGCAGACAGCGGTCCGCGATACGCCCGTGCTTGACCACTATTTCTATTCGTAAACAATGCGCGAAGCTCTAGCGCAACGCCTGGATCGCATTCTCGAGCAAGAGCCAGGAACGTGTGGTACACCAAAATATCCGTCGTCGTGAGGTTGCGCGCTGCGATAACACTTCGCCGCTCAAGGCCGTATTTGCTGCTTACCAGTCATGATGTTGTCGCGTGACATTACAGCATCATACTTTAGTCATGGTCATTGTGGTACTGCTCGGCTTCTGCTCCATGTTCCGCACGCACACTACTGGTCATTGGACACTCGTCATCATCAGATTTCATGATTATTCACGTGCGCAGGTATTGCCCTTGCATCTTTACAGCGCTTAACTCATCGGCGTCGACTCGAATTTGAACCACATTAATAGCAACACTGTTACACCATAAGCAAACCATCGTATTACACTGCTACAGCGTCAGCCCTAGCATGGGCGTGCCCTTGCACATGACAGACAATTTCAGTACTTTCAGAAAACTGCTTCGGACATGACAAGTATCTGAGGAGGCAAGTAGCGTTCGATCTCGTTATTTCTCTGTGCCGTGATAGAGGAACATGATGGCAGTCTACCAAACTTTGGAAGAGCACGCACCGGCCATGAGCCCCCGTCAAGTCATTTTGGTATTGAATAGCCAAGTTCTGGAACGTACAATGGATGCGAGAGTTGAATCGGATGATTTATATACCCAACTCCTATCAGAGGCGCCAAAATGGAGAAGCATAGCATAGTCTTCAAAAGTTTCCGCTGATGTTATCAGCGTAGGTTACTGCACATATCTCCAGAATAATAAGTCCACTCTATAACAGCTTTGGAGTCATTCAATTACTATTCAGGCATGATTATCATTTCATCATCTTCCCAACTTGGGCACTTGCACATCATCTAGTTCTCCTGGCTGTTTAGCTCTGCTACACGTGCGATAGCAGCGTCAATGGCGCTAGGTTTTATGTTAGATCATGCTTCTGGGATAAAGGTGATGACTTACTCTGTGTCAGGAGAATCGGAGAAAAGCAGAGTCTGCAAATCTGCTCTTGCAACAGCGATGCGTGCTGCAAGAGAGCCCATGGTCGGCTGGCCGTTTTCGTTCTCTCGTCCTGCGTTACCTTCCGACACAGTACCGGCGTTATCCCCTGTGTCTTCTCCATGTTCATCTTGGCCGGCGGCAGCAGCAAGAGTATTTCTGGATTGCGCTCGAGCAATATCAGTGCCTGCCGCAATAACTGCATCCACGGTAGCTTGGAGCCTCTGGATTTGTTGAGTGAGGTCCGATGAGAAAGCGTTGCGTCTTCCTCCCCGAGCTCCAGAGGATACAGGTACGGTACGTAGTTCGTGAGCGACCTCGTTGGTCAAATGATCCTGGCACCAATATAGCCGATCGGACTTGGGACTCGTAACCTCAGTAGGCTGACTGGCTATATATAGGCTCATTCTGCTTTTCTGGAATTTTGCATAAGTGTCGAAGCCCTGAGAACGCATGTAGTAGCATAGACGTAGTGCATCCTTGGCTTGTGGATGCTTGTCTTCCGCTATATTTTCCGTCCAGTAGTAAGCTTGTCGGACAGTGAGTGTATCGGATGCATGAAGACCTAACTACTGCAGCAGTTGGAGCTGTATTCTGATATACGCCAGGCTTCTCACGGTATCCTCTGCCTCGTCTGTTTCATTGTAGGTGGTCTTGGGTAGCATGGAAACGAGCGTAGTGACAGGCTTCTTCGGTCCTCGCTGCGGGGCCGTGACGTTGTTCTCGTGAGGTATAGGAGGTGTGGACATGACTCCAGTAGGTGGTGCGAGTGGTTGAAAACTGTGGTTGTGTGGTGTTGTGGACATACGAGAGGGTAATGCAAGCTCTTGACGTGAAACCTGGGTGAGCTCTTGTTCCATACCTGGGGTATCCATACCTGGGATATCTATGAGTTGTACAGGAGTTTCGGAATGGACGTGATTGGAACGGTGAACATCTGTGAGTCCAGTATCGGCGCTGTTGTTATCGGCCATTTCGAGGAAGTCTATTTATCTAATTGGGTTGTTTGGCTATGAAAACGGTGGGCCTTACTGACGGCGGAATAACATGAATTAGATGAAGTATAATAGATCGAGTGGGCGATTGCGTGAAAGAAGGATATGAGGGGCGCCAAGAACTACTTCGCGGGTAGGTACGAAGAAGCGCTGCTTTCTAGGAGCGGTGTGAAGCCAATAGTGAGTGATGAAAGCACAAAGAAGAACACAGCGGTACACAGATATCTGAACAAGATGTATGAGGCGGGCTCAAGGCACCGTTGATGGCATAACTACAATAGTATAAGAGTAAACGAATGCGTCTAACTCAAACAAAAATACGGACATAAACGTGGACAACTCAAATGCAATAGTACTGATGCTAGGAAAACACGAGAAGATTAGATTCCTCTGGTGTACTTCGACCACCATGAGCTTCGATCGAACCTTGTAGCCCGTGCAATTAAGAAGTCTTACTCGGTTCCACGTCCGAATGCTCCGTGTGGCACATCACCCCATGCCTCTCTTCTCTCACTCAGGGCATGCACAGAAAGTAAAAAATAGCTCTTCAGCAAGCGGTAACAAGTGACAGAGACGAGAACGCAAGTATGAGATCAGAAAAGCGCTAGGAAGTCACCGCTCCAAGGATGTAAGGTGAGAATCGCTTCGAAACGTACCGAGAAGTAGTCTAGATCAAGCTGGACTCTGTTTCGAGCATCGAAAAGCTCTGGGTACGCATTGCACTATCTCGCACGGATTCTAACTGTGACTATGCGGGATTGCGCTGTGGTGTCGCGGCTCGTTTGTGTCTACCTAGGTACTGTTTAGCCTTCATCTCGGCTATTCACTACAACTTAGGAATCTCTTTCTCAGTAGTAGTTTGCGTGAAACTCTAAAATTGTGCTCAACACGCGTGCAGTTGTTCTCATGGCATGAATGTGGTAGTCGTGAGTTCCAGCTGTGCGGCCTGCTGCTAGCTTCGCTTCACATGTCTAATCGCACCGAACCCAACCAACACAATCTTAGATTCCATCAACCAATCATACCAAGCGCACCAGACATCCAGTTCCAGAGTCTAGACGCCCTTGGCCCTGTCTGGATACTTGAATGGCGGATATTCAGCCAAGAGATACGTCCGACGTGCAGGTTTCCACGCGGGACGATCAGTTGGCCTCGATTTCATGGTTCAGATGACGTATAGCGCAACACCATCTTGCGCAATAACCCTGTCTACATGCCACCACAGCGGGCCACAAACTTGTAACGAGCACGGTGCAAGTGATCGAGGATGAGATCACCGCTGGCGCAGATGGCGTACACACGGGATGTACAAGCGGAGTATATATGTCGGCTGCCCGATCTGGGTGTTGGCTTGCACATGCAAATACCCACAACCTGAGCGAACCCTACGGACAGTTTACATTGCTATCTTTACCTTGAATACAATCAACACAAAATAACATTCCCAAAATGACAGACCAAAACAAAGGATCACAAAAAACCTACAAGGAGGCTGCAGGGGAGTACTACAACCAGAAGTACGAGACATGGATGCCATGGATCGAGGATCAGTACCTGAAGTGGTTCACCAAGGATAACAAGGCTTCTTACGCTACCAAACGTACGTCTATTCTAGTTTAATCTCGTCTTGCCATATCACATGTCCCTAACACATCGCCTAAAGAGAACCTCGACAAGACCAAAGTCACAGGCGTATCCCAGGTCGACAACCTCCAAGACGGTGTGAACGGCCTCGTCGGCGGCCAAGTTGGCAAAGGAGGAATCGCACAACCCCTCGGTGACGCCGTCTCCAAAGAGGGTATCAATCGTGCTGAACGCGGCGGCAAGGATGAACAAGGCAAGCCCATCGAGGGACAAGGCCCACTGGGTGGCTATGGCCAGAGTGCTGCGGATGGAGTGAAGGGCGGTGCGAGCAGTGTTGCAGGAGGCGCGAAGAGCGCTGGGGGTTACATTGGAGGCATGTTTGGTGGTGGTAAGGGAGAGCAGAAGAAGTAGAGAGGTAGAGGCAGGTGATATGATACCACGATCCATAGGATTTTTACTCTAGGCAGACCAAACTGAACAGTTTTGTGCTGGATTTCGTAGTTTTATGCTTGGAATTTATCTTCCGTAGTAATACATATATACTCTCTGGTCGTTGTTGCATCGTTCGTTGGCTTACAGGAAAACCTCCCTCATATCATCAAGACGTTGACATGGAGGATCTCTACACTACGACGTCGCGTGTGCATCCACGTCTACCACGGTGCCTTCCCCCTCTTCCACCCCAAATAGCTTCAAGCAGTTTCCTCTCTTGAACATCCTCGCGCAATCTACAGCATTCGGTTGCCCCTTTTCTACATCCGCTCCCCCCTCATACAACACTCTAACAACGTCGTCATATCCCTTGAACACCGCGCCCGCAATAGGACTCTGACCTCTCCCGTTCAACACATTCGCGTCGGCGCCGCTATCTAAGAGCATCTTTGCAGTCTCGGGATTACCGTGGTACGATGCCAGCATGAGAAGTGTGTCGCCGGATGCATTGGTGAGGTTCTTGGGGATGCCGGCGCTGACGTATTGGGAAAGGGTAGATGTGTCCCCACTGCGGGCGAGGTCGAAGAGGCGCGCTGCTAAGTCGAGGGCAGCAGGTGGGAGTTCAGAGGGGGATCTGGAGTCAGGTGGGGCTTGGACGGCACCGTCGGTATCGGTTGCGCCTGTACCTGTGACTGCTGCTTGAGAGGCCTGTTGGCCATATGATTCTTCGTAGGACGGCATCTTCTATTCACTCTTTGGTGATGCGACTATACGGCGTAAAGTGAAGCAGATGAAGATGTTGCTTTGAATTAGTGTTGATGGCAGACCGCCTGCTGATATCGTGATTTACATGGTGAAAATCTAGAGCGCAGACGCTCAGTAAGAGTAAAGGCGCCATTAACCATCTCTCGAGCGTCAATGACGAAATTGATCCCGGTCGCGCTTTCCGAGCAGGAAACGCGCTAGTGGTCGCTGCACCGTTTGCTTGGCGGCCATCGCGACTTCCCCAGTGTCGTTCCATTGTTAAGTCGACGGTCTTCACCACAACCCGCATTACTGTGACGCCGCAAACAGAACACGACACTCGCATTGCCGTCGCGACCATGGCGTCACCACCACATATCCCACAGCTCAATGTCCCCGGTAGTCGCAAGCGCGGCAGCATATCCTCACACTCTGGCGCGCCCACCAAGAAGCGCAAACCCTCCAATCTCCGCAACGCATTCTCGCCAGACGCTGAATCAGTCGGAGGTTCCCCCCGCCAATACTCGCGTTCACCTTCCGTGGAAAGCAACATTACTACATCAGTCGTGAACGGCGCAGGAGGAAAGAAACGGCGGAAGAAGGGTGGAGACGGAGGTAGTGTCGCTGGCTCAAGTATAAGAGGAGGCAAAGGCGGCGACGGAAGAAGTGCAATCGGAGGTGAAGACGAAGATGGCGACGGAGAAGTAGAAGACGACGACGATGACGAGATGGGCGAGGAGATGGGTATGGAAATCGAAGGCGGCATGAGTGTTGAAGCACGAAGGAAACAAGAGAAGGAATACGAACGGTATGTTCCACCATCAACTTTCTGCTATCCAAACCCAGTTCACTAATTGCCAATGCGATGAACAGCATGCTAGAAGACTTCATGACCCCCGCCCAAATGGACCGCTACGCAACCTACCGCCGTATTCGCCTCAAGCGCGAAACAGTCCGTAAACTCGTCAATCAAACACTCTCCCAATCCGTACCTCAACCTATCATCATCGCCGTAACGTCCTACTCGAAAACTTTCATCGGTGAACTCATCGACCGCGCCCTCACGGTCCGCGACGAATGGTCCGCCGTCCGCACTCACTTGCTCAACCCAAATCTACCCGGTCCCATCCTAAGCCAGAGCTTAGTGAGACCAAGCGCTCATATCAAGGACGACAGGAATCGTCCCACCAACTCGGATATCACAAGTGCGGGATGGTATCCTGGCCAGGTTGATCGGTCTGAGAGTTTGTGGAAGGAGGTAGAGAAGGATGCTGGTTTGCAGGATAGGCTGAAAGCGTGTGATAAGGGACCACTTACACCGGCGCATTTGAGGGAGGCATTAAGGAGATACAAGAGGGATCGTGATGGTGGGGGTGCTGGCTTTGCGGGTATGAGTTTGGAAGGCGTGGAGAGGACTATGGGGAGGACGGGCGGGAAGAGATTGTTCAAGTGAGGGCATCTGTTTGTATTCCTTTCAAAGTACTGGGTTATTTTGGGTGCCACGGCGATTGGTACCGCCAAGCATAGCGACGGCGTTTGGGTATGGATATCACTAGCATAAGACTGCATGTTTTTACGGTGCAAGAATCGAAAAATCTGTCCAACATTGACAATAACACAAGTCAGTTGCCAAGTGAAATCTGTTTGGTCATTGCGGAAAGTCATACAATGTCACACGAAAGAACATATATTGTACTCAATACAAAGCATGAGCAGCATCAGGGGGTCATAAGTGGAAGTGGAAGTGAAACCTTCTCAGAGGCACTTTTGAAGAGCTACATTTATTCATAGCTATTCATCATTCCAGTCCATCCCAACCGAAGAGAGAACACCTTAGGAAATCATAACGCTAATCAACAACCATCTAGTTCTCGTGGAGGAGGTCGAGGAAGGTGTCAGCAGCAGGCTCGGGCTTGCTAGCCTCGAGCTTCTTCTGGCCCAACTTCTCCTTGGAGAAGGTAGCAGCGTATGGGTTGAGGCGGAGCTGCACCTGGAAGTTCTTGAGCGGGTTCTTCTTTTGTACGACACCACGCTTGGAGACGGCTCCACCACGGACGGGGCGGAGGACCTTCTGGACGTCGCTGGAGTTGATGATCTTGCTGAGGTCGGGCTGGCTCATCATGCTTGATGGGAGGAGGTAGTCCTTCTTGAGCGCGGAAGGCTCGGCGGTGGATCCGTAGACCTTGTCAAGGGCGCTGAAAGCAGATGAGGTCCAGACGATGAAGCGACCGAGGTGGCCACCGGGGGCGAGCTGGAGGAGGTTCAGGGAGTAGACAGATGAGGTCTCAACACCTGGGATGTTGCGGAAAGCAAGGACAAGCTCCTTGCCATCCTCGTCGGGGTTGTAGATGACCAAGGGACCACGGCGCTGCTTGTGGCGGCGGCCACGGAGCTTACCCTTACCAGCACGGAGCTTGCGGGAGTTCTTGGCCTTCTCGACATCGGCACCAGCACCGACAGCCTTCAACAGAGCGACGGCAGCGGAGGTCTTCTTGATAGCGGCATCGGCGAAAGCAGTCGATGAGATAACGAGGGGAACCTCAGGGACGGTGCTGATGGCGTGACCGCGGGCAAGGAGAAGAGCAGGGCTTCCTGAAGCAGCGAGCGCAGACGCGGTAGCGAAACGCTTCTGGTTCAGGTTGATCTTCTGGTGCCACTTGCGCCAGACCTTGGTGGGAGCGAACATGCGACCGGATCGGCACATGTTACCGAAAGCAGCCTGACCAGCACGGTGAGTACCTCCACCAGAGACACGGGGAATACGGGCGACAGCGCGACCAGTACCCCAGGACTCAGCAGAAGTTTGGTGACCAGCCTTCTCGGAGCTGCTTGTTGTTAGATCGAGCGATTGCGCAGCATGCGAGGTAGGCTTACACAGCGTATGGCTGGCGGCGGTTCTTGTTCATGCCAGTGTGCACCGCGTGGACGATGTCAGGGCGGATGGGTGCCTGTACGGATGGTTAACATTGCTCAGAGATAGCTTTGTAGTACGGAGCATGTGCTCAGAGGTACAGCAGAACCGTCGAAGCAGGTTGTGCATCGTCGAGAGACTGAGAGCCGGCAACCCAGAAAATGCGAGTTTTTGCAACAATTTCACGCCCGCACGTCATGGGAAGAAATCCGCCATATTCCAGGTCAATGCGAGCACTGCCCACTGCCACCCGCATCTTCGCTCTTTCAGATATCTTCCCATGTGTGCGTTGCTCCAACTGCCATTGTAGCCTCTCTCAGTCTCCCCCTCCAATTGCGGGTTGCGTCGTATCGCGAATTCGAATTGCGGCGGAACTAACCTTGAAGACATTGGGCACGGGGACGGTGTCCTTGGTGGCCTCGCCCTTGGCGGAGACGACGGTGACGGTTGGCCTCGACATGGTGGCTGTTGTGTATTGACCTGGTGGTTAGTTGTCGCGAGAGAAGATTCGAATCGTCAATGTTCTCGCTGAATTTCGACTCTCGCTTACCACTGGTGGTGTCGCGCTAGCCGTCTTGGGCTTGGCGTCATTGGTCGCTGCGTGCGAGCTGGAGCATCTTCACATGCATCGCACCAAGCGCTACGAACTTTGAAAACATATTGTAGTCCAAAGTCACATATCGAAAACCACTGTTACGGCTGTCTACTTTGAAGTGAGATGCTATCTTGAAATTCAGAAAACTGCAGATGTCTCCAGCATCTATGACTAGTCTCAAGACTGTTGTGCGGAGAGCATGAACGACAACTTAATAGAATGCTTTTACCTTGACAATGCTCATGGCGACGGGCTTGCAGATGACACATAATAAGTTCTGAGGATTTGTATGCAGAAGCTACATGTCTTGTCATGCGTCCTTTCTTTAGTGCAATTGACAGATCATGGGAGAGATGCATACTTCAAGGTCAGCACCATCAATAGGTACCCGCTGTGGAAATGAAGTTTGTAAACTGGCTCGGTCTTGTGATTCGTGGGGTATCTGAATCACTGTTTCCGTTCATACTCGATCATCTATCTACTTTGTCTTTAGTATCACTATAGTTTCAACCAGGAAGTTTACATAGGCGTCAGTCGTAGCCGTAGCGCTAGTCAATATCGGAGGCACGACTTTCATCTCTGTTATTGTTATTGGCATATTGTACTGTTGATGCCAGACACAAATCTAATTGAGTACCTCATGCGCGCAGTCGATATGGTGACGTGTTGCATTTCAAGTACTGTGTAAACATAGGGGCGCATTGAAGTAATTTGGCTATGTTGAGACACCAAGCACAACCAAACCTACGATCAGGTCAACCAACAATTATACAAGTGCTGGCACGTCCCTGCTTGTTGGTCGAAGACGTCGCATAGTATTAGGTTCCTCGGTCCGCGAGCACGATCGCAAACATCTGAACCTTACAGAGGCCCGTGATATATCACCCCTTATGTCGAAGAGTATGCTACTTGGTCCAACTAGCCCTAATAGCGGACGAACTAACATGTTCTACCACAGCTTCTATGATAGTCTGGTTGTTGTAAGGTCATGGCAGATAGCACGGTGATGGCACGTAGACTCGGGCCGTCTTAGGGGCCTTGTCCAGAGGCCAGAACACTCACGACGCTCGACTCAGTCGAGTGTACCATGTGCGTGGTAGCGAAGAGTTGGGCTCTGATCTCTCCACGTTGCAAATTGATAAGTATGGAAACCACCACTGAGTCGCTCAGTCAACCCTATCCCGATCTCAAGAGCACGTGCCCGTCAAGGTGAGGCGGAATGCACTGAGTCGGCGGATCTTCGCATGGATGCCTGTTTCGGTGTCGCGTTGCTTTTTTGGACGGATTCTGCCGGTGTTAAAGATGCTGAAACGCATTCGGTGTGGGCTGGCCGAATCGGGTTTTTGCGTGACAGAAGAACAAACTATCAGCATTCAGGGCACAGGCAGCGGCAGAGGTGGAAATAAGTTTCGGCAGGTACAGCATAGATTGCGGCTCTGCCTAACAGCCATGCGGGAGAAAGTTCCACATATGTTGTGAGTGGGTTTAGGATTACGAAACTGACGGCAGAGAGATGAAACGCGTGGTAGTACTCACATGACGAAGACGCGGAATTCTCACCCCGCCAACGCCAACATGTGGGTCGATATCTTTCCACGGTGCGTTTCACGTCAGAGATATTTACTTGGACTGTTTTGCATGCCTCAGAAGGCTGCGATGAAGGCAGTCGCAGTCGACGAAGCAGTGCGTGTCGAAACGATGGCTGTGGCACGCGAAGCGAGGCAAGGGTCTCCTGGCTGTAGGATAATGACATTAATGACGACGCTGGCCGGGCTGCTGCGATGGACGCGAACGACGAGTAATTATCTCGTGTGCGTCCAGGCCGGAGACGGGACGGATTACATGGCTAGGTACTGTCTGGGGTGGCTGCAATATGAGCGGACCCCTACCTCTTTCCGAGGTTTCTCGTCTGGGCCTTCCCGTCTACAGGCTGCGGCCTTCCAGGGGGGGCTACTCTAGACTCGAAAAGGTCCGGGGAACAAAGGCAGTCTGGTGAAGTCATCCGCCGGCGTGTGTGGGTGTGAGCGTGTGGACGAGGCGAGGAGAGATTTTGTTTGCTAGAGCGAGGCAAAGGACGACTACTTGCAGGCTGCAAACTATGGATCGACGGCGGTACGGTAGACATGTTGTAAGGCGGCGTGCTTGAGTGGACTGGTCTGTTTGTGTAGTGTGGCCCATGGCCCTGGCGTGCTAGTGTGCTAGTGGTCGCAGCTGCCTCGTAGCGCACCGGCGGCGGTTGCTATTCCTGGAACGTCGGCGCTTCCACAGAGCCACCACTAGCGTTGCCTCGCAGTTCGTCTCCCCCATCCATCGACAAGACGCATTCACGCCGCCTCAATCACGACACACAGCGTGCTCGCCTCGCCTACCCACCAACCCTCCCCCCAACACCCAGGCGGCAGCGGCTCTGCGATCGACCGGCTTCCCTCGTCCGCTCTAAGCTGGTCACACTCTGCCACCACAGCAACCACGAGTCCAGAGTGTGTCGCAATACACGACAATTGTGAGCGCGGCAGCCACGTCGAGAGCGCCTTCCTCACCACCGCCCTCCCCTCACCACGCAGACCCGCAGCGTCGCCGACACTTGACCTTTCTACCCACTACGCCGCATCATCTCAGGCATAGGCGCATCGCCGGCCTAGTCGCTCCTTCCCCCAGGCGCTTAGTAGAGGATCTGGTATTCTCGCTCCCATTCACCACACCAGCGCCCCTCTCCACTGCTGTTGGCAACCAGGTAAGCTGCATGTCCTCTTCGCGTCCCAGCTCCACCCTCTGTGCCTTGTTGTCCGTCTGAGCGAGCATGACTGTGCACAAGGCAGTGTACGGGCAATCATCGTCTGCCATCCACTGCTTGCTTGACCATGTACACTACTCTTCCCCCCATCCTCGAGTCTGGAAACAGTTTCTCGAGGAACTGTCTCCAGCCTCCATTCCCCGTTCCCTGTTCTCCATGCCCACGTTTCGAAACGCATGCGCCTGCCATGTCTGCCTCGCCCACAATATCTCACAACGCTGACAGTCCCACTCTCAAAAGGGCTTTCTCTACACCTAATTCTTCTTTCCCTTCCAAGAAACTCGAGCAGTCATTCACGCACTGCATCCTCCAACCGCAAGCTCCATATTATTCACATAGCTCCAACGACCACTGTTCACGCTTGGCAACACACACTACGACTCGGAGACCCAGCATGGTCCAGACTAGTGCGCGAACATTCATGCCCATGCCGTCCTTCGGCGCTGTATTCGGGGGAGATCACCACAACAAGGGACAGAATGGCGGCAATGTAGTACGCCCTGCTACGAGCCCCAACACCAACTCGGGCGCACCCTTCTCCTCCTTCCATATTCACCACGACAGTCGCGACAGTACATCGACGGGCTCCTCCGATAACTCCCCAACCACAACCATCTCCACCATGGACTCGTCGTCTGTAACAGATCCCTCACCGGGCGTGTCACCCGAATCACCTCTCGCAAAGACAATTGCGTCTTCATCCTTCGTCGCCGACTTCAGGTCGCGGAGGACAGAACCCTCAGTCGGAGACCCCGCAGCCGGCCCTTTCTTCGAGCTACAGCGTCCGACAACACCTGCGAAGAAGCCTCGGAATCTCAAAAACCTTGGTATCAACACTGCGTCTTCACTCAGCAACTTGCGCGCGCATACACCTGCACCCATCGCAGTAGCACCAAAAGAGAAGAATAGCTCGGCACCACCATCACCGTTGTTTATCAAGCCACCGACACCGCCGAGGCGCCGACCATCGAACTTGAGTTTAACAATCTCGACCCCCGGTAGCAACGAGAGCAAGCCTGTACGACTGCTAATACCCTCAACACCGTCCTTCAACCGCCCACCTCTTCGTCATTTCCAGTCATCTCCATCACTACCATTATGTTCACCAAGTACGAATCCTATGGGTGGCATGCAGCTGCCTCCCCTACGTCCTGTTGCACCCAAGCCAAGTGGTCTTAGCGAAGTTCCCTTCGAGATGGAAGAAGAGGAGGACCAGGAACCGAATTTTGATGTGCCGCAATCACGGGAGGAGAAGCCGGCTGCGTATCCCAATGGACCTATTTGTATCTACGAGTCTGGCGTATATCTTTACTTCGAGCCAACCGCCGTACAAGCCACGACCTTCGATGTTATCATCAACGTCGCGAGCGAAGTAAAGAACCCCTTCACCTCGTCGACGGAGGAGTCTCAAAAAGACATTGACGCTAGGCGCATAGATGGCCCCCCAGCGGAGAACGTTGATTTTGCCACCCTGGCGCAGCGACCGAAGCAGTCGTTTGGTATGGAAGATAGCTCGCCGACAACACCAAAGGCAACAGCACCGGTCATGCAGACAATACAACCACGCGAAGTTGTCATTGATGGCAAGACATACAAGACCCCAGAGTACATTCACATGCCCTGGGAGCACAACACAGATATTGTCCCTGACCTTCACAAGTTGGTCAAGATGATCGATGAGAGAGTGCAGCGAGGCAAGCGGGTACTCATTCATTGCCAGTGTGGTGTCAGTCGCTCTGCGAGTTTGATCGTTGCCTACGGTCTGTACAAAGACCCGCAGATGAGTGTACAAGAAGCATATGACAAGGCAAAGAAGCGAAGCAAATGGATCGGGCCGAACATGAACCTCATTATGCAGCTGCAAGAGTTTAGGAACAGCTTGTTAAGACAGAACGAGAGCCGCTCATATCACAACCAAGGCTATGGACGTCGGTCTGCCGGTCTCCCTACATCTCGCTCTACCGGAAACAAATACGACAGAGACTCTGATCCAGGTTCGCGTACTCCACGAACGGCACCACTTCCACCCGACAGCGATATCAGTATGCAGCGGGCCAGCACAGGCAATATGATGGCCATATCCCCAGGTCCTCTATCCGCGCCCACTGGGGCTTTCTCACCTGGTTTCCGTCGGTCTTGGGACTCTAGCCCAGCACACTTTGAACTTCCATCGCCACCTGTCCCGATGACGACACCCTATGTTGATCCAAAGGGTCATGTCGTGCCTATGGTGTCTGTGACCAACGACGACCTGCCGACCATTCAGACCGAAGATGTTTCCGACGACCACGAGCTTCCAGAACCCGCGTTCAGACTTTCCGCTGTTCCCAACTTTTCACGTCAACTTCCGTTACGGTTAAGCCAGAGCAACGATGAGAGCGCATCGTCTGGAACAGAGGAGAGACATCTAGCGCCTTTGCGACCATCAGGGTTCGAGTTCGAGCCGCTGAGGTCCCCTGCTGTAGCGAGCTTCAACATACCCTCTTTCACTCCTTACGAATCATCAGATTCCGAGGTTATGTCGCCAATCAAAACCTCCTTTGACAACCCATGGCCGACAGGCTATGATCTGGATAGCCAACCTCAAGCGTCCGTGCATGAAGAACTCGATAGAGACAGCAAGGAGCGATTCTTTGCTCCTCTGTCGCCCCGCGCTACTTCCTTCGAGCTGGGACAACCTGCACCATCGCAAGCTTCACATCATGATGACCGTCATGAAGTGCCTAAGGTTACTTCTCCGCTCGCTTCAGACTTCCCCAAAGACGTTTTTGGTAACACGGATGCAAGCCTAGAAGATGAACTGAAGTCTCCACGCGCTACGGAATTCCACATGACACCATTGAAGCCAAGGATGGCAGACGAGGATCCATTTGGCTTGACATCACCAACAAGAGCAGATTTCAACCCGTTCGACCGACCCAGCATAGCGGCTATCAAGGACTCTGAAGTCGAGGATCGACGTCCTTCCTTCCAGGCTATCCTTCCGCCTGCACATCAGACTTTCAACGGGTTTGCATCACTCGACGGTACAGCGCAAACAAACGCCATCTTTGAGCCCCCTAGTTTCATGTCTATGTCCCCGCCAAAACTTAGCCAAGCAGCCGGACCACGCTTTGACAGTCTTAGCAATTCTCCCGAAAATCAAGCCTCGGCCCCTATCGACTCGGCTGCACCTGTTCCTGTAGCGTTCCCCAAGGCACCGGATACTCCCCGATCTCCTAGCGAAACTTTCCTTTCAACTCCCGCAAAGGCCATTCGAACTAGGTTCTCATCACCGAACATGCGCGAACAACGGAAGTTGCACAAGCTGCAGACAGAGATCCAGTCAAAGCTCCCAAAGCCACCTGCTCCACAACATGCTGCGGACGACATCGATGCAATCATGTCACCACGGGCAGAAGAGTTTACAAGGAATCCGTTTCACTACGATATCCAGTCCTCTGGTGACGACGCGAGTCCAGTGTCTTCCAATGAGACGATCAAGGACGGACGCAACGGCCATGTCGCTTGGGAAGAGCCACTACCCAGGCAATGGACACCAGAAAAGGCTGCTGTTGACCCTCGGAGTCCAGTCCAAACGGGCAGTAACCCCATCGTCCGTAACATCTGGGACGTGCTATGAGCGACGGTGCAGAACGACCAAATTTCAAACTCAAAACATGCGCAATGGATCTGTTCCATTTACTAGTTTCTGGAGGATATGCCGCGCGCATAAGATTTGGTAGTTTCGGCCGCCTTATCGGAAATTACGCGACCTCACTCCGAAGGATCGTCCTTTGCCAACATGAGCTCGCGACGCCACCAACGCTGATTGCTCGGGATGCATATCGCCTTGGCCCGCCTTGCAGTGGACACCAAACGCGAAATATCACCGGTACCGTCGGCTGACTTGAAGCCTTCGAACCGATTGAAAACAACAGTCTGTTTCCTTGTCTTCCCAGCGTTTCCTATGTACTCGACACTTCTTTTCTTGCAAGTCCGTATCTTCACACGGCTTCCATTCTCGCATGTGGAGGCTAATGCGCGTTGAATTACGCAGAGTAATGTTCTAGTTTCTAGTACCTAGTACCGCCATCCCTCCACATACTCACACTCCTTTTACACCACTACTATATCTCTTCCCTCCGACAAACACCATTACTACACTCGCTGCACCTTTGTATATCTATCTCATCTCCTTACCTTTACAACCTCAGTATCGATGTTACGAGCCATGCAAAGCGCTGTCCTCTGGCAGAAAGCACCCACATTGTATCTTGGGTTGCATATCCTTTGGTTTTGTTTTCTTGTGTGTATCTGTTTCGCTTGGCGAGCTTTGCTAGCGAAAGGCGTTATGTGGAGAGAGAGATCTTTCGAGAGATCTGGATTGATCCCCAAAGATCGACTTGGGTTGAGCGGTCGAAATATCCTGGGCTTTTCTCCTTTTTCGTTTCTCTTTGTGGATCATATAAGGGTTTCAGATGGGTGGAAAAGGCTATGTAAATGAATGGAACACATATATTCAACATACTCGAAGTCATCCTTTGCTGCTCCTACACCGCGTTATGCATTCAAAGCTTATTAGGAGCGTTTGACTGCCTCTGATCCGGGTAATCTTCCTAAAAGCGCGCAGAAACACCCTTGCCGCGTAGTCTATACGACAGCCTCCTGCGCTTCCGTATGATCTGACCATGTTATCTTCTGCCAGATGCGGCTAAGCAAAGGCTCGTACTTTGTACCACACAGGCAGGCGAGACTGGCAAGGCTAGCTCAGCCCGAGACACGGCTGAGGTAATCTTGCTCGTCTTACCTACATAATACACCTAAAAGCTTACATGCGTCTTACCTGCATCGCGGTACAGCTTTGCGGCATATAGAACTGTTCCTTTCTGAGAGATGAGAGGCTGCAAGATCGCCGTTGGGCTGGTTACACGATTACACATAAGCGCGATGGGGTGTGTCACTACTCACTCATGAACGAGTGGGGTTGAAAGAGGGTATGGTGTGAGATTTGGGAACGCAGGAATGTGTTGTGAGACGGGTGGGTGGTGCTGATGATTAATTTACGTTTTGCAAAATCCAACGTCAAGGCTGCAGGAATCTGCATACTAGTCTTGCCGACAGACAAGACATGATAGGATGACAATTTGTTGACTCAAATCACGTAAGGGTTGACATGATATGTAGGACCCAATTGAAGTTATCTGTTTGATTTCTCTCATTGAGGTTACTACTTTAATCTATGTACTATGTGTCTCCTTCCCTGTGCAAATATGCCAGAATTCGTGGTATCATGTGTGGAAGCGAACGTATAAATGCCGCGATGCCAAAAAATAATAATAATAAGCGAATGTAAAAGCCACCCGAGTCATCAAAACATGAAGCTTTGCTCAAGTTGAAAGAACGAATGGAAGTATCGAAGCCTGAGAACAGCTTCGATATATATGCAATGTACAGAGATGGAGGAGTAGTTTCCGAGTGGAAACGAACAGTAGCATAGAGTCGTTCCTCAAACGCCAACGCAGCACTTGCGTCGAGTGAGTAATAACCATGACCGAAACCAAGACGAGATAGGAATATGAACCGTGAAACGCCAGGTAGAAACCAAAGTATGATCCCGATTGTTCATCCGATAGCCGGGAGTTGGGGGTATCCTGTGGCAATGAAATGCCTCTGTATTCGTGTTGTTATTTGTGCTTGTCGCTAGACTACTAGTAAACATATGTAGCAGTCCTGCTAAGATGTGGTTTGCTAGCATAGCCCCTATCAGGGTCGGCAGAAGATCTCGGTGCCCATCTGACATCTTCAGGACCGTATCTACGACTGTACTGAACATTTTCGGGTTCAATGCTCGACTGGCGTACCCTGTGTCGGGGTTGGGATTCGCCGCTAATTTCACCATAGAGCTTGGGTCGTCCTGAGCGTCCGCGGTCTTCACGACTTGGCGAAAGGGTGCGACTGGCATCAGTGCGACTGGAGTCGGTGCGGCCTGGCATAGTTGGCCGCGGGACGGTCTTGTATGCAACAGGCTCTGTTGGACGGTTGGCACCAATCGGGGGCTTACCAATCGGTGACTTTGAACGGTGTTGGCGGCTAGTAGGTTCGCGGACGACGTGGCGAGGAGTGGAAGAGGGTGCTTCTGCAGAAACGCCACCTCCAGCAACGGGGTAATAGTATGTCTTGACGGTTGATGAAGGTGGGACAGTAGGGAAGGCATCTCTCTCAGGACTCGCGTATTTCTCTGGACTGCTGTATTGTTCTGATGTCATGGTCTCGCGAAGATTAGAAGGTCCGCGAGGAGTGACGGACTCCTTCCTCCGTGAGGACGAGGAGACGTGTGGGATGCTGTTGGGCATGGTGGATGACCGACTTAACGACGGTGGCGTGTTCTCGGCATGTCGTGTTGACCGATCAGTGTACGAGCGCTGAGGCATTCCGCGTGCAAGGTCAGCCGGCGATGAGGTCGTCTGCTTGAAACTGGGAACTCGTCTTTCCTCATATCTGTCATCGGCCCACTCGACAACCTCGGGGATACCGCGATCGGTACGATCGGTGTCGCGGCGGGTCATGGACGGTCTCTCCTTGCCTGGCCGGGCAGACGACCTGCGGACAGGCTCGGGTCGGGCGCTGTCTCGTCGTTGAAGGCGGGGTTCAGCGTTGAAGTAGTCACGCGAAGAGGCCCTAGCTGGTGAGGGACGGGAAGACATCTCCTCTTCGACCTGGGCGCGTGACTTGTGCTGGTAGCGAAGCGCCTCCTGCTCCTGGACGCTCATCTTGCGTGCAGCAGGGACAGCTTGGGCGGCGCCAGCATATCGGTTGTCTTCGTAGGTCCGACGTTCTTCTGCCCTGCGCCGAGCAGCCTCCTCCTCGGTACGGGTCTTGTAGGCTGCCTCGTAGCGCGCCTTCTCGTCCGACGATGACTCACTGTCAACACTGGTGAATTTGCGGTCGCTTCGAGATTCTTTGGCACGCGTTTTCTCGCGGTCCGATCGCGATCTATCTTCCTTGGCGTGTCGGGAGCTCTTTGATGACTCCTTCTCGCGAGTGGATCTCGAAGCTGCAGTTGGTTTGGACGGGGTGGTGTGGTATCGTGCATAGTAACGCTCGTCTTCGTCGCGCGCGTTGGTTGGCGCACGGTGTTCGGTGGTGTAGCGGGTAGGACCGCTTGCGGCGAAGGACGCACCGCCTGGTGTGGGGACATCGAAGCGTGCAGTCCTGTCGCGCGGCGCGGCTCCTCTCGCAGCAGCTCGCTCGCTGCGCAGCTTCTCGAGCTTGACTAGTGCATCGTACTTGGACCTCTTTTCTTGGTCGATGAGGCACTCGTAGGCCTGCTGGATGTTGTGGAACTCCTCCTGCTTCTGCTCCTTCAGGGCAGGGTCGGTCACCTTGTCCGGGTGGCACTTGAGGACGAGTTTGCGGTAGGTAGCCTTGATGGTCGAGGCGTCGGCGGTGTTGTCGAGGCCCAGGGCCTTGTAGTGATCGGGCGTGGGCTCGTCCATGGCGGTGAATGTGGGGAGGGGATTGCTGCTAGCTGGGTGTGGGGTATCGTGTCTCTTTTATACGTGGTGTGACAGCAACGACTGCTTGCGACTCAGACCTGACACATGCGGACGCGGCCAAGCGAGTCAATGGATGTGATTGATGGATGAGCAAGCGAGGTGTGGCGGTGTTGGGCGGCCGGATCTGTTGTATAGGCGGCGGCGGCAACAAAAGCAAGAGCGATGGGAATCAGATGGGCCGGTATGGGAGCCCTATAAGGAGAGTCGGGTGCAGTATGTGCCGGTGGTGAGAGCTTTGGGCGACTGCGGGTGTTCCTGGGACGGGGGTGACGAGGATGGCTGGCTTGGAATCTGCTGACCTAAGGAATTGTGGGTCCGCTCAGGGACACAGACGCGAGACGGGCAAGACTGGCGGCGGATCGAAGACGGCGGAAGGTCGTGGCAAAGCGACAAAAATTTCGGATCAAAGAATCTGGACAAAGAAATTATCAAGAAAACAAGCTACCCGGACGACAAGTCGGTGACAATAGTGAGGCTGTGCGATCTTCTTCTTCTCTTGCTCTCTCCCGCCTCTAGCTGCCTCGTGGTTGCCCGGCAGCGTCGATTGCGCTGCTTGGTGGACTTGCGGTGTGGGTGCAGCTGCTTTGCGACGTCACCGTTTCAGCGATGCCAATATGCCAATAGGATCCGGCTGCCAATAGTCGGGATCGCACCGCGTAGTCTGGACGCAAAGAATCGAAAAATAACAGAAGACTCGGGCTTCGAAGAATAGAATTGTGCAACGGGAATTGCGTTGGGAGCAGTCAGCCTGCACGCCTTTGGGGGTGCAGTTGTGACTATATCAGGCTCGCATGCACAAGGCTTCAACAGCCGTCCTGGGAATCCCTGTGTCAACGGGGGGTTGCTGCGGACTGGCTTTGCACTTGTCTATTTTGCACCGCACGCTTCATCAGCGTCCACATGCATGCGCTACCCACGCTATCCAGCTCTCGCCTACCAAACTCGTCCACGGCTGAAGAGTCGTCACAGCTGCCTCGACTGTCCTAGCCCCCGCTCTGAGCCACCATCATCGTGTCCCATCGCATCGCATCGCGCAAGCCGCTGTCCGTTGCTTCACATGAGCACGCTGCAGGTCGACCTGTCGGCCGCGGCGGCTACGAAACACCCTCTCCAATCAAGCCCCAAAGCGGCCACATGGACTGTTTCGAGACTTTCTGGCGGACCGCATCTGATAGGATCAACCCGTACAGCCTGCATGACCACCCAAGCCCCAAGTGACCACACCATTTGAGAAATGCTCACCCAACCCCACCATGAGCATTTACAAGACATGACGAATCCGGCTGCACAGATAGGGTACAAGTCAAGCACAGAGCACAAATCGAGAAGCGTCTCGTCACATTCGAGATGCAACCAAGCAAACTCTCTTCTGTAGCTTCCGAGACACTTGTCTACCTCAACTCAGACGACAGCAGTCACCGGGCACTCGGCACAGCTTCTGCACATCCTCCGCACATCACTCCATCTACTATGCACCCTGCTGAGGGGCATCCCTGTGTCGTGTCTCAACTCGGGTCAGGGCACGGCGGTTGCGTCGCAAGTCAGCAATTTTTCCATCCCATGCCATGTGAGAAGACACAGATTTGCTGCCACTCGATCCGTCCCGACTGGCAGACGTTAGCCCGCGGCCTGAATGGACGATAAGATACGCTTATGCGGGGTTAGGCGGGGCACTACTGTATGTCACACCCAATCGTGACATGGTCAGCTCACAGTCCGTCAAAGCAGGTCCTCCTACGTGGTCCTCCACCATTGCATGAAACAAGTGAGATAGCACACAGTATGTATTAAACAGCAAGCAGAATGATGTAGGTGTTGGTTCTAGAGTGTCGTTCGCTGGTAGAATATGAGATCATTTGGGCCAGGCACGCTGCAGTCAACCCGTCATCTCACATTAGCCCTGAGGGTATACCTCACTTGGCTCGTCCAAAGAGCCCCATACGGGAAGCTCAACATCGACGACTATCGGCTTGTTGTACACAACCGACGTTTTGCCAGCAACTCTCGGGCCCAGATACGCTGCGTTGATCACTGTAGTCTGGCTACGCGCCACTTCCGTCCCTGATGGAGGCATACCCCTCGGTCGTTCTGCGATATACTGAGTAGCCTCGTCAGGACACCCATGTCCGGTATCGCTCTCATCGTGATGCTCTAATCCACCGCCCCCTCCTGCCTTACCTCTACTACCACCCCACAGCGCCTCACTGTCCCGCAGGGCAACGTCAGTGAGGCTCGCTGTTGGGTTAAGCTTCTCACCCTTCGCATCTCCACCGGATGGGGGCTTATGCCCTGTCTGATCCGGTGCAAACGACGCATCAGGCTGGCCTTGAAGATGGTCGCATCGCGAGTCAGGCTGCAATTGACGTGTCAAGCTTGTGTGGTCGCAGCCCGAACCACGCCCTGCTCTCGCCCGCATCGTCGTCAAATCGACTAGAGAAAGTTTCTTGCTCGAGGCTCCTGGGTCGTTCCAGAACTGCACGCTTGAAACTAGGGTACCGCTATCCATAGTTGTGGGTTGTCCATGTAGCTGTAGAGAGGAAGATCTTCTTCTCCATTGTACCGTCTCCACCCCTCGTCCATTGTGTATGTGTCCACAGATGTTCAGCATCGGCCTGACTATCTCTAATCTTCTTAACAAGGCTGGGCATCCTGACCTTCCATCTTTCTGTTGCCTACTTGCTCCTACTCCGTCGCATTGCCCCATTGGCGGTGTATGAGTAACTACTATATCCACGCCATTTGGAATTCTGTTCCACACTTTCTCTGCCTCATTGGGTTCGTATTGAAAAGCCCAATCCGCCAGTTGCTGCTTGGGCGTACACGGACTGCCAAAGACAGTAAACCACGTTCCTCGTCTTGGAAGTCGTACCGTCGTAGACTCATTCTCAAGGTAAGTAATCGATTTAGATTCCGTCAACAACTTCCTACACGCCTCTGTATCTTGAAAGCCAGGCCATTTCCACGATGCTTTGTTTTCTTCAAAGAACGGTTTGTCAAGTGTGATGTCGTGGTTTCCTTTTGCCTCGAGTATCAGCAGTCTCCTCTTGCAAAGTAAAGAGCATATTTCTTCATACCAGCGATCACAATCTTCGCCTCAAAATCTTGCTTCTCAAGCCATTCAACCTTTCTTTTCAATTCGGTATAGCTTCCTTGGTTCGTCAGGTCACCTGCGTGAATCAATACGTCGCCGGGCGGCAACTTGGGCGTCTGATTGTGCGTATCTGATATACAGACAACACGCGTTTTGCGCCGTGTGGTAGACATTCAGTAGTATCATCGGGTTTCGCGCTTAGCAGTCCGTTTTCGATCAATATTACGATCAAGGCTAACAAACAGACACACATACACACAAAGTCTGGTTAGGGGGTCACGTTAGGCTGGGTCTGGATCACGGTTACGTCACCTCCGTTCCACGACTCCCGAAACCAGCATCATGATTGCTTTTTCTCTTGTTCGCATCAGCTTCGCAAGCGGATCAACATGGCTAACCCTTAGTCAAACGGCAAGTCCCCTGTTTTGTCCCTGAGTGATAGACAAGACCGACAGGTACATCCGCAGCACGACATCTTCGCCTTCCCGGGGTCGTTGTTCGCCGCACCTCGGCTGCATTTTTGCCACCGCCACTACTTTGCGCAACCACGCTTGCGATGTTCGATGGCGATGGCGAGTTCAGCCGCATGATCTGCGGTGGTTGGCGAGGTGGTTGGGGATGACGGGACAGATGGGCAAAAAACAGGATCTTGATGTGGTTGGGATGGCGATGGCGATGGCGATTCTAGCCTTGCTATTTCCTAATTCGGTAAGTTCAGTAGGCTGTTGATCGCTGCGAAAGCGTGAAAGCTATTTCTCGCGAACGCTGCTGCTCAGCCTAGTACCGACAGGGACTTTGTTCCATTACAGGAAGGTATGCTTCAATTTCAGCAACTTCACCTATGCATATTACAACATAGCAGAATTGGAAACAGGAATCTATCTCAAACTTTTTTGTATTGGCTGTCTTGCCTCAAACTCCTTTTTCTGCATCTTTTTTGTTTCATCTGGTTTCGTACCGCGAAGCCATAAACATCTGTACAACCCGTGAGAACAACCCATATGAACGTCCAGCTTAGTGGTATCTCAACTTCACGACGCAACCACAGATACCCCCCTCCGGCACCTCTGCAGAATGTTTTGACTTTCCGGTGTCCGTCCCCATATCGGAATAGTGACCCGTATTGATGCGCCACTGCCATTCATTACAACCCAAATCCGACGCGATAACCATCAAGTGGTTGCCAAGGCCAGGTAACGCTTCAAAAGAAAGCAATCAAGGGAAAAACTACTCTCATAAAAGACAAAGAAACAATCGTAAACGCTGTCTGTTTCGTCGGCGAGTTGCGTGATCAGTTGTTCAGTGCGTGAGTCTTGGTACAAACCTAATCGTTCCGAGCGCGGCGGTGAAATTGAAACCTAGCTATTAAGGTATCGTCAAGATGAACGCCTGTTATCATGTGATCAAGATCAGATATTGCTCCTAGAAACGTTGTTAGGCTCTCAATCAAGCCTGGTCACACTAGGTCCTTCCTCCGCGTCGACAGGCTCCGTTGGGTTGACGACTCTCTGCAGACGAACAGGCGTATGTTCGTCTTGGACGTCATCAGTTGCTTCAATAAGCTGAATACCGCTGTCGAGGACAGGAAAGAGCTTTTCGTCGTCCATAGCTGTATCGACGCCTGCGTCTTCCCAGAGAACTTCATGTCCAGTGATTACGGTACCACCACTTGAGGATCCTGCAGTACTGTTGTCGCTGCTGTTACCCATGGTCCAGTTTTCGTCGCTATCGTCCAAATCGATGGGGTCATGGTAGTTGGTACCGCTGGAGCAGCCACGCCTGATATGGTGTGACCTTGAGAGCTTATTAGTGTAGCGAGTTCGACGCAGAACCGGAAGCCGTGGCTTCGGCGGGATCTCGAACGAGACGACTGGCCCGTCATCCAGAATAGCATCTGTATCTTGGATAGCCTGGTAGTCGTGACGGTCTGCGAACGCCGCGGCTCGGGTGATATGGTGCCAACGAAGGATACTGTCCTGCATCTCGCGGCGGACAACACCCGAATGGAATTGCGGTGAGAACACCTGCGTCACCCATGCATGGTTTACAGCCAGACTCAATCGTTCCACACCCAATGATTGCTGACTTTTGATATATCTGATCAAGATTTGCGTCATCTTGTACACAAAGGGTCCGCAGGCACCTCCATCCTGTTTGAACAAGTTGTCAAAGTTCTGATCGGGGCACTCGAGCTGTATGAGGTAGGTCCATAGAGAAATGTCTTCGCCGAGGATGTTGAGCATACCGAGGGAGATGTTGTGACCCAAGGTCTGGTATTCGTGCCGATCAACCCACAACGAGTCGTAGTAGTACGCATTCTTCGAGATCCTGTCCATGGCCACCATAGACCAATGTGATCCGCTGGTTCCATCGTTCTCGATACCACCCATGCCATCGTTGCAAATAACGATGATCCAGTTCTTGTTGTTGTAACGTGTCCTATACTGGTCGTATTCTCCTGAAGGGCCATCTATACCGTTTGAGGCGAAACAGCAGATCTGGGCCACAGTGGAATTGGCAATGTCGATACCGTAAGTGTCGCAATCTTCATCACGGCGGAGTACTTCAAGAGCCATATCCAGACTCTCGCCACGCATCCAGACTTCCATACCAGACAAGGAGTAGCACGTAGCGCCGATATAGTGAAAGGCGTCGTTTTTTAAGGTGACGTCCCCGAGCTCAAGGAAATTTTCAGTGTTGTGAGGAATCTCAGTATAGAACACTGGAACAAAGGCAGCATATCGACGGGGATCAGGAAGTGAATACTGCGTTAACTCAACGTAGGGAATTTCTGTCTCTGAGGTCTGTGGCCAAAGACGATCTTGCTGTACAATGTTAGTCGGCCACGCAGAAATATGAAGCAGTGGCAGCAAATCGTCTACCTTCATATGAGAATGTAGCCAGCAAGCAAATTTTTGTGTCTCCCAGTTCTCGGTAGTGTTCACATCAATGCTGTGACGCCGCTTCAACAGAGGAGGCTTTGTCTGCCTCGTAGGTAGACTTCCACGTTCGAATCCACGGGAGGCAAACACGAGCATCCTCTTTGTCTGACACATCATCGGACAACGCGTCTTGTGGAAAATCTTAGTCCGTCTAAAATGCTCCTGTCTTGCTTGGTTGCTACGAGACTCGAAGATCTGCAGAGCAGAGGGCGTCCGATCAGAGGACGGAGCTGCAGTTGACGGGGTAGGTGGTCCAGCGGATCCATCTGGTGATGATCTTGGTGTTGCTATCTGCTCCAACAGCGGAGGCGTCGTACTTACCTCGTTGCCGAAATCATCAAGGAAGGATGGAGTTATGGGCATGGCAGAACCAGTGTGTTTCTCCTCTTGTGATCGCGAACGCTTGTGCGTATCACCCAGAAGTTGCAGATCCGTCGTGGAGTCACTCTGAACCGGTGGAGATGCCAGTCGTTTTGACTCGATATGTGGCTCCGCGCCCTGAGAGAAATCAACATCGACCGCAGATGAATTCAAACATGAATCAGAGTCAGGCTGGCTCGTGGATATGGGCACGGCAGTAGGTACAAGTGATTGCGATCCGGCAGTTAATTGTGACGGGGAAGAAGAGCTTGGATGTGGGACAGACTGCTCCGATGAAGTAAGCGCGACCTGCGCAGTGACCTGCGCAGGCATGCGCTCGTCAGAAACCTCATTTTGCTCCACCATGATGTCGTGGCTTCGTTTCCTGGATCCGACGTTGCTGGTTGAAACTGTAGAGTATATAAGGTCGGAAGTTGTGGCGACCTGCGCGATGTGAGAGCCTGCAAGTGGCCGCGAAGTAACAATCACTGCTTGCTCAAGCACTGGAGCAATTAGGGATGCGCTTGATCGCGAGTTTGCTGTAGTTGAAACTGAGTTTGGGTGCGGATTTGCGTTGTTTGGGCGCGAAATGTGAGTGGTGGGGTGGGAGAGAGGTGCTGTTGTCGTGGTATATCTTGGTCGTGAAGAACTAGGTACGTGAGAGGAACTCGAAGTAGGATGCGAGTGCAACTGCGTCATAGCCAGAACCCAAAAGCGTCTGAAAGAGTGAATGTGGGCTGGTGCGCTTTCAGAAAGTAGTTTGCTTCAACGCAGGAAATGTCGTTGTTTCACACTGCTGTTGCATGGACGGTGAGCACTTAGCGAGGATAGTGAGTGACAGTGTTGAAAGGAAGATTACGCTCTTTATCAACCTACGCACCGCTTTTCATGAATTTCAGCGTGGAAATTCAGTATGTCTGAGCCACGGTTTCGCTAGACTAGGCTATGTCGGTAATATAAGGCAACAGCGCACATATCTCTATACGGCAGGTACAAGGCCCTTGTGAATGGTTAACATCACATGACGACCCACAAGGACCCTTGGAAGCTACTCATCAAATGAGCAATCACCAATCGGCAATGCGGTAGTGATCCCATCTGTACGATGTCCGTAGTAGGATATGACTCAACATGCGGATCAGGGCCAGTAGCAGAAGTCTTCGAAAAGCTGGTGTGCGAACAGAAAGTCCATGTTCCCAAGATCTATGACTGCTGTGCCGCGATATTGTGAGGTTGCTTGGTCCTGAGAGAGCGACTGAGTGGTAAGAACCTGGTTTTAAGAGTAACGTCAAAGCATGCGTGAGAGCTTGCTCGTCACATGTTCTTCACAAAGTTTGCGATGGCAATGACGTGTGATCTTCAAGAGTTGTTAGCTTTTGTTCGGCGAATTATTTGTAGTTCATCCACGTTCGATCTACACAGAAGAAAGGCTGTTTTGGTAGATGCTATGTACACAGAGTCTCAATACCTATGTTTTGAAGAGAGAGGAAAGCAAGGAAAACGATCTGGTGTTGGTATATGAACTAAAGAAAGGAAAATAAGGAAGAAATTCGAGATCATGAGATGAACGGTGATCGATCCTGCGCTCACACGCTGTCCTTTTACGTGCTGAAACGCTGATAACAAATGCTTCCGCAGTTGGCCCTTGATGGCAAAAAAATGCAAGTCATGAGAACAGTTTTCTCTCACAATGTTTTTGAAACTTCACAATGGTGAATCGCCTAGACGTAGCATGCCTCGCGAGGCTGACTGCACATGTTCGTTCCCAGTATGCTCCTATGAGCGTCTGATTCTAGGTCTTGTTTGTTGTTCGGCTTTGTGTGATGCGCCGCTGCTGGTATGCCCATGGCGAATCTGGCCTCAGATACGTCAGTCGCGGCGTGACTACACGCCGGTCAACGAGGAGGCTGGATAAGCTAATAGGGTAACGCAAAACGTCAACACAAGCTCAAGGAAGTCGAGAGCTACATCTTGCTCACTCTCCGATACTTGTTCCCCTCAGTCGCCTGCCTAAGCTCACGCTACGCCCGATATCCGACACACCGCCCACTGAGTGTCTGTTGTTCGGATTGCGGGCAACATTCAATTGCGCTCGTGGTCGTAAACCCCCTGTCAAGGTCTTCTCATAGTTGGCTGGCGAGCCTTCACGACCTAAGTTGTGACCGTAGCGGCTCTGACCGTCCCGGAATAGTAGACTATGCTCATTCGAGGGCGTACTACTTGAGACACTAGGCCGACGCAAACTAGCGGTAGTTTGGAGCGCAGGTGAAGGTTGTAGGTCAGGCATTGGCTCGCGAGATGTGTACTGTCTGCTGAATCGATTTTTGTTGTCTGCTTGACTCTGACCACCATGACGGGCTCTAAAATCGATGGAGGTCATTGCACGGGATGGCGCACGAAATATTGGGTCCTCATCTTCCTCATCCACGCTGTTGCGTGTCTGGTGGAAGCTTGTGCCTGCCCGCTGCATGCGCGACGGAGTGTGTCTGTCGTCGTACGGTTCTTGGCTATTTCCTCTTTGGCTGCCATTGGGTTCAGGAATAAGCATACTGGTCCTTCGAGCCTCGATGCGTGACATGGCTCTGCTAGGGCTGACGCCAGTCAATGTGTTGCTTTCGGGTTCGATGCTTTGTCGGATTGTCGGCGAATCGCCATTGAATTGTACGCTTGGCCTGCGTGATATTGTGGCTGTATTTGATCGGAAGGCTGGACTGGCAAGACCAGTTTTGGTGTCACATAGAGCTATACAGAGCTCTGTAAGACTACGGCAGAGGTTGTCGGCTTTGCGACGGACCTGGCGATCCGACACTACAGAGCCGTTGATGATGGAGCTAGCAGAATGGAGTGTGCCCTGCGGTCCCGCACTGCCGCTCATCTCCGCTAACGCAAGTGCTTCTGTCGCGGTTGATTCCAGTGTGCGGTACACAGCTGGAGAGACATGCTGCCTAGCTTTGCTGAGAGCGTCCCGCAGCAGAGGGTGTGTCTTGCTGTTGTTAGGTGTATTACTGCCCACTGTCGACTCAGAGGGTGACGGGTTCGATTTGCGCTGCTGGTTTGGTGAAGAGGACACTGTCGTAGCTGAAGTATTGGCTGTTCGTGGACGATCGGCCGAAGCCGAAGCCGAAGCTTGATTCACGATGGCGCCTGATGTCGATGGTATCTTGCCGCCCATCTCGATCTTCCGTATCCTGGATTTCAACTCGTCCAGTTCGTCCCACACAGACGCAGCAGGCCCTGTAGAGCCATGCGACTCGGTACCATCGGCGCGTGAACCAGCCTCAAACGACGTCTCCACTTGGGGCGTCCGTGGCTCGTGTGACAGGTTTGACGGCCTGTAAGGGTATGCTGGGGTGCGACTTGGCGGCGTGTGTTGCACCTCAGGCTGAGATGGTCGTCTGGACGAGTTTGAGAACTGGGCTAGGAAGTCGCGTGGGGAGAGCTCTGCGTCTCTTCGTGATGAGGTGAAGGAGGCTTTGTGGTTGAGATCCCGGGTTCGTATTGCGTCAGGCGCAGGCGAGTTTGGGGATCGCTCGTATCTGGAGGGAGTAGGCAAAAGCGATGACCGACGTATGCCGCTCGACCTGGCTTCCAGGGCAACAGCGGAGGGTATGCGGCTTGTTGTTGTTGTTGGTGTCACTGAGGTCGACTGCACGGGCGAGGGCGACTGCAGCGCAGAGGGGAGCGACTGCCGGTTGTTGACTCGGGCCACTCGTGACTGTTGTAGTTAGCACCAGGGTCTTGCATGGATACAGCTTGTGAAGAGACAAAGGGCATGGAGGAGACGGCATATTGCGCATGGAGGCAGTGAACGCGTGTAGGTACGGATGGCGTATAAGCAGCAGGTGCATTCGCCGGATACAGCGTTCTCTTGCTGAACTCTATGCGCTCGTACATGTTGTCTGCGCGGACTAGGGCGCTCACCTTCAATCGATCGACGCGCGCTGCTGCGGACTCTGCTGGGCGCTGGGGCTTGGGCGCGCTGTCTGCGGCAATGTTTAGAAACAGGTCCTCCTTCTCTCCATCTGCTCCTGGAGTGGCAGGCGCAGGCGCACCTCTCCCGCTATGCGCCGCGTGGTAGTCTTCCATTCGGCTGCGGGGGCCAGAGTCGTATTCGGACGACTCGTCGGTTGAGCTGGCCATGCGTCGCGGTGGGGGCGGCCTCGAACTGCTGGTAGAGGCTCTTCGGGGCGGGCGGGGTCTGGGGAGATTCCCAGTGCCAGGGTCTGCTGCGCTTGTTTGTTGTGGTGGTGGTCGCGGGGCTTCACTAGAGGTCCCCAGCTCGTCCTCCCCGCGTCGTCTGCTGCTCGAGTGGTGGGAGCTAGTGGGGGAAACCAGGCCTGAGTGGATGAATTGTTGCTGCTGCGCATAGGCAAAGTCGGCGGGGTTTTGCGAACTTCGACTGCGTGTAACCAAGGTGACAGGAGGGCCGCGCGAATTATCTATGCCATGGCCACTATGCGAGGCTGGGGGTCGTCGGGCGGAGGTGGTCGAGCTCACAGATGGCAGGCGCAAGAGCGTCGGCGGCTCGGGAGCGGTATTGTTGCGCAGATGCTTGGGCGGCTTGGGCGGCGTCTGCTGGGAAGTCGAATTGCGCCTTTGCGTGGTGTGTTGTGAGGCTCCTCCAGATGATTTCCGAGAATGGGTCGGCATAGCTGCAGGCCTGCGCTGGCACACCAGACAGGGATGACGGACAACGTTTCAGAATACTCAGCCCGTCATGGCTGCTTTTGTGACCCACAGTCCGCGCGCAAGCCGTCGTATATTGCGCATGCTCTCTTCAAAGTTCAGAGGATTGATGCTGCGACGCTGGGGATCCCTAGCATCTTGACCATGGCCCATTCGTTGCTAGGGTGCCGGGCCACTCTGCACGAGATGTCACAGTCCTTTCTGGAACGAATGACGAGCTTCCGAACCGTCTCTTAGCAACGGTATGATGCGCAGCTAACTAGAAATATAGCCTAGCACCTATATCTGCCATCACATGCTCTGCCCTATCTCTGCCATGGACCATGATTGCCAAAGAGTGCTCTGCACAAACACACGAGACGTGGCACCCTGCTCTGATTAGAATTCCTGGTAAGCAAGGCCCTACGTCCACCTGCGCGATTATTATCTTCCCATTGTGGGCATTTATCCTAAAAAGCATGCTGTGTGGACATCTCGTCCGGTGAACGCACACCGCTGCTTGGACCTTAGCAGGTCCCCATCTCCAACTTTCCACACTTTTCCCGCAAAAGATAAAGACTGCAGAAATACTGTGCTCAGAGCGACTGTTCCTGCATTCGCCATCCTGGTCAATGGCGCTATAAGCGAGTTGGGACGGGGACTTTGATCCATGTCAGTCACAAGTAAGAATCGCCGTAGCTTGAGTCGTGAAAATGAAAGCGGCATCAGCGGGAGAACCTTCCCAGGACACTGCAATTTCGCGACCCAAGACAGAGTTTAGCTCGCTTATCGTGTACACAAAATCGATAAACGGTAGGTTCAACGTATTTGCGCACATGCTAGTGCCAGTTGCCAGTTGCGCCTCGTTCACTGGTTGTGGCGTTGTGGCGTCTCTTCACGTGATCTCGGCGGTGGCTGAACCAGAACGCCGAAAGTCTGATGAAATAATCTTGTCCATCGACCACCACCACGACCAAACACGGATCACGATATCCAACATTCATCGCCTTGCAGACCGTTCTAGCGAGTAAACCGACCATGTCTGTCGCAGCACTATCCAAGTCGCTGCCGAAGCCGCAGTACTCGGGCGAAGAGGAGGAGCTCACCAACAGCACGCGCGTATTAACCGCAGAGCAATATGAAGCGCAAGTCGTAGCGAAGAAGGGTCCGCCGCCCTACGGTCAGAGGCAGCACTGGAGACCCCGCGCGCCTGAAGGTAAGGCTTGGACAGACGAGATGCACGCGAGACATGCACTGACTCCATATCTAGACTTTGGCGATGGAGGCGCGTTCCCCGAAGTACTAGTCGCGCAATACCCACTGGACATGGGAAAGAAGGGCACACCATCCACATCGAATGCTCTTGTAAGAAGGGTCGACGGCGAGGGCAAGACCAAATACGATGAGATTGCGCGACGCGGACACGGCGATTCAAGGATTGTACAAGCAAGCTTCAAGGACCTTATCCCCTTGCGCCAACAGGCAGACGCCGGCGAGCTGGACTTGTCGCGTCCCTCCGCCGACGTTGTCCAAGCGACCAAGGAGAAGACTGAGCAGGCATTGATGGCACTAGTTCAAGGGCAGACAGCCGCACAAAAGCCAAAGAACGTACAAGGACGAAAGAACGACGAACCCACGTTCGTTCGTTATACGCCCACTGCGCAGCACGGCCAGGCGCAAGGCCAAACGCGCATTATCAAGATCCAGCAAAGACAAATCGACCCCATGGAACCACCCAAATTCAAGCACAAGCGAATCCCCCGCGGACCGCCATCGCCTCCTCCACCCGTCCTCCACTCGCCGCCTCGAAAGCTGACTGCCGAAGACCAAGAGCTATGGAAGATTCCACCCCCGATCAGTAACTGGAAGAACCCCAAGGGTTATACTGTACCACTAGACAAACGTCTGGCAGCCGATGGTCGGGGTCTCCAAGATATCACGATCAACGATAAGTTCGCTCAATTTGGCGAAGCGTTGCAGGCTGCAGACAGGCATGCACGAGAGGAGGTCAAACAGCGTGCTATCATGCAGCAAAAACTAGCAGAGAAGGCGAAACTAAAGGAGGAAGAGCGCCTACGGGACCTTGCGAAACAGGCACGAGCAGAGCGTGCCAACGTCTCCCGACGACGATCACAAAGCGATTCGGACACAGATTCAGAGGAGGAGGCAGTGCGGAAGCGAATGGATGCTCGTAAAGAGCGGCGCGAGGACTTCCAGCGTGAACTTCGTCAGTCAAAGATGGGTACTGAGCGCAAGATCCAGATGCTCGCCCGGGAGCAGAATCGTGACATCTCTGAGAAGGTTGCACTTGGTCTGGCAAAACCTACGCAGAGCGGAGAGTCGATGTACGACTCGCGACTGTTCAACCAATCCAGCGGATTCAACGCTGGTTTCAACGAGGACAACCATTACGACAAGCCTCTCTTTGCGGCTCAGGATGCCATTAGCAGCATCTACCGCCCTAGTGTACAACAGGACGATGGGGAGGATGAAGGACAGACATACGATAGGATCACAAAGACAAACAAGTTCGAAGTCCTCGGAAAGGCCAAGGAGGGATTCAAGGGTGCCGATCTGCAAGAAGCTCGGGACGGACCTGTGGAATTTGAGAAGGATACTGATGACCCATTCAACATCAACCAGATGATTGATGAGGTTCGTGGAGAAAAAGGTGAAAAAGGTGAGAAGACAGGCGAGAAACGTTACGGCATCCAAGAGCCTGAGGGCAGGTCAGCCAAGCGTGCCAGGGTCGACGATGACAGCGACTGAGCGTCTTGTCTTGTTGTCGGAACCTGAAAATTGGCGTTGGATTTCTTCTGCATAGTTTAACTTGCCCTTGCGATATTGTAGCATTTACAGCGATCAAGGTCACGAATCGACCAATTCAATTCCTTCACCAGAGAACTATGATATGCACGAGCATTCTTTTGTGCCCATTGCCCTGATAGACATGCGGCGTAGCCAGCACATCCGCCAACAACTGCTGATTGCTTCGTACGTGCTCATCACCGATCTTACATAGCATCTTTCCCTATTGGTCGGCTCAGGGATCCCAGTATCGGATGGCGCACCCTTCGTCGGGTTGCTTCCACCGACAACAGCTTCCGTTCGTGCCATTTACACCCTTCGCTCCACAGCCCCGCCATCTCACGTCGCGAAAGCGTAGGCCAGCAATAGACCCTGAAGTTATGCGCACCTGGCTTGTACTGGTGTGTTCAAATTCGCCGATATGCTGCCGGATGCCGGGTTTTGATTGTATTGCTAACGTCCTTTCGTGATTGCTGGAATACGAACTATTCTCGTTGTACAGTGTATATAAGGTCCAGTCGCAATCGTGTTGCGTAGAAGAAGGGAAATCCTTGTTGCATCAAAGACAGAACCGCAACGTTCACAACCTATACTACGGAGATACGTCATGTCTACAGGAACACCAGCTTCCCAAGCTCAACACCCGTCCGCGGTATCGGATAGCAAGGAACACAAGTTCAATCCGAACTTCACACAAGCAGTCATCAATGCGACGGGACCAAAGGCTACACCAAGAGTCAGGCAACTTACAGCAGGATTGATACGGCATCTTCATGATTTTGCGAGGGAGAATGAGCTCACCGTCGATGAGTGGATGACAGGAGTCGAGTTGGTACGTTGGAAAGCCTTCTGTGCTTAGGTCTCTGAGAAATAGGATGCTCGGCATGCTAAACAATGTTCAGATGAATGCAGCAGGTCGCATGTCGGATTCCAAACGCAATGAAGGCCAATTGCTGTGCGATATTCTCGGCCTCGAGTCTCTCGTCGACGAAATTACCTATAAGCTTGCTTCCACCGCCGTTGACGAACCCACCTCAACCGCTATCCTAGGCCCCTTCTATCGGCAGAACGCTCCGAAGCTGCCTATGGGCTCCTGTATCGTGTCCAAGGAGATAAATGAGCAAGGTGACCGGACATTTATGCATGGCACCGTCACAGACTTCAAAACAGGTCAGCCTATCGAGGGCGCGGTGGTGGACGTATGGCATACGGCACCGAACGGACTGTACGAACAACAGGATCCAGACCAGCCAGAGATGAATCTCAGAGGCAGATTCACAACAGGCAAGGATGGGAAGTATAGCTTCTATTGTTTGAGGCCGGTGCCCTATCCCATACCTTTTGATGGCCCTGCAGGCGAGATCTTGAAGGCGTTGGATAGACACCCATTCAGACCGGCTCATATACACTTTCTGGTATGTCAAATTCCATAGTAGCAGCCTGCGACCTGTTATTCTAACGTATCTTAGCTTACTGCACCCGGTTACAAACCTATTGTTACCCAAATCTTCGACCGAACGAGCAAGTACATCGACGACGACGCTGTCTTTGCAGTCAAAGACTCTCTTCTTGTAGATTTCAAACCTTTCGAGGGAGATCCGCAAGCGGACTTTGAGCTGCCATATGATTTCAAGATGGCAAGCTTCGAGGATGCTAAGAAGCACTCGGTTGCAGGGACGACAGAAGAAAGCGCGTAATTGTCAAAGACCTAAACCCAAATCCAGAAACTCTTCAACTACTCCTAATATTTTGTTCCCAAAGCTCTGATTATTTTGCTCTCCAATACCGCAGCCACCTGTTTCCGCTATCATTCCGATGTTAGGCCGATCCCCCGCATTGTAGCTAACCGTCTCCAACCGAACCGCGGTTGTCATACAACGCCTTACACGCGTCGCACGCCCTAGACAGAGGCTAACATCATGTGAATCTTATGATGTTTAGCGTCCATCTTCTGCATTATCCTTGAACTTTCTCTAAACCTTGCTTACTTTACAGGTTGATATCATTCAGAATCCTGGCAGCAGCACACAGTAAGCTTATCGCTACTACGCCTTGCAGGGATCACGGCATATTAGAACAACACAACTAACAGATCCAGATAGTAACGACCAATACCAACTTTAAATACTCTCACAAAACCTGCAACAGTTACAAGGAGAAAGAGTTAGGAGATAGCTCATCATGGCAGGCCATGGCAAGATCACCCTCGGACGCTACATGTGGGAACGCATCCACCAAGTTGGCGTCGACACAATATTCGGAGTACCCGGCGATTTCAATCTCCAGTTCCTCGATTCCATCTACCTCACCCCAGGCCTGTCTTTCGTTACTAATCAAAACGAGCTGAATGCAGCTTACGCCGCCGACGGATACGCTCGTATCAAGAACACGCCCGGATGTCTCGTGACCACACACGGTGTCGGTGAACTATCGGCTCTGAACGGCATCGCAGGTAGCATGAGTGAGCATGTCAAAGTCGTCCATGTCGTTGGCCAGACTACACGGGCGATGCAGAAAGGCAATATGATGATCCATCACAGCATCGGCAATAAGCCAAATCATCAAATGTACAACAAGGCTAGCGAGGGGCTGAGATTTGCTGCTGCAGAACTCTGGGATGTCGCAGATGCTCCGAAAGAGATTGACAGGGTGCTGAGGGAGTGTGTTATCAAGAGTGGGCCGGTGTATATTTTCATGCCACTGGATTTGAGTGCTGAGATGGTGGATGCTGCGCTGTTGGAAACACCGATCAATCTTGAGCCGCACGTTGACGAGAAGACACAGGATGAAGCGGTTAAGGCTATCACGGATGCAGTTACGCAAGCCAAATATCCGACAATACTAGTAGATGCTCTCGTCCAACGCTTCAATGCTGCCCAGGAGACTGCGCAGCTAGTCCGCAAACTCAATGTTCCTTTTTTCTCGGCGACCATGGGTAAAGGCGTTGTCGACGAGACAGAAGAGAACTTTGTGGGGGTCTGGAATGGCGAAGTCAGTTCTCCGGGCGTCAAAGAAGCAGCGAAACAAGCAGACTTGGTGGTTACCCTAGGGTACATACCTGCTGATACGAACTCGGCTGGGTTCTCAAGACAGTTGGATGAGAGTAGTACGATTCACATCAATCCGCACGACGTTATCGTAAGTATCCAGCACAACACGTCTGACGCTAGTTACTGACAGACACCCAGGTCAAGGGCAAGTCCTACCCTAACACAGCCATAAAGTCCCTCCTTGTAGCTCTTACTGCCGCCCTACCATCAACACCGCAGCATAAAATCCCAAACCCACAGCTTCCACCACCCCGCACACCACTCGACGCAAAGTCAGCCCATCTAACCCAATCCCAACTCTGGCCCGCCATCCAATCCTTCATCCGTCCCGGCGACGCTATAGTCAGCGAAACTGGAACTTCCAACTTCGGCATCTGCGACATTACGTTCCCCGCAGATATCAGACTAGTCACACAGATCTACTACGGTAGTATCGGCTTCGCTACTGCAGCTACGCTGGGCGTAGGAATTGCGCGAAGAGAGGTAGAAAGCAAAGCTAAGAGTCAACCGGCCGGAAGAGAAGGAGAAGGACGGACGATTTTGATAACAGGAGATGGAAGTATGGCTCTGACGATCCAGGAGATTGGTACTATGATTAAGGCGAAGTGTAAGACTATCGTATTTGTCATTAATAATGATGGATATACAGTTGAGAGGTTGATTTGGGGCGCTCAACAAGGTCAGACTTTTCTTTCCTCTCCCCTATCTACCATTCGTTTTTCGGCTCTACCCAGAGAATAGTAGATCCAACATCAACTGACATCCTTGACAGCATACAACGACATTGTTCCCCACAACTACTCTCACCTCCTCCCTCTGTACCGCCATCCGGACCCGCAATCCTCTTACCATCGCGCAACTACTCAGTCAGAGTTAGCAGCCATCTTAGAGAAACCACAACTCAAGCAACCGCAGAACCTGCAACTTGTGGAACTGGTAGTCGATAAGATGGATACGAGTTGGAAGTTGGGTACAGCGCTGGCGTGGAGAAGCGAGGAACACAAGGAGTATCTTACTAGAGAAGGCTTTGTAGATACGTATGGCGGATGGGGGCTGGATGGCAAAGCTGGAGGGAGTGTGAAATGGAGTTGAGAAGGGACAAGGGGTTACGTAGCATTCTTATTCAAGAATTGTCTTCATGTCTAGCTTGGGGTTGTTCGCGAATAGATAGCATAGATCGACAATGAAGTAGCTCTTACGTCCCATTCGAACTTCACAGATCCTGATTACCATCTCGTTCACCTCTTTCTATTCTCTCTCGATCTTCCTCTGTGGTTTCCTTATTCTAAGCAAACACCCCGAGTAAACAAAACCACACAACAATAAGCTCGTAAATCATCACAGGCTGCTTCTCCCAACTATACATGACTGCGGCAAAGCCCAATCTCATCGGGATCGTAGAAGCAATCATGCGACGGTTGCCTTGGAGGGTGAAGATGAGTTGGTACCAGCCGACTGCTATTCCACCCAGACCTTTGTCACGTTGTTAGTCTGAGCTTGAAGTATGATGGTTGGGTATCTGCGAATGTATGCGGGTATTCGAGGCGGAAAATGAAGATTGATTATTCCGACTTACCAATCGATTGCAAGGTCTTGTCTGGACCTTCTACGCCAGTGATGGCAGCGTATTCTCCGGGGTTGACGAAGGGGTAGATGCCGAAGACTATGTTGACGAACGCATGTAAGATGAGAAGGAGACGAGCCATGCGCGAGATGGGTGACATTCTGATGGATGGAAGCACGGTGAGACCTGCTGCGATGTACAAGGGGATATCGCTATGTTGTTCGTTAGTTCATTCAAGTTGCAGGAAGACATTGATGGAGCTTCCAAGACCAAACCAACCCCGCTATGGTAAGGCGTGCCATGTTTAGCGCCCACGTGGGCGCGTGTCTCTTCCGGCTCACGAAGTTTGAAGTTTGTCTTTCGATTGACCTCGACAGTCGCTTGTAACTCAATATCGAGCCATAAGTGTGATACTATATAGTCCCCAGCACGACAGTGTCCTTTACGCATCTTCGAACGAAATCCACACCCAAGGAGGATTATAAAAAAAAACTATATTTGCATTCTGGCAACTTCTGCTACATATACTCAGCATCTTCCTCATCTCATCTTCTTTTGCTTGGTGTGTTTCTCGTTTGTGAGTATGAATCTGTGTCGTTGTTTACCCTCTGCGAACTCCACAATGACGCGGCTTGCCTTTTTCATCGTGATGAGCTTCAATCGAGGCTTAAGACCGATCTGCAATAAACTGTAACGTTTCCTTGATCTCCCTAGGAGAGCCTATGCAAGAGCCTGTGATGTGCACCGTTTTCACGATGATAGCAAAAGCTGGGAAGCCGGGTATCGGATCCTCAGGATTGCAACTATAGAAAGAGGTATTGGCTGCAATCAACCATCCTGTTTCTGGACATTTGGGCCGTTTTTCTTAGAGTAACCCGAGTGGTGTCAGACATGATTGTTATCGGGTGCGGTTGGACATCGGATGAGTATCGGAATTAAGGTCTGCAGCCTTATAGGTTTTGATCGTATGGTACGGGCGTCAAACACCGTACCCAAGGTTCCCGGGATTGCCTGTCCCAGCCCACCCATTAAGATCATAAAACCACTCGGGGCTCCTTCCGAAATGGAAGCCATTCCCTATGTCCATAGGCTGTCCTTGCATGTAGGCATTAATGTCAACATCCACACCCATGTTCATATCTCCTAGATCGGCGTCCAGCATATTCATTCCCTCCATCGTGCCGTCGAAAGAGGGGAAGTCTGCAACATTGCTGAAGCCGCTCTGGACTTCAGTACCAGTAGGAAGATGCTTCCCAGTGATGTCATCAGCGCCTTCGCCACGGCCGTGTTCTCTTCCATTGAAACATCCGCTCGAAAGACCTAGATCAATCTCTTCGCCGTGCTCTTCTCGATATACTTCAGCCAGTATCCGACTCGTTTCGCTGGTAGAAGTTTTTGCTGCTTCAAGGACAGCTGCGTCGGGGTCGTTGCCAGATATTAAAGCGTCGATGCGTGCTAGGGCACAATTTATGAAAACGACACCCTTTGCGTTCGTTTCGCCATTATGAATCCGGGCTATCCCTAAGCGGCGTGATGATTCCAGGACTTCACGTAGAGGCTGATACTGTGCCGGTAATGATGACAACCCTGTGGAGGAAGATGTTGGTGTTCGTGCGGAAACCATGGGAGCAAAGAGCGCTGCATCTTCTAGTCTCTCATTGATTTGCGAAGTAAGCTCGTAATATACGGTTGACATGCCGTAGAGGAAGAATGACTTAAAGAAGCCGACACATCGATGTGTCATACGTGTCCAATCGTCTTCTTCATCAGGCGCGTTGTCCGTCGCCGGCGCGTAGATTGCTAACGAGGTGTCCAAACATATCTTTCTTGAGTAGTGATAGCGTGGGTTTCTGAATGCTTTTGAGAAGTATGGGCGGTGAAGACAGAGGACGAAGCGTCGGACTAGGGTGTCGCACATTTTTATCTGGAAAGGCGTGATGTTGTGTCCCGCAGCTAATGCGGCTTTGAAGAATATCATCCCCTTGCGACAGGCGCTGGTTAGCTCGCTGCCGACGCGCAGTACGTCATCGTACGATAGATCAAAGCGTAGATTGTTGATCAGCTTGATGATCTCTAACCTTACAGGAAGAGTCCGTGTAAAACCAATTTGGATGCTACTGTCGGTGAAAACAGTTTCTGGTTTCGCATCCAAAGGCGCCTCAATGCCTTCACCCATGTCTTCATCGTTGATGTTAGACGGCGGCTTAGTATCGTAGTCGTTGATAGAGACCATGGGTGGCATGCCCATATCCAGGCTACTTTGCGCAGTAATCTCCAAGACGGTTGCCCAGAGCCTGCGTCGCATCTCACCATGATAGACGCTGATTTTGGGGAAATGAGATGGATCGCGATGCAAACCAAGATGCATGGCCGTTCGTAACAGTGTGCCTGCAGGTATCCAGATGTGGTCGCCATCGACATTACAAACTTGGCGTGCGATTAGAATAAGAATCTGTATTTGCAATCCTATCATGTTGAGACGCGACTTCGCATGAGGAGCACTTTGCCACTCTGCTGCAGCCTGGATCCATTTCACGGCCGAGACGCGGAGCTTGGCCTGCTCTGGTCCAGTGTAGAATGGCACGCCAATTGCGCATACCAGTAGAAACTTATGAACGATGGAAGGCTTTGCAGGCATAGTGCCTAGCCAATAGGCGTCGTATATCTTCTTGAAAGAAGGAACGTGCAAGACACGAAAGACGCCCTCGAATGTGCGCAGGTAACAGTCAACAAGCGCATCGCTGATCTCCCTGGGTGGGATGCATGCCTGTAATTCTGGTGATATTGAAGGCTGTGACATGCGCGAGGCCTTGATGATGCGAGCCATTCGTTTCACTTCTGAGACGGTAGCATATAGTTCGGTCGACTTGTTCCTAGACGTCAAAATTAGATGACTTCTCTTTCAAGCAAAGCTTACGCACAATCACATACACCTCTTTCCTGTTTGTGTTTTCGTTGATCGTAGTATTCGCAGCACCAAGAGCATCGTACTGGTTGGCGTACGTTAGTGAAGTCCGGCGCAAGTATACATGTATAAAGATCTCAGGCAAGGCTCACTTACAGGGTCTATAGCGTTGATCCAATGACTCTGACCGTAAAACTTCGACTTTACAAACTGACCGCTTGTGGCATCTGAGCTTTCCTGTCTCGGCAATGTACCACTTCTCGCTTGCTCATTCAAAGTAGCACTCGCCAGCTGCTCTTCCAAGCCGTGGATCCGATCCAACAAGCTACTGATGACGGAGGCTTGTGTAGTATCTGGGTGTGAGTTCAAGTTGAAAGGCGGTCTATCGGCAGGCAAAGGCTTCAGCTTGCCACCACGTTCTCCGAGAAGCCCAGGTGCCACGTAGCGATTGATCATCGCGTCAAAGTCATTGGACGGTGTGGGCGGCTGGGGAGAAGACCGAGCCGGATGTCCTTGGTCCTGGTCGTTGCTGTGGCCTGTCGAGGTATCATCTTCGGGTGACCTTTCGCTCCTTTCTGACCGAATTCCCGGGCGCGTAGGTCTAAAAGTGCAGGTTGCCGATTTGATTCTGGTGCATGCTCCACAAGGCTTCTCTCGATCGCATTTTACCTTGCGCATACGACACTCGACGCAAGATAGTGCGGGCCTCCGACGACGTTTTGCTGGTCCGTTGCCATCTGTGTCTGCACATTGAATACTTGGTTGCTCAACCATATTGAACGGAAGATACAAGCAATGTAATCGTCACTGAGTCTGCTGCGTAGTATCAGTAGTATGCGATGTTTCCAGATTCTGGAACTGTTGTAGGTAGCTGAATGAGTGATGGCCGGTCTTTTGTCAAGCGCGGGTCGGTGATTTCGGTGATCTCGCCACGAGGCTTCCGCGGCATATCCGCCAGCCTTTCTATATCTCACTATGACAGCATAGCCACACTGCGAGGCATCGCACATTGCACCTCATATAAGCTCGAATCATCAGACTTGCGCGTGTCGTCTGTCAGGTAGAACGATGGTGTATTGATGGAGGCCTCGCAACATGAAACGGTTTTGGGTGGGTGTCGGCCTCGGGCTGGAGCCAGCCACACGGAGGTCGATGGCAGCTGTGCGCACATGCAGCCTCTCTACCCTCGACGTCCAGCTCCGACACGAACCTACTTTTGGACATCCATCAGACGCAGATGTCAGACATACTGCGCGCGTTCATGATGGATATCCCCATCGAGCCAGCACCAGCGGATGCGTGCTAAGAGAGCGCAGCATCCACGGTGTACATTCTTCTAAACGCCGGTTCTTTGTGAGCTTTATCAGGATTGCGACTTAAAGAGCCTGCGTTCAGGCGTATTCATAACATTCTGTAGCAACCAGTTAACAGTATACACGACAGTGAGAAGCGCTGTGGTACAAAGAAAACGTGTGTTCGGCTTTGTTACATGAGGCCTCCAGCTTGCAACGACCGCTGCTGCGTTAGAGATCAAGTTAGAGCTTTTATCACGGCAGTTGGCGAGCTGACCGACGACGGCGAGCGGATCAAAACAACACAACTCTCAAATGGATATAAATGGAATTCTCAACGCCGTTTAAGGCATCACAAGCGCCAATTGCTACGGCCGTAACTGCTTCGAATCCGCAATGGAGAGGGTATTCGCCCAGGGTGTACATGACAGGCTGAGCATGAGACAAGCTTGCAAAAAAGGGGGTTGGAGTTCAACGCAGGAGCTGCAGTTACAATCATCGAATGCTTCCGGATAGCGTTGAGCCAACATCATGCCCTGTCTATCGCCTTGAGCGCGTCCTAACCAACTACGTTGAAAGTCAGCCACTCCTCGCTTTCAGCACAGAACGAACTACCGGCAACTTCTCCAACTGAAATGGTGACAGAGCCGAAACTCTGCAGAGCAACCAGATCGACCTTACCCGGAGATCAAAACGCCCAGGGAGTACCGGTGACTTCGATCGCATTGTGGCCACCGTTAGTGGAAGCTGCCGCATATCCATCAACGATGGCTGGAAAACAGAGCTGGTCAACAACACCAGCGTGCCAACCACCGCCTCCCACACCTTAGAAGCGTCCATTCCAGTCTTCCGGTAGCCATACTTAAAGATTGGCCGTATCGTTCTGACCAGGACGGTTACAGGTCATCTCTACACGATGGTAGCAGATGTTATAAGGTGAGAAACCAAGAAGCGGCACAAGTTGTTCAACTGGGATCGGCGAGCTTGCTAGTGTCCGTTACGTCTTGAGCTTTGCCGTAGAGTTTGTAACCGTAGTGCCGTGAAGATAGGGCTGTTGGAGGCTCGAACAAGCCGATGCGCCTGTTGCGGGTGCTTTCAGAAGCTGAGATCAAGTCCAATAGGTTACGGCCAGGCAATTGAACTTGACATACCTGAAGCTAAATGCATCGTATAGATGAGAGGATAGAGCCAGTGCTAGAGATGCGTTTGGTGCTCGACGCAAGGGTTGATTCGCTCTTACATGCACACAGCCCTAGGTGATGGCTGCGAGAACATCGTTTATATGACAATATGTTCAAGGGGGGTCGCAAAAGGCTTCGGGTCTGTAATGTCATATCTTCTTCTCTTAGGTTGTATTATCGACGTGGCAGAGACCATTGTACATCAAGGCGGACAAGCGAACGAGTCAACAGATAACCAGCGAGTGGCAATGCAGAGAGTTGTTTGCTTCTTTTGTCGAGTTCAGTTACGCGGCATATTGGCTAGTACCCTTGCATCTGGATTGAGTACGTCTACTTCGCTAGTGTCGGCACGGAACATGGAGTTCTTCGGTTCCGCTGAACGAGTAAACGAGTACCCTCAGCCACTTGATCGGCAAACTTAGCGTCACTCTACCAAATTAAGCTTCTGGCGCAATCAACTCTGCCCCCGTCGTACATCTCAAGGTCTAAATCATGCTGGTGCACTCACAAACGACCTCAAGCCCTGCATGTTTACAAACGCAACTTCATCCATTGATAGAGGTGCATCATGCGCGAACCTCGAGAGCCTGCCCGAAAGCCAATAAAGCGATACCATAGGAAGTCCAGGGCTGGATGCGACACGTGCAAGCGACGGCGTGTCAAATGTGACGAAGCTACACCAACATGTGGAGCGTGTGCTCAACGACAAGATCGATGCATCTACCAAAACCCAACTGTTGCGACTACTGGATCTAGGAATTTGGCCAAGACATCCTCAACCACAGCAAGGTCATCATCAGCATCATCCACATCCTCCTCCTCCTCTTCATCATCATCATCATCGCCTCCGTCGATCACATCCCCATTGTGTCCACTGCACAATACATACCGCGGCTCTTCCTTACGACTGGTCACTTACAATGCCACCCGGATGAGAGAAATGCAACTCATGCACCAATGGTCCACAGTCACATATCGTACTTCTGGTCCTCGCAACATGGAGCTCTTTCGCGACTACACAGTTGAGCAAGCTCTGCAACACACTTATCTAATGGATATCGTTCTCGCATTTACGTCCCTGCACAGCGCGAGCAATGCATCAGAGGCCAGCGCTGTACACGAGCATGTCGCCGCCGCCCTCCACTACCAAAATCGAAGTATAACCGAGTTCAACGAAACACAGTCGCTCGTCAAGATTTCGGAAGAGAGCTTCGATCCTGTTTGCCTCATGACTTCTCTCCACACAGTGGCCACACTGGTTGCAGCTCTGACACCTGCAACTCCGGGCGAGCAGTTGGAACCAATAGTCGAAATAGTAAAGCGTATCAGGACGTACGCGCTATGCTTGATGGACATGGTTAAAGGGCACCGCGTCTGGGCTGAAAAAAGTGAGCTTAAACGAATTACCGACAGCCCTACTGTACTACGAATCGAGGAAGGCCATTCGTTCTCGGCGGACCAGATGCGGGAGTTGACTGATGCTATACTGGCGAATATCGATCTTGACGATAGTGAGACCCCATTCTTCCGTACTACACTAGAGCAACTGGAGAAGTCATACGCTAATAACAATGGGCGTTCGGTCATCTCTTGGTTGGTGTTGGTGGAGCCTATTTTCTTTCAGAAAGCTGAATTGGGAGAAACTGCAGCTTTGGTAATATTGGCATGCTGGGGTACACTCAGTGTTATTCTGGAGGATATATGGTGGTCAAAGTATGCTGGCCGGAGAATTGTGGAGGAACTTTCTTCCCAGCTCAATGGCTGTGATAGCCGCTGGAATGGAATCATGCAATGGTGTTACAAGCAAGCAAGAATACATGGGTTGTAGATACGACGACATAGAATATCATAGGCTAGAAGGCGTTTAATGGATAAATAATCGCGGCTTCTTCTCACTTGGTATCTCATGAAGCACACATACATGAAAACGAGAATGAGATAGTTTGATACATTCTCGTTTATTCGTTCCTGTTGACCTATTGTCTCCCAGTTCAGCCTCAGGGGCATACAGCCTTGGCATTCCCTACCACCATTACAATTTTGTTTCACACGCTAATCTACTCAGCCACCCATGGCTTGAATACACTCATACTCTGGTCCTGTCTAAGCCTCAAAATCTGCGCATAATTCTCGTTCTTTCGTATAGTCCTTGGCTCGAAATGTATATATACCAATCTGCTCCTTACAGATAATATAGCAGACACTAGATGCATCAGTTTCACGCTCCCCACCCGCAACCCTAGATCCTCCACGAGCAACTTCTATTCCTCATCGAACAACTTACCGGCTTTCCTTCACAGTATTTCTTACATACTCCCCTAAACCTCAAGCATTATCTACGACTACAATGGTAGACCACGAATCATCTCTCTATCCATACTCCCCTTCAAAGCCCGCGGCCATTTTCAGCATGGTGATTTTTTTAATCCTACTTCTGATACATTTTGTAAAATTGTCCAAGACCAAGACGTGGTTCGCTGTGCCCCTCGTCATTGGCGCCGTCTGTAAGTTGCTCCTCCTTTTGCAATAGCCCAGAGGAGAATGCACAGTCTATTGTCAGCAATTACAAGAACTTGACTGACACCTCCCAAGTTGAGTCTTTAGGCTACGCAGCCCGTGCATACGGCCACTCGCATCCCTCCTCAAAGAACGCGTACATCGTCCAAACCATGCTCATCCTACTCGCACCCATACTCTTTGCAGCAACAATCTACATGTTCATGGGCCGCCTCGTGCTCGCATCTGGACACACCAAAGCCTCCATCATCCGGCCGACGTGGCTGACAAAGATCTTTCTCGGTGGCGATATATTGTGTTTCCTGGTGCAAGCGGCAGGCGCTAGTTTTCTGGTGAAGACTGATGCTTCGCAGTCGACAAAGAATCTGGGCAAGTACATCATACTTGCTGGTTTGGTCATACAACTCATCGTGTTTGGGTTCTTCTTGGTTGTTGCCGCTATTTTCCACCTGAGAGCCGGGAAGGCTGAGAGGTTGGAAATTGGAACAGTTAAGATGTTCAACTGGCAGAAGTACATGGTCACGCTGTACATTGTTAGTGGTTTGGTAACAGTACGAAACATATTCCGCGTTGCTGAGTACGTCACGGGTGGTGAGTGTATTCCTTGCCTATCTGTTAATTTCAACTGACCGAAAGCAGACCAGGGATATCTCTTGACACACGAATGGCCGATATACATCTTCGATGCACTGCTCATGGCTGCTGCACTCGCGAGTTGCACGTCCTGGTACGTTGGTGACATCGTACAGAAAGCCTTCAATGGCGATGAAGAAGATAGCGGTGTGACAGCGATTGCCATGTTTGCTCTCAACATAGCAACCGCGATGGGTAAAAACACCCCTCTGATTCAGACAACCACCTCCCGAAAACCCGAGTAGATATGTCTCGATAATCTACACTTAGTCATACAAAAATGCTAGGACGTGTAGCCTAATGGTAAGGCACTCGCACCCAATAACCACCAATCGGACATGCTGTGTGAACTTGCCACCAGCACCGGTTCTGCGATCTACCGAGGTCGACGTGTGAGCACAGGAGTAACGAACTACAAACACCTGTGTGGGTCATGTGAGGGATCCATGTTCAAATCATGGCATGTCCAATCTCTTTTCTCTTTTTTCTCTACCTTTTCCTTTTTGGTTGATCGAAGGGAACGTGCATGCGTTGTTTACGGGAATGTGCGTGCTGGGTGCTATAGACTGGGGGTTATATAGAATGTCACTGGTATTTGTAAGTTCATGATCGTGGTATTGAGGTACGTACTTCATTGGATACGATGCTATCGTCAACTCCATCTAGCATATCCGGAGACGTCAAGTCTACCAACCTAAATCATACATCCTCATCTACATCCATCTCAACACCATCAACACCTTGCTAAATGCCACAACCGCTACTCATACACCCTATCTATCACTATCTACATATCCTTTGTCAAATCGTAAATCTTCTGAATCTCCTTAAGCTGCCCCTCATGGTCAAACTTGAGATCCTTCAGCAGTCCATCCTCGAATCCAAATACCCAGCCATGCACAACTGGGAACTCATTCTCCGCCCAACACTGCTGCACAGCCGCCGTCTTGATAACATTTCGGCACTGCTCATACACATTGAGCTCAACAAGCTTGTTGTACTTGTCGTCCTCGGAGCCACCATTGGCGACGACGTCGTCGAGCTCCTTTTGGTGCAACCGGTAGACATCACGGATGTTTCGCAGCCATGGGTTCAGCAGACCCATGTCCTTTGGTGTCATGGCAGCCTTGACACCGCCGCAGCCGTAGTGGCCGCAGACGACAATGTGCTTGACCTTGAGGTGGCGCACGGCGTAGTTTACGACGGACATGACGTTTAGGTCGATGTTGTTGACGAGGTTGGCGATGTTACGGTGGATGAACATCTCGCCTGGCTCAAGACCGGTGATGGCTTCGGCGGGGATGCGGGAGTCAGAGCAGCCTGTAGGTGATGGATTAGCAACTACGTCTATGATGGATTGAGTCATTCCAGTATAGCCGTGTAGAACTCACCAATCCACAGATACTCGGGGGCCTGTCCGGCAGTCAGGTTGCTGAAGAAGGAGGGGTTCCTCTTCCTCATCTCATCGGCCCATTTCTTGTTGTTCTCAAAGATACGGTCATGACTCTGCTGGAGGTACTTGCGCACTTCCTTGGGCTCTTCCTTTCCAGTCATTCTGGGCCACGAAAAGTGTCTTTTGGCGCTAATTGGTTGTTGTGCTGTGGCTGTTTGCAAAAGCGGTGATGCTGCTGGTCCAGTAGAGCAGAATCGCAACGAAGTCCGGTTAAGTGAAAGAGAAGTACGCTGCAGCGGCGTTGAGCTTGATAAGAGTCGAGCTGCGGGAGCGAAGGAGAGCTGCCCCGCTGCGACTAGCTCTCGGAGAGCGTGGGGTAACCGGTGCGGCATGACAGGACAACAAGAAAAAAAAGATGGTGCAAAAGAGGTAAAACGCCAATGACAATGCTGCGGGCAGTTTCGGTTCTAGGAGAGAGGGGACGCGAAACGGATAATGCTCGAATTATTTTGCTTCTCCTGCGCGCCGATTGGGCGCTCTGACGTCAAAGGATTGGCTAAAGGATCAAGGACCCTGGTTGCAGATCAGCGGACGATGGGTCTAGCGGAGACATCTGAGTAAAACATCGAGACTGCAGCCTCATTAATATCTCACCAAAGCCCAAGAATTGTCTGTTGCATTGAGCCTTTTAGGTGCTAAACGGCGGCTGTCGGTCGGACACACAACACAATGCTTCTTGACGACGCCAAGAGGTCCATCATATCGCGCCATGCCGACCATCTATTGAGCACAAGGCCTTGGCCAAAGACGATCTGCCCCTCCGAGATTGCCCGCGCGTTATCAACAGAGGAACTGCGTACACTAGATGCGTCAGTGTGGAGGGACACCATGGGTCATATACGACAGATAATGTGGGAGAGGAGAGAGGCAGGACAAGTCGAAGTGATGCAGAAGGGCCAAGTGGTGGACGTGGAGAGCTTGGAGGATATCAGAGGACCGATAAGAGTGAGAAACGTAAGAGGATAATACAACATCAGCAAATGCTCTAACTGCTGTTGCGGATTACAACATGTATAGTAATTTCGATGCAATACAGGAAACGATTAGTCGTTCTAACTGGCCCGATATGCTAACCTTGAGAGAACCGCGTCCCCAACAGACTCCAATAAACTCCGATAAACTCCAATATATGCATGCATCCAAACCTTCGTGACATTTCAAATTTCAAGTCTCGGGATGCTTGGCGCCGCTAGCATCAAGACCCTGCCACTTCTCCTCATCCCATCCCATACTGGGATCTGTCGCATTACCCGCTTTGCCTTCCTCGGTAAGATTCTTGATGTCGCTCCAGTACTCGAGCTTCTTGCACTCGTTATCAGCTGCCTCGATGGCCTTGAGTAGGTTATTGATCCTGCGTTCTTCGGCTTCCCCTTCCGGCTTCGAGTCTTTCTTGTGTTGTTCACGGTGGTCTTTGGCGGCTTCGAAGCGGTCCATAAGTGTGGAGAGGAGTTGGCGACGGGAATTCTGGAAGATAAGCATCGACATGATGGACGGTATCTGGGCATGTTAGTTATGTTGGAGGCATAGGGATGCCATATGCATACCTGTCCTGCAAGGTAGTGCAGTTCCTCGCCCCCATCGTCGATGAATTTGTGTATGTAGATTATCTTCTCTCGGTCGATAGCAGCTTTCTTCAATTTCCTCATGAGTGTGGCAATATCCCTGATTTCCTCGTCCAGACTTGTCTGGGCACTGTCTAGCAAGCCGCTGTTGGTACCAAAGGTCGTCGACCTGACCAATGTAGTGCCGATGCTGAAGGTTTCGCCAAACATGCGCTCCTTTGCGTTCTCCTTGGTCTTGGGTGGTAGCCTCTGCTTCACCCGTCTCCGTAGCCAGCGTCGCCGCCGAACGAAGCTGTGGAACCAAGGGTGGTTGCCGTGCCAGGCTGAGCCTTTGAACAGCAGACTGTACTGCCAACCCTCTTCATCGACATCCAGACTCATGTCGACATACCAGCTGTTCCAGTCCCATACCCAACTTGGATCTGGAACTTGTGCATTTGTGATATTGACGGCGGATGGCCTGAACTTGGCATTCTGCCAGGGCGCAGGGTCGATTCGTAGGTTCCACAGCGCCTTGTTCGAGAATAGCGGTATGCCGAATATGAACCAACCGCGCTGGTTCTCATAAAGGATATCGATGTGCGAGTCTGATGAGGTCGATGGCTGTTCAGGTTGTGCAGCCGTAGTAGGCGTGTTGTCGCCGTTGGACGTGTGGTCGACGAGGCTTATCGTTTGGTCCGCCATGCTGCAGAGCGTGGCGTAAGAATCAAGGAAAGTAAGAGGCGAACGCCGTTGCTATCGTAGATACATGAGGTCGTGGTTAGGCAGGCGCGGCACGCTGCACAGGTAGTCGACAGTCGCTGGAGGGTGGCTGTTAAGGGGCGCGCACAGAAGACTACACACTTGGACGACGCGACCGCAATGCGACAAACTATACAAATAAGATTAATGCTACAATGAGATTACAATTAGTGTGTAGAAGCAAGAACAACGAGTGTGTGTAATGTGGATCCGGCCTGTCATTCATCGTAGAGTCAGCTAGTTTGGCGATCTGGTTCGCACGGCAGCGAAAAGCCCGTGCTTCAGCTGTCTACCATTACGTCACACATGCGCTTGTTAGAAAGACGCCTTCCAAGGTTCCCCTCCCTCGCACAACTCTGCTTTCTTCATCTTCAATTCGCATTTTACATAGCTTGATCATTCTTCAATTCTAACCAACCAACACCACAAACCCCCCATCCCATCAACAATGTCTCGTCGTTTTGCTACATACGGTGGTGTCGCTGCTCTTGGTGGTGTGACCTACTACCTCTACAATGCTGGAGGTGACCCGAAGCTTGCCGAGAAGAAGGCTGAGCGTAAGTTCTGCAGAGGTCAATTGCCTGGTTTATCAACTAACAGCTACAGACGATGCTGCGACTGCCGCACGCAAGCTAAGAGGCGACTACCCTGGCCAGGACAAGGAAGCAAAGAAGGCTGGCGAGGAGGGCTACGAGGCAGTCCGCGCCAGCGCACAGCAATACGTATGTTCAATGCGATTCCATCCATGTTACTTGTGGCAGTATACTGACCATGGCTAGGCCGACCAAGCCAAGGCGGAAGCAAAGAAGGCTGAGCAAAAGTTCGATGCCTACAGCGCTGATGCGAAGAAGCAGTATGAAGAGGCAAAGGCCCGCGCCGAGCGTGAGCTACACGCAGCAGGCAAGCAGGTCAACGCTGCTGCCAACAAGTTCGATGCCGTTGTCGAGGACAAGGCCGCGAAGACGTCGTCATGGTTCGGCGGACTGTTTGGTGGAAAGTAAGCTCGAAGTGTACAGGACCAGTAATGTAATGATAATGTAACAAGATGAGCCGAAGCTTGTTGTCGAAAGTCTTGCATGGCATTGGAGTATATAGGCGCAGGGCTTTTTGTCTCAATAAGATATGATACTCACGTTCGCTCTCTTGCAAGTCACGTCTCTGTCGTTAGCGTGCAAAGCTTGGACGGCATCATGACAAGGCGCAAAGTCGTCGTTTGTGGGTGGACGAATTTCACAGAGAGATGTCGAAATGACGAAAGCGTAATGAGTGGTGGAGACATGCCGGATGCGCGGGGCAACGACACGCTCAAGTTTCAATTAAGTGGGGCGAAAACGCGACGCGAACGCGCAGAAGCGTAAAGCGCGTCGGACGTGCCTTCCCTTCCCTGTTTTGCACCCCCCTCGGCTCATAAACACTCCTTTGAACCTCATCCTCACACCCACACGACACATCACTTATCGACATTGTTCCAGATATCTCATCTTTGTATCAATCAGAAATATCGTCAACAACAATGTCGCCTATTGCTCCCGGTCAGCTCCCGGCCGAGCTCGTCAACCTTCTCGCACTACACTCATCATTCCTAACGGCGCTGTCGCTGCATTATGCCCACAATGGCACTTCGACGCCTGCCGATCTTCGAGACCTGATTGCATCGACCACTTTGGTCTGGCGGCAACGCAAGGTCACGTACGATGACATTCGACTCCTCATTGGTATTCTCGACCACGGTCCCTCCGGCAACAACAACCCTTACTACCTATCCGACTATGGCCGCGGCAAAATCTGCATTGAAATCAAGGACAGCAGTCCTATGATGAATGGCATGACACATATGAATGAACAAGGGCTGCAAGAAATGTTCAAGGAAGGATTAGACACGTTGTGGTCGCAATGGTGCACGTCGCAGATGATGATGGCCCGGCCAATTGCGGTGCCCAAGCGCGGACGCGGACGCCCGAAGAAGGCCGACATCAAGCAAGCATGCATGGACACATTCCTCGATGACACCTCCGTGTCCAAGTTCCTCAGCCAGCTTCCTCTCGCCCAAGTCACCACATGCGAATCGCTCACCGCGCTTGCACCAGCACAAGAGAAGGGACGCAAGAGGTTGCGGGAGTTCAAGGAGAGCGTACAGCAAGGTCGTGCGCTGAAGAAGACAAGGTCCACCATCGGAAAGGAGAACGACCTCTCCTTGGGACAGAACCAGCAAGCCCAACCCGCCCAGCCCAAGATTACTGAATTTGCTGCCGTTCGCAAAACCAACCTCCTTGACCGTATTCTCGCCAAGCAGGAGGCTGCAAAGGCTGGCCCCGCAGCACCAACACCCGCTGAGCTTCAGAGAAAAGCAGCTCTCCAGCGCACTCCAGAAGTCATTGGTGTACTTTCTCTACTCTGCGCGAACAGACCCGGATCGCGCGTTTCGTTCTCGACAACCACCCTTTTGCAGGCGATACAGGGCTCTATTCGATCTCCAATCTCAAAGGAAGAGGCGATGAAGTGCGTGGAAGTTTTAGCAAGCGAAGTTGCCCCAGGATACGTCTCGGTCGTCAGTATGGGCAGTATCTCGAGTGTCGTCATCAACCAGATGATGAGACCTACGGATATCAAGAGCAGGCTTATTGCGCTGGGCGCTTGAAGACCTATTTTTTCTGTTCAGATTATTACCCTTTAACCTTTTTGTTGTAAGTTGATGACCTCATTCGGAGTCACTTGGCCAGCGTTTGTTTATTACATCATCTTAGCGAGCGTAGTTTCGTTCTTGCGCTGTACAGTATCTTAGCCCTATAGCATATTCTAATTGCAGAACATACACTTACAATTCCGTTCCTTCATTCTCCTCATTCCGATACGATTCTATCCCGGTGCCAGATACCCAACAACGTCTTGCTATGCGTGGCTTGCCGCGTCTTCTGACAATTGACAGCTGTTACACGTCAGATCTTCACACCTCGCTTCACTCATTAGCACATGTCCGCGTAGTCAACGCGGCTGTCACATATCATCACACAATGGTCTTCATAGCATCGACCTTGCAATGGATGCCTTTTGCCGATGCAGTACACGAAATCACCAACGTCCCAATAACTTGCTGTACTGTGTCAGTGAATAAGCACAATGGCCACCATAGAATCGAAGACGACCTGGTTTTTGAAACAATGACAGCCAAGCACGAACGACCTGTGACAGGAAACGTTCAGACAAGACCACTTCAGCGAAATGACAGGACTCTAGCATTGACGGAAGGCAGACATTCCATTGTTCTGGAAGAAACTGCCGCGTCGATGAACAACGCGTTCGTCCACGTTTCCGAACATGAATGTTTCCTGCCTGAGGCTGTGGGGGGTCTACATATACCATGCGCGTTCCCGGTAAGCATTTGACAGCTTCACAAGAATTGATCATTATTCAAGAGTGACGAGGAGTATAATACATCAAATCGTTGATCACTCTGGCAGGTCCTACTCTACTACCATACATCAACTTTGCAACCCACATATTAATCGCTTTACCAACCTCGGCGTCATAATCACTATTGCCAACCAGCCATCATGAAGCCCGCAACCGTCCTCTTGGCCATTTCAACCATCCTCTTCTCCACCACAGGCGCACAAGTGCACCCACACATTCACAAACGTTGCGCTGCCAACAGCACTGTCTCAGCCTCCGCTTCAGCAGCCCTACTACTAACAACACTCTCCACATCCTTCATGCTCGCTCCAACACCATCAGCTTTACCAACCACCCTCGCAACCTCGATCGGCTCGGCATCCCTACCCGCTTCATCCGCTTCAGCTTCAGCATCGGCTCCTTCACCAGCAACCCCATCTACCTCCGCAGATGTAGGGACAGGAAAACAAGTTACTATTCACCCGGGTGATACGCTTGAGATCATTGCTGCGGCGAATGGAGTGGGCATCTGCGATATCGCCAAGGCGAATGCAATTCAGGATCCAAATCTGATACTTGCAGGTGAAATGTTGACGATTCCTGTGCTGGTGGGAGAGAAGGATGATAGGAGTTGTTTACCATAGGTGGTGGTGGAGAGCGGAATGAGGATAAGGAGGAAAACAGGTCATAAGGTGATGGGATGATGAAGCGTTCGTGTGTATATATTCGAGGCTTACAAACGTTCTACGAAGATGCCAACGTACTCACTGATGTTTGGCTTTCGTGTGATACTGGTGTTCAAAGGGATTGATGATGAGATTGGCTGTGTAGGTGTGTTCTAACACTTTTCGATTTTTTCTTCTCAGTGGTAACAGAGCAGTGACATTATGTATAGGCTGCAAAGATGCCCTTTGGACAACATATATAGTACTTCGATTTGGTGAAGGAAGAGTTGTTTCTAGATCAGGTTTAATAAAGCCAGACTTTTCGTTGCTTAGGTTTGTGATATGGCGCCGGGGTTTTGGAGACGGACAATCTTATGCAGATTTCGAAGGACTAATTGTCGAAGTAATACTTCCACTTAAAGCGATTGGCTCGACAGATACTGTGCGCTGCATAGTTAGTTATTGGCACATCTCTGTGGACATAGGATCCAAGGCTATGATCTCGGCGGGGACACAAAAAGCATCACGTAATACGACAACCCTGGGCTGTAGGATAACTGAGAAGCCGTTGACTGTGAAAATAATGTACATTCGGGAATGTCATTAGGCGGGACATGCGGCCGTGGCAAGCAGGGCACTGCCAAAAACATTCATCCATCATCCACCACCAAGACGACCACCCCACACACATGTACACGGCGACAACAAAAAGGAAAGCTTCTCAAGCCCGACGTGGGGGTCGAACCCACAACCTTGAGATGTACTGAGTAATCGTGTCTGTTAGACCGTGAAAGACTAAGAGTCTCACGCTCTACCGATTGAGCTAGCCGGGCTGGTTTTAAGCCTGTTGATGGAAAGACTACAGATAAATAAATTTATATACTGAGAGTATGCATCTCTCACGCAGTAATGCTGCGTTCAAGAATAATCTTTCTGGTCGTGCGGGGCTAATGTTGGTGGCCGCATATGGCCGTGGGGTCTGAACATTCATCCGACAACCCCAACCTCAAAAATCTGCAACTCCACACATCATGGTTGGAATTTAATGCTCGGCAGTTTGAACGAATGCGCTTGACCTGCCCTTCCTTATTGCCCCTATACATCGTGTATCACATCGCTTACATCAGTGTTCCCTGACCATATCCCTTGCTGCTGCTGGGGGAACTTCGGGCCCAAGACGCCCGCGGACCCTATACTTTTAGCGACCCGACCAGCACGATCAATGATGCCGTCCCCAAAATATCACGTCAGCCGGGTCACCACTCGATCGCGAAAACATTGATGGGGGACGGGACGATTGGTACAGGTGATGCAAGAATTTGGACTACATCACCTCCCTTACGTTGCGGTTTTTGGGACACTGATCGATTCAAAGTCACTCTGCGTTGCAGCAATCATCATGTACACCGCGTAGCCAAAGGAACTCACCTGGGCACCCTTGATCGGACGATCGGACGATTTGTATTTGAGTATACGACGGCTGAAATGGGGTCTATCCACTTCGGCGGCGTTGCGGGGTTCGCAAACTTGTTGTTAAAGACACAGCCTGGATCAAGTGTGCGGCGTTGAAAGAAGTATACGAGGCCTAGATGCGCCAAACGAGGTGGCCACGTACCCTGCTTGCGCCTCGTACTGGAATCTTTGAGGCCATCGTATAGCGCTGGCGCAGCAGAACCCGTTAACCCGCGTACCTGGCAGCATTGGTAGCATAGGGTCCGGCATGCCGCTGCGACGCCGACACAACATCGGTCCCAATCCTTCTGAACCACGTTTACGTAGATGTGACTGAGGCTTGTTTCCGCGTCTAGACCACTTCGCTGGAAATCGGGAGCTGAAGAGGAAAAACAACTTTTAAACTCCGTGACAAAGACCCTAGGACAGTTCCTGCGTCAAAGAACTGGAATATCGCGGAGAAAACGCCACGTTGAAGGAAAAGCAATGTTTATCTTCCTTGGACCCTAGTTAACGATGGCGATCGAGATGTCTGCATGATGTCGCTGAGATGAACTGAGAATGGGACAACCACAAGGAACTCACGACAGTCACACGTAGGACTCTTGGGTTATATGACAGTTCCCAATGAGCTACAGGGATGAGTCGTCCGTCCCATGACAGCCGTCACATCCGAGCGGACAGGATTAGTCCCACATGTCAATCTACAGTTCAACTCACTACTCCAAAGTAGAGTTCGTGCAGTTCCACATCGAGTGTTTCAGAGCATCGTGGACCTGGTACCTGCATAGCCTCATGTTCAGAGATGAGGCGCCCCTTGGACTTTGCACCATTTAGGTGCGTACCACAGTAAGCACCGAGACAGTTTTCACAAAGTATGGGACCTCCGGTATGACGAACGTTTCCAACACTATAGATGCCGTAGAAGCCCCTATAGTTGGCATCGGATCTACATAAGATCTACGGGCTCGGTCTAAGCTCCGGTGTCCTAAGACGAATGTTAGCTTCAATCCGCATACACGAACGCGGACGAGCGCTGGGTGTCGCACCAAGTAGACTTGATAAAAATCCATCTTCACTTTGCCATCTGCTTCCTTGACTAGGTGCGCCCTTGCAGCCCAGTCTTTGCTAGACTCACCCCCTGCCTTGAAGCCGTACTTGACCGTTCCATATAGCATTACCTCGTCTGCGTTCGGACCGAACGGAAATATCTGGAGTGGCTTGTGCGCCCTGCTAGAAATCTTTTCCCACATGGCTTTGCGCAGGGACAGAATCTCTGCAGCCAAGAATCAGCCTCGCAGAAGGTATAAGGGGATTGAAACGTCAAGGCGCGGATTGAATCTCAGGGCTGGATGGAAAAAGCAACTGAGACAAACCTTCTCGGCCCGCTACCCTCTTGGAGGCCATGACGAGCGTCGCATCCTTAGTGAAGTAATCGACGTATTTCTCATGCGCTTCAGCCGTATCGGACGTAGCGTAGAAATCCTCGAAGAATTTCTTGTATGCAGGGTCAAACTCAACAGCCGGCGGGTATTGAGACGCGTAGGAAGTCATTTCGTGTTCGATTAGTGATGTGTGGGATCATGGATTGAGGGTGTCTATTGTTGCGGCTCGTCAAACGTCCAGCGAAGGCTTGCTTTCTAAATCTCGTATTGCTTGCCTGACGTAACGAATGACAAGCGCCCCCCGGCGGCGGGCCGGGCGGGAACGGCGTTCTGCAATTTCCAACTTCAACATCCAGTTGTTCTCCACATACACTCATTCGTGCGACTCACGTCAGTTTACCAGCTTCAAAGTTCATGATAGAAATCTTGTGTAACTGACTTCATCGTCGCCTTGGCAAGGGGTACTGTCATCATAACAGCGTCAGCCTCGAACATCTTCAGGCTGTGGTACCCGAGCGGCACTGACATCTTACACTATAGTAGCGCCAACCGTTCAAAAGAGACGCCGACTTCCAGCGCGAAGTCCCGCGCAGTTGCGTAATAGTAAAGCACCCTTGGGATCGTTCCGCAAGGTTACCATGTCTTCTCGCCTACTTTGCCCTCGGTCACGGTCGCGGCCTCAACAACACCCGGAGTACCTGCGCAAGCGCAGCGAAGCTTTCACCGAGGCATGGATGTGTTGTCATCACGGTTAATACCGTGGACCCAAAGAAGTCCAACTCACCGAAAATGAGATGAAAAATCTCTTCGGACGCTGCTTCCGGACAGATTCAGGATGCATGTGTCCGATTTAGAATCTTAGGTTTGAACTTCGATCGCAACTACCGTAGATCACAACGCCTATGATGTCTTTGCGCGGGACAGCGGTATCGAGATTACAACTGTTTCTTGATGCGAGCTATGATGACTCGATATACACAGAGGTCGGAACCCTGTCCATTTCGTAGTTCTCAGCCACAGCCTCAGGCTACGTCTCGAACTACTCCGGAGATACTTGTCAAGCCCAAGACCCGTTTAGTGACCGTTCCTAGTAGTGGTACCCACTGAAATAGCTCAGGCTCTGGCACCACACGGACTGTGGATCTGTCGGCGATGCTGGCAGAGGTCCAATCTGTCAGTTGCTCTGTGCCCGTGCAAGTACGTGAAGAGACTTGCAAGGGTAACGCTATGAAACTAGCTAATAGATTTCAGACTTCACGTTTGGCAACGCATATACGAATCCGAATTTCTTGCCTCTAGATGCCTAAGGGGCTATGGGCTCTGGACAACTCTTCAGCTCATATCGCCAAACGCCGTAGTGATGCAACACAACCAAAGATCTACCACCTCAGACTCTGGACGCCGTCCTCCGAACAGGGTAAAAACGCAAATCATTCCTGGAGCTAAATCTCGACGGGAACTAGTATCTAAAGCTCCGTTGCGATTCAGTGGCGTGGGAAGTTTCTAGATCTAGCCTTCGCCCTAGACGTCACTGTAGACCACGTCTGTGGCGCAATACTCAACATGCTTCCTACACGTGCATGTCGCACTCCATGATGATCGACGCCCGGGGGTGTACCCACAGACTACTAGGTGGATCCGATAATGGCACATAGGAGATTTCATAGTCGGATCGCTCGATGTGGCTGTCCGACTATCCGGCTAGAGAGAAGTCCTACCAGGTCTGGAGACTGGCTCCCGAGTATTAATGGGGTACACCCTGTCCAGTATTTTACAGACATAACTACCCCAGGAGTCTCCCTCATTCGGGTTAACAACCGCCCATCATGACTTCTCCATCTGGTCTTCCTTCCGGCACTCACGAGACACACTACATGGCAGACCATCGTCGACGTTCCAGTGAGATCATCCCCACTCAGGATGTTACCGTTCCAGCACATCTGCTTCGGGCCACGGGTACTCTTGGATCAAAACGCGACAACACGCATACTACACATACAGGAGCCTGGGAACCACAAGCGGAGAACCCTTTCCTCGACTCTGAACGAATCGGAAGCATCCGTCGTCGTCCCACACAAGACTCTGGCGGCCCACAACGGAACGGTACTCAGCGCTCTACCAACCTTGAACGCACAGAAACGCATGGCGAACGAAGGAGGAGTAACCGGTTCTCCTGGTTCAGCAACAGTGGTGCAAAGAGAAACTCGCAACAGAGCGGGGCACTACCATCACCAACTGAGGAGAATCTGAGACCCTTCCGGACCCTTTCCTACATCCCTGGGTCAACCGATGTTCTAGCTCTGAGCCCTCGAGGAAGTCGTGCACCATCACCAAGCTCACTCAATAGAGTTCCTACCGCGTCTACAAAGTCAAAGTGGTCCAATGATGACCCCTTCGCGACGAAACCCAACTCAGTCAGAAGCAGCAGAGACAACCCTTTTGCGACTGAAAACAACTCGGTCCGAAACTCTACAGATTCCTTGCCTCAGGAGCCTGAAGCCGCACATCACGCGGGTCGTCCCCGGAAGAACACTCTACAGTCTGTTGTCGATGGCATGGTACCCAACGCTCTCAAGCGGAGCATGACCAATGCATCCTACTTCAAAAGGAGTGAGATGTTTGACACCTACGAGAAGGCGAAGAAGAAGGGAGCAGAGATCCAACGAAAGAAGTGGGTGCAAATCACCTTTGAGTACGCCATCTATGCTTTCCTGATACTCTTCGTCTACTTCGTCTTGATCGGAGTTCCTCTATGGAACGGTGCTGTGTGGTGGCTTTACTGGGTTGTATCCACCAAGTTCGTTATCGCTGGTGGTTTCGGTATCGTGCTTGGAATCGCACTATTGTAAGTTTGTCAGAGCACCCTCGCCATCTTTTCAGTGACTAACATACCTTAGTTATGCGTTCGCTCCTTTACTCATCCTTTTCGAGAAGGATCCACCTCCCGCCGACTTCTCTACAGAGACCAAGTTCCATTCCAACGTTGACGATACCTGCCTCATGATTCCGTGCTATAAGTCTGCTGGACTCATTGCCAACACACTCGAAGCTGCCCTGAAGATCTTCCCTCCATCGAACATATTCGTCATCGCCAACGGAAACAGCCCGACGCCACTCGACAACACGGAAGAGGTCTGCCGTCCTTACGGCGTGAATCATATCTGGTCGCCAATCGGATCGAAGATCGTTGCTCAATTTGTTGGTTGTTATGCTGCGAAGAATTTCAAGAACGTTTTGCTCATTGACGATGACTGTGCGCTGCCTGACAACTTCCCTGTTGTCACTGAGCGCTTGAATGGCAAGGTCATGTGCATTGGCTACACCATCAAATCCGTCGGGCCAAACTCTACAAAGGGCAACCTCTGCCAACAAGCTCAGGATCTCGAGTACAAGCTCAGTGGTATTCAGCGTGAGTTTGCCGGTAAGGTCGGCTCCGCTACCTTCCCACACGGAGCCATTTCCCTCTGGGACCGTGAGCTACTTGTCAAGACCTTCCACGAACACCCCGGCTTCAGTGTGTCCGAAGACTGGTTCTTTGGTCATGTAGCCCGCAAGCTTGGATGTCGCATCAAGATGTGCTCGCAAGTCTTTGTTGAAACCGAAACACCTACCGCTGTTTTCATCTCTGGCGGTGGCTCCCGTGGTGGTTTCGGTGAGATGACCATTTTCTCGCAACGTTTCAAGCGCTGGAACTTCTTCTTCGTCAACGGCATGTGGTACAACATGGCATACATTCTCGGTAGCTGGAAGCTCGGTTGGTGGGAAATTGGTGCAAAGATCTTCGTCTTCCAAGAGGTAAGCAATCCGCAGTCTATTTCGCTCATCCAACATACTAACAACACACTAGGTCTACGAAACTCTGCTCTACCTTCTCACACCTTTCATCCTACCTATCTCGTTCTACGTCCGTCCCTCGTTCTGCGGTTACCTTCTCGCCGCCACAATCGTTATGTACCTCATCAACGTCATCATCTTCAACGAAGTGCACCTCCGCCGCAAGAACGAGCGTGTTGGCTGGCAGCTCATGTACATCTACTACCTACCGTACAAGATCGTCTTGACCTTTATCAATGTCGCAAGCTGCTACTGGTCGCTGTACAAGTACGCCAAATACTTCGCCAAGCGTCACCCCAAGGTTATTGAAGACGACAAGGCTGTCGAGGTCGTCATTCGCCTTGAGGAAGAGAAGGCTGACCCGGAGTGCGGTCTTGGTCGACGAATGACTGTGCGCACTATTGGCACACGGTCCCGCGCCAGCATGGACGAGGGTGACGAGGGTAGGCCCTTGTCCCCTGATGCCATCGATGTTGGAGGTGCTTCTTATGCGATCGTTGCCGAACCTGAGGATGTCCACTCTCCTGGTCTTCACCACGCCCCCACTCACCATGTCAGCCAGACAAGGCCAAGTAGCCCTCTGCTGCAGAGTGAGGGTATTGCTGCAAGGGATTACTTTGATGTAGCACAGGATGCGAACATCGATGTGGAGAAGCAGAACAAGAGAACCAACCGTTTGAGTGGCTGGAGTCAAAAGTCACAACGCAAGAACGTTTTCTAAATTTCTTTTCCTTTTCTTTGGGTTTACATTGGAGTTCCGGTTTACTGGGCGGCATTCTGTTATATACCTCTCGCGCATACTATAATCTCTTTAACGGCCGAAGAAATCAATCATAATTCAAGTTCAAATAGTCTCCAAGCCTGTGCGAAGGATTTCTAGAAGTGATATCGACTGGTATTAACCATCACAGGAACTGACCTCATCCAGCGAATCCTGTGTCATAGATCACTTATGGATCCACAAATCAGCACGGATGGCGGCTTGTACTCGACATGCCAGCGAGTAGTCCATATTCTGTTGTTGATTGTTGACTGTGGCAACAACTGGTGCTCATATCACCTTCTGCAACACCCTCATAATTTCTTAAGCATCAGCCGCCGCAACTCCTGCGTCATTTATCCCACTCTTTTGGCCACTTGCGCCTCCGCCCCGTCCTCCACCTCTACCACCTCTACCACCCCTGCCACCCCGCTTCCCCTTCTGCACATCACCAACCTCTTTCTCCCACTCTTCAATATTCACAGTCACGCCTTCGGGTAACTTCCCATCACTCATCAGTACACCACCATCCTTCTTCCTACTTTCGACGCGCTTGAAGAATTCATACGAAAGGAAGCCTTGCTCATTACCCTCGGTGAGTATAACACCGTTGTCCGAGACGAAAAACTTGATGCCGGCAGTAAGAGCAGCGTTGATATCGATATAAATCAGAATCGACGAGTTCTTGCGCATGCCTGAGATGACTGGCGCAGACTCCTTTTCTTCGGCAGTAGGATCAGTGGAAGAGTCAAGTGCTTTGAAACCTGCCGGGAGACCAGATGCGAAGTGAATATGGTTCCGTCCCATGCGCCGCAGACCGCCGCTCTTTAGGATGAGATTCCAGGCGCGCTCGTCGGTGCCGTGAACAACGGTTTCGGGAACATTGCCTGCTTCTTGGGTAATGGGGACGAGGAGGCCTTCTGAATCGACTTTGATGGAGTGGCCTTGGTTCGCGCGTATCAGGTAGTCGGCTGGGTCGTCTGATTCTGGTACAGTTTCCAACGATTCTGAGTTTGGTTGCTCTTGAGATAGCTCTGTGGTTCCAGGTGTCTCTTGGTCGAGTGAGGATGCTGGAATCATGGAGTAGCGTTGTTTGTCGTTATTGGCGACTATGTCGCGCAGCTCAGGAAATGTGACTTTTAAGCTCTTCAGAGTTTTGGTGTTTAGCTGAAAACGTTAGCTCGTCGTGTGGTCTAAGCTACGAACTCATAACATCATTCGAAACCTTGATGTATATGATAAGTCATGTCTTTATGTTAAGCATATATTCAACGTCGCCGGGCGTTGATTGGGAACAAACTTACCGCTTCCTGGACATTAACATACCCACCCTTTCCCAACTTTAAGCCCTCCTGACTCGCACCATGTCTCAATAACCAACTAACTTTCCTTGAGACCTGCACTTCTCTCGGTTGATTGGCTGGATTGCGACTACCGCCGCCTCGACCACCTCTTGCCATATCTTTGAGCGATCTAGTGAATAGTCGCGAAATTTTTGCGAAAGGAAACCTTTGAACAGGATTTCAAAGTCTTTAGAGGATTATCTGTGGAGTTCTGAGTCGAAGTGATGCCCAATGAGTCAAAGATGGTAGCCTTGGGGATGATGGATTGGTAAAGTAGGCGCAAAACGTTAGTGCGAGGACCAACTTTTGTGTGGTGACCCCGCAGTGATTGGATGCGCTAAGTTCATCAACAACATGAACGCAACTGCGTCACGAAGACGTTCGATCAGAATCGATAATCATGGGCTCAACATTTACCTCAAATCTTGTCTCTTGGCATTAATCTACTGTAAACGATCTGCAACTTTGGTCATATTGGCTCGAGGTTATTTGTGCTACTGGTACTGAAGGAGATACCTAGTCTCAACCACGTCTAGCATTTGAAAACACACTAAACAAATACACCGTGCAGTAAGAAGCATGTATCTGGCAAGCCACGAGAGACTAAGGCGATGGTCATGCTAATCAGTCTCCTATTCCTATTGAGCTAAGATGCTTGAAGCCTCATGGAAAGAGACAGGACTCTGCTGCCAACTGCATATCTTGCCGTATAATCCTTACTGGATTTCAAAGTTATTCGCCTGTCCGTAAGCAGCAGCGGTCACCGTGAGTATCCACATGAACTGGTGACCAGAGGTAATTGAGCATGGCTCTGCTTCCAGTCCATGAGCACTACATATCATCGACTCCATAGATAACGCTCCAGGATCGCTCACAAAAGTCATTGCGATACGCCTCAGTTCGCCTTTGACAAATTGCTCTGTCTGTAGAATGCTAGTTTTACGTCTGTAAAAGCGGCAGAAAACCTGTTCATCGACATGGAAAGTGACCTTTTGCAGGCTCTTGGGTAATCGTTCAAGGTAGGCCAACCCGAAATGGACGTCCTGGACAGAGAAATTTATCCTATCGTAGTTGAACCAAGCGAGTCTTATATTCAGACTCAGTATTTGCAGCATGGGCGAGAGACTATATGGTAGACCGTTTGCTTGACGACTGCTTCTTGCTCTATGTTGAGGCCGACAAGAAGAGAGTACGACTGACCTCGTATAGGAAACTGTCCAGTACGCTTCTTGTAGCATAACAAATGACTCACGTAGTGTAGAAGCAATGGTATTGACGACAATGTACAACTTCATCGTTCCATCCAACGCCTAATATTGATAACCCTGAGTTGAACTCATCAGTAGTGGCTGCATACCGTCGTAGCTATCGAGCTCCTGCATCGCATAGAGTATGGCCACACACATACACCATGACGTACCCTGTATACAACCCCATCAGCATGCGCAACCCTCTTTGGGACCCTCCGTCCGCGCACTGCCTAGATTTACACGCGCCTCCTCCTGCCTGTTCAAGTTTGTTTGTCCCCCAACACCACGAGGGCCCTTCAAGCTCGTCTCCGGAATGGCATTTGCGATAGCAGTAAATACCTCGGCAACGTTATGCCCTGTCTTCGCACTAGTCTCGAAGAACAACAAGCTCTCCTCATCTGCGTATGCCTTTGCAGTCTTACTTGGTACTCTCCTCGAGCTGACTCCGTCTTCTGTTGGCTCCTCTTCGCCCTCAGCTGCGGGGGCAGCATCTACGTCTTCGGCGTTCTCTTCTTCGGCGGCGGTGGCCAAATCGAACTTGTTTCCTACGAGTGCGATAACGATGCCTGGGGAGGCTTGGCGGTGCAGTTCGGCGACCCAATGCTGGGCTTTTGTGAGGGAAGAGGGCTTTGTGATGTCGTAGACGACGAGGGCGGCTTGGGCGTTGCGGTAGTACATGGGCGCGAGCGAGGCGAAGCGTTCTTGGCCTGCGGTATCCCAGATCTCAAACTTGATGGTTCGGGTTGGTAGGTTGCATTTCTGCGTCAGGAATGCGGCTATTGAGCGGCTTGTTAGTATTAACTTGGTGAGATATGAAGTGGGTGGTTGCTAGATTGATATCGTCTGGCGTGGCTGTGTACGTACCTCCGATAGTAGGCTCCTTGTTCTCTTGGAAGTCGTTGTTGACGAAGCGCATAACGAGAGAAGACTAGAAGATGGTTAGCTGGTAGTCGCAGCTATCTTCCGATTCTCCATACCTTTCCGACAGCTGCTTCTCCTAGCAGCACGAGCTTGACGCTGCTGCTGGGCTTGGGTTGCGCGGAAGCGTCCGCCATGGTGAAGTCGTGCGAGGGAAGTGATTCGAATTTTGCAGGGTATGTAGTGGCAGATGAGGTTCCTTAGATGTACGAAGTAACGCGCGACTTCTGTTTACGATGTGATGGTGCGGTTGCGATGCTGCAGGCAGATGGTTTGTACATGGCCGAGAGCAGTGACGAACACATGCACGTGACCAGATTACTAAGATCGGAACGCCTTTGGCATCCAAAAGCATTCCGATACATCCTACCTCTGTTGTCTTACATACCGACATTGTGCTTCCACCAGCACTCGTTCTCAAAGCATCAAAAGGAAAACAGTCGCTTTTGCGTCTCGGCAATATCTTGCTCATGAAGGGTTCGCATAACATCCATTGCTATGCGAGATGCATTATGACTTTGAGTGCACTCGCGCTCAACAATGCCAACTCTGCAAGGTGGTGAACAAAAGTTGTTCAGATTGCTGTACAGTGAGCAATTATGTGGTGTGGAACGTGCATAGCTTCTGGGTGCAACTGCTTGTACTTGCAGCAACTAACACCCTGACCGCCTGTCCTTCTTATCGATGCACAGCTATGCAAAAGACAAAAATATGCAAGCATACCACCAGCCCTGTTACGTATCTCGTGTGAGAAATCACGACAGCCGTTGTCATCCGGTATACGGCTATAGAGGTAGCTCCGCAGGCATCCGTAAGGCCTCATCCTACGACGCAGCAACTTGACTTTTTTTTTTGTGATCAAGTAATGCCTGACGTCATATTACCGATTTGAAACCTACTTGGTTTCCGACGGAACTCGCCCACGACGGTGAGAGTGGGCTGTGCGGATCTGTTCCAAGGAACGGTGAGGCTAAGTCTTGACACGTGAAATAGACAAGCTCAATCCTGGTTGATGCGGAGGTTTATGCCGCTGTGGACCATTCTCCTCACTGAGAGATAACTTTACATACAGACACCGGAAACTGTTACTCGGCAGGTCGAAAAGTTGCAGTCAAGATCAACGTGTAAGATGGAATTGTCTATGTCGCAATTATGGATACGGTAATCTGAGGGAATGCAGATGGTGGCGTCGTCGACCCCTCAGCTAAGGCGCGCAATCTGCCAATGAAGCTATTCCAAGGCCACGGGACTCCCGAATCGGCAGGCGCGAATTGACCCCTCAAGCACCTGCATAGGCATAAACAAACCACCGGAACGTCTTACACAAGCCCAACTTACACAATTCCAAAGACGCAGAGTCCATAGCGTTCTGCCAAACGGCTGGTCTACCGCAGGTTGTTATTGGTGCTGGTAGGCTACACCGACAAGTGGATAACACACGTGTATGGCATTCTGCTGCCCGGACTCCGAAGACAACCAACAATGCCATTACAAGCGGCTATCCGTCATCGTGGCACTCTATCTATCCCTGCGACAGGCCACGATCTCGGCCTGTTGATCTTGGCCGATCCCAGCACTTGTTGGACGACAGGATGGTCCAGCCATGCTCTGCAGGAGCGCGCGGTTTTTTTGTACGGCTGGCAGCTTGTCATGTGTCTTTCACTGTGTGGTGCAGGTGCCGCACCACTCAACATGTAGCGACCCCACAGCAGCGAACAAGACGACAGGGTGGTGGCTTGCGCGATAATGTGCAGCACAGACGCCGTGTGTGCGACCGATCGCGATGACGCCAAGCGCACGTCTCGTTATCCGAGGGCGATGAGGAGGGCTCGAGTGGAGTCTGACAATATTTTTGCCGTAGCATGGCAGAACTGCTCAACGCCATGCAGATGTTACGAGAGAGTGTGGATGGCGCAAACACATGTTGGCAGGCGATGATCTCTTGTGTAGCGCGCTCTGCTCGACGCAGCAGCGATCGGCTCGACTTAGCCACAGCTCTCCAGACAAGCGCTCGGTTCCCCGTGTCCTTGATCCGCCCGAACCGGACTGGCCCAAGCGGCCATGGCAAAGTAGTTGGGGATCGGCGTTCCCTATTGCGGGAACAAGTGTCTTGACATCAATTCATGCTCGAATCACAGAAGCGGGGAGGCACTCTGGATGGCGCACTAAGAATGTTCCCTCGATAACCTGCGTTGCGCCAGGAACACGCACAAAGGGTTCCTGGATTTCTGCACGGCGACGCGCACAAGAGGCAGGAGAAGCAGCCAGAGTCAGAGGTGCAATCGCTGAAACATGCAATCAGAGCGCGAGGGAGATGCTGCGTCCCATGTCCCTCCACGGACCAGTGCGGCCTTTATAGAAAGTGGCAGCATGGGAGGCCTCGTTTGTCGCTTCAGCCACGGCATTGCCGCGTACCTTGAGGGGGAGAGGCGGCCAGGGTTTACTTATCAGTCACGTTGGTCGGGCGTGGGCTGTGAGCGTCCGGCTGACCCCAGATGCCGCGTGCCATGTTTGCGACCAAATAATAAAAAGTTCCTGGCGTCTGCAATTGCTGCAACAATAATCTCACTCTCACTCCTTCTTCCCAACCTTAGTTGCTGCCGCTATCGGGTCTGAAACTGGGATATTTGGCCGCTTTTCTGAGGCTGCGCAATCGAGACTCTCTGTTGGACACAGTAACTCAATATCAGGAGCTCGGGCATCACCCCACTTGTCGAATAGCATTCCGGGACCTGTCCACACGCTTTATTTTTGAATCGAGCGCCTCTTCAGCTAGCAGACGCCTCTCGCACACATTTTGGATTATTATTTCTACACGCCCGCCCCTGCGCTGCCCTGCATTGTCTCTCAGCCGCATCTCGCTTTATAACCTCCGACACCTCGGAGGCTGTGCAACAATTCCCGCTGCCTTGCTGACGAAGCTGGAAGACAAAGCAAACACCGAGGCCGGCAACTTTTCTATTTTGTAGCAATCATGACTGTCCTCAAGGTACCTATACTGCTTCCCAGCAATTGCATGCCCCCCGAGTTGCGCTGACCGTGCCGCCTGCCAGGAACCCATCAACGTCCGACCAGCCAGCCAACAACGACACTCGTCTAGCACCATGGCCGGCTCACTCCCCAAGAACCGCCCACACTCGCACTCGATATCCGCCGGCAACCTGAACCCAGCGCATCGCGTAACACGTAGGAAGAGCATGAGCCAGACACCCGTCACCAATGTTGCGGCCATTGCGGCTGCAGCCAAGGGCATGTCGGGGGCGCCCCTGGATAGTAGTAGTAACGGATCGCGCCGCCCATCCAAGCCGACATCGCAGTTCAGGGGACCCAACATGGCACTCAACTCAACAATGGCATCGAGTATGCCTGGCAATGGCTCGCACTTCGGTCCCAGCAGTTATGGCGCGGCGGCGGCCAAGAGCGAGGCTCTGACAGACGGCCCGACACTCGCAACGATGCTGGAGCAGGACAAGGCCAACTCCAAGTCGCGGAACCGTCGCGCGAGCGAGGGCTCTCGTCTGTCCAAGGGCGACGGCAAGCGAAGTGGTAGCGATCTGAGATGTGAAAAATGTGGGAAAGGCTACAAGCACAGCAGCTGTCTGACCAAGCACCTGTTAGTAACCCTAAGCCGTAGATGGCCCTCCCACATACTTTCATGCCTCATGACGAATGCCCTTTCCTCACTCGCACGCACACTTAGACTGCAATGCTTCATGATAGTTCCGCGTTGACTTTTCTTCTAGTTGGGAGCACACGCCTGAATGGCAATACACATCTAAGCTGCTCATCTCCAAGCACCAGCAGGTGCAGCTCCTCGAAGCTGCCTCTGTCCTCGTCGCCATGAACAAGGAGAGCGACGGCGAAAACAGCGACCGCTCGTCTCCTCCGGCCTCGGGCTCGTCCGACCTGCGTGAGGAGTTGAGCTCCACTGAAACTACCCCGCCCCCACAACTCGACGACCATGCCGTAGGCTCTTACCCTCACTCGCATTTTGGCACCCGCTCCATCAAGCGTTACTCCGCCAACAGCTCTGCCTACAGCCAATCCTACCAGTCGACCGTCTTTTCCGACAACGGGAACGGCCACTTCCGCCAGTGGAGCAACGTGTCTGACCGCCCCACCACGTCAGGTACCTCGGTTGCCGGCTCATATCACGATGATGGCAATGACCATGCCGACCTTGCTGCCGCAGTTGGTTTGTTGAGCTGCTCCTACGGCACTCCCAAGACGGGACCAACTGCGCTCCCGCCGGACGTGCCGCCCGTGCCACCCCTACCAGCAAAGTATTTTGACTTGAACGCCCGTACCTTGTCCGGTAGCACCACCGTCCAAGCGCAGCAGTCGAGCATACGCAACAGCTACCGCCACAACAGCGAGAGCAAGGACGTCGACATGGACGACGACCACTTCGCCGATGAGGAGGACTACCGCTACTCCAACTCGCGCAGCCGCGGCCGCATCGATGAGGACGACGACGAGATTTTCGGAAGGATGGAGGAATAGAAGCCGTCTGCGCTCGCCCTTCATGCCTCCTTCACGACGTCCCGACCTCTCTCTTGCCATTTTTTTTCCATCATCATCTTATCTTTCCACCGTTCAATCCGGCTCTGTACCACAAACCAAATATACCAGCTATTAGCAATCTATCTCCGCGAAGGGAGAAAGACCCAGCCTGGACACCGAGGAGAGGGCCGTCGACCATCTCAACACCTACAGTCGACGACGCCCTTGAGGTTGAAGTTCAGGTCATCATATCCGAAACTGGACGTCTTTTCGCTTTGCGTCGAGAGCCTAGCACATGCAACAAATATCCCGGAGTTTCTCTTTTCGATTTATCGTCTCTTGCCTTTTCTTTTATCTCTTCAAACAACCTTCAGCCTATTTTAACAGAAACTCATATAACTTTGCCAACAACTTTCTCGACGACGACCAGGGTGTCTCGTATCCAACGTGGTTGCGCTGGACAGCGTGGCCTGGATGGATGGGGGAGGGGAGAGGACTTCCATGTGTATGGTTCAGCCATCTCTTGTATATTCGGCTGTGGAGAAACCTTTGAAATAACTTGAGAGAGGAGGAATCAAGATTGAATGCCAAACAAACATTTCAGTCCAAGGAAACAAGACCAACATTGGCTATGCCGTGAGTGAGGATTCGATGTGCTTCTTATTGCGGACCGGTATTGTGAACGCCCGAAACCCAAAGCTGACGAGAGATTCCAATATATATACCAAACCTTGATAGATTGAAAGATAAGAGGAAAGCGGGGGGGAAGGGGAGAGGGGAAAACGGTCCTTTTAGCATCTTGTTGAGTATCGCGTACCGCTGGAAGGCCTTAAACATCTCGCCGAGATTGAGCTGAGAGCTGAGGCGGGTGGGCTGATGAACACGGTCCAAAACAAAACGTGCTTTACCTTCCTCAGCTCATGGCTAGCTTGGAATCCAAGATCCGGGGCGCCGGGTTTGTTGTTAGTTCAACGCCTAGCTTCGCTATACGCGATGTTTTGGTTGGCTGGTCCAGATGGGTTGGGGTGGTTTGGCTTTCTCTACTCTGAGCATGTGCAATGTAGGAGGCCTTAGAGGTTTGTATGGAAGAGAACATGTTACGTAGGTTCGACATCATGTCAGGGTAGGTAGCGGGTGGCCGTCGGGTACGTTACCCCGCTGTCCTATACTATCCGGACTACAATAACAAACCATCGTGACATTTTGTTAAGAGCAAAGTACAGCGAGCGTAACAATCTGGATTTCCGCCACTCGGACTTCGTTGACCTGCTTTATATGTACAATCAGGATACAAGCAGCTGACGTACCACCCAACATCTCATCTGTCCTTCCGTCCCGGTTCCTCCACCAACGGCGCGTTAAATCGGGTAGATCTCTTGACGATCACAAATCCTACTGTGTAAGCGAGCCTCACAAAGTCGTGAATGTTAAGCAAGGCGGGTCTACAGCATCGCCGGCTTCCTGTATGGGTAACGTGAGCGCGTTTCAGTTGTATACGTGTGGAGATGAGGATCTTCGATCCGGATAGCTGGTGGGCGCGTGAGGACTTTGTTGGCTGGGCAGGTGGGGTATGAAGAGGCTGGAAGTGGGGTATCGTGATAAGTGAGGATGCGAGGACGCGTGGTTCGTTGTGGGTTGATTTGGTGTTGGTGTGGGCGGGTTCAGATCGTGATGTTTGGGGTGGGAGGTGGGAGGTTGGTTTGGGAAGGTATGACGACAGATGATCTGCGGTTTCGTGAGACTGACGCTGGAGGGGCATCATGAAGCGATCGAGGAGCTTCGTTCAGAGAACTATACATGGTTCGCCATAGTCTATGTATGTACTCTGGGTACTTCCCAGAAGGAGAGCCTTCTTCGTCTTATCCCGCCTTGCCTCGATATAGTATCATCTCGTCATACATATGCAACAACTTGCGAACACCCCACGGGAGGTGATCGATAGGGCGTTAAACCACGGTTAATTATAGGCAACAAATTTTGAGCCACTAGAGATCCCGACGCGACTTGCTTTGGTCATAGTGTCGATATAGGCCTCAAGAAAGTAGTAATCGTCCTTGGCATATCGCGCCATCATCTCCTCCATGGCCAAGTCTGCTAGTCGAAGCACCTGTTTTGGTCGGAGACATAGCACTTTTTTCAGGCGCTCTAGGGCTTGGTTGGGGCCTTCGGGAGCTTTGGCAGGTAGATCAAGAGTATAGGCTGTGACGTTGACGACAACACCTAGATACTCAAGGATACTATCGTCGATCGTGGAGCCCATTTCCGTGATGTACGAAAGAAGTGTATCTCTTATCAACGCCTCGAAATGCCCAATACCTAGCGGTAGGCTTGTCTCCTCTTCGTTAGGAAGGAAGTCGATGGTACACCGCAAAGTCAGTGACAGTAGCTTCTTGTGACTCGCAAAGTTTGCCTAGTCTCTTGAATCAGTCAAGACAATGACGAAAATTGGTGGAAGTGAACACACAAAGACTTTAGTGAGCCGTTTCTTGCTCTCAATACAAAACCTGGTTGACTTCCAATAATAGAGGTCATTCATGGAAACACCCAAGTGACGCAGAGCTGTCAGTGCTTCCAGACTGGAAAGCGAGGTGCCCCGTATACCGAAGAAGAGGAGTTCAAGACTCTGCGCGTGTGAGCGGAGGCTCGAGCAATCCACAAAGTACAAGTTTGGCCCGTACACAATGAGTTCTCGCAAGCAGCTTGTTCCTCCAATTAAGCGAATAATGTCATCTCCGGGTATGTAATTGGCGCTTGTGATCATTAATGCTCGTAGCTTCGGAAGCCTTCCTGGTTTGGTGCGAACGTGGAGATAAACGTCGTTCTTGCAGTCAATCATTGCAAGAGCGCGGAGCGCAGGAAACAAGGGCAGACCCACCAGCTTGGGGAGATGTTTGAAATCGTAGCCAAGAATAGTAAGCCTGGTAGCCATGGAGAATAAGATGCCCCGAGAAGATGGCTCACCTCTAGGTACTGTGAAGACATGGGGCGAAAGCTCGTTACCTTGGGCTGAGAACCAAAGATGGATACTCTCCAGGCTGGGTGATTTCTCAACAATAACACTGCTCATGTCATCGACGCTACTACTGATAGGCAGCTCTAACGTAATGTTGCGAAGGCTGCGAAATTGTAAATTCACCGGAAGAAAATTGGCAATGCTGATATCGTTGGATCGCATGAAACTTGGTAAGCTTACTTGTGCAAGGTGTTGCTGAGTTTCCATCAGTATGACCAGGTTTCTTGTGGACACCATGGATGAGGCAACGACAGGGTGTGTTAGACTATGGGAATGTTAGCAGCATCTATAGTGTGGTGCTAACTTTGTACCTAAAGGACAGCAACTGATGCCGGCGCAGAGCTGCAAGAAGAATACCAGTAACCACATCTCCGACATGATGCCGCTTCCTAGCATTTGCAGTTGACTGTCCTGAATCATGAACTTGGAGATGCCGAACATGTCGTAGACCGTTGCCAGAAGCAAGGTTTTTCCAAGTGGTCATTGCCGTGACCGGATCAGTTTTAATAAAGATGTGATGATAAGCCACCGGGTATGCAATTTCCAAGAGGTGTATGCACGTCTTCGCTATGCTGAGCTGATCGCACTGGACTAACTGCAATTGACGCATCAGCATAGAAGGGCAAATGAGCCAGAGACACTTACTTCAGCCAAAATGTGCTTGAGCATCTCGTACGGCAAGCGCAGTATGTGGCAGTGTGTGCCATCTGGCGGAGGCTCCATTGTCGCTCTAGCGGATTTCGCGTATCGAAGCTTCAGCTGTGGTGGTTATGATTAAGGGAACTCGAAGAAGGTGATAGATGGTGTTTGTACGAGAGCGGCCATGGTGCCTTCCGTGAACACGAAGTCACGAGATGACGCGTGTCTCCGTTCCTTCCTCCATGTGCAACCGCTATCTGAAAGTTTTGCCCGAGCTCGTTGCAGAAAGGGAAGCGGCGTAGGAGGTGAAGTGAAGGTGAGAGATGACCTATTCAGGTAGACTTCCAGGTAATTTACAGTGTCCACCTTATGGTGATGCAAGTCTTGAAGTTGGCTGTTATCAATTGATTGCGTGTTAAAGAATTGGCAACTTGTAGTCCTTTCTGATTGTACGTGTCACTCAGCATCGTGCCTTCAAGATTGAAACAAGGTGGCAGCCTACGCAGTAATACGCGAGACGGAGATCAACCAACAGTCGAACGTAGCAAACAGTACAAAGAGCCAGGTAGCGCTTGACTAAAGGTCGAGGCTTTACCTACCGTGATATGTTCAGAGACCAACAATCCTACGAAACTACCCGAGAGAGCTGAAGGTCTTGTCTCTAGTCCATTGTAGCACTCAAATATTTCCGGAGTTATTTTCTGTTGCGTGCCGCTGTGTAACGTGCAACGTGCAGGGTGCAGGAAGCATATGCAGGATTGTGCAAAAGAGGTCCATCCGAGTGTGTCACGGATCTGGTAGACGCGTTCTTGATGATAGCGTGCAGACTGAGTAAAAGATATCGCTCAATCATGGTGGTGTTGAAATGTTGTGGGGATGGGAATATATGTGGCTTGAAGGGCATGGCGTCACTCACGACCCTGCAGATCCGCACGGTGCGGCTTCATCGGCCCTTACAACATTGCGATTCAACACATGCCAGACAACTCGATGCCCTCCGACGAGCGTTGACCCACCTTCTGCTCCAATGCACCCGGCCGTCTCCATACTTGCCGATAATGTCGTCAAATACCACCACCTGCTTGCCCCGCTGCTCTACACCGTCCTCGCGGCCGTCGCAAACGTCCACACGCCGGTCCAGCATTCGCTTCTCATAACGACGATATCATGGCTCATAGTATGGGTACCGACGGTGTTCTGGGTGGGGATATATTCAAACAGCGATAGAGCCAAGCGGAAGACGAGCTGGCTTGCTGGCGCTCTGCTAGGCCTGTCTGCAATATGCGACCGCGCGGCATGCGACAAGCAGGGCATTTGGGCGACAAAGGTACTTTCAGCGAGGAGTAGCATCATCACACACGTCTAACTGTACCCATAGGCCCTTGTACCTCTCTTTACCGTCCTCTTCTCCGAGAATGAACTGCTCGCAAAGCATCTCGTCCTACCCACATTCACCATCCTCGATGGCCCTGCAGCCGAGACCAAGACCTCTCCGGACCGACAGCTTCATAACGAATCACATGGAATACTGGCAGTTCTGACGGTATCTGCGAGCGTTGTTCTTGGCGTCTACACGGTTCCCACGACTGTCTCGCTCGGTCTCAGTAGTGCCATCTTTGCTGCCACAGGCCTCGTCCTGTTCGAGTCCACAATAAGAGCCGCCACAGAGGAGAGCGATGGTAGCCGGCGTGGGCCTATGTCTGCGAATGGAAATATCCTGAGGCGCGCCTCAATAAGCGGCAGTTTGAGGGCGCAGCGACTCGCTGCGCTTAGAGACCTCGCCGTGGCCATTGCTGTCGTGTGCGGCATCGCATCTATCCTTACCGAATCTTCATTGACCGCAAGTACAATCTCTTGGGAGCCTGTATACAGAGAGTATGACCGAGAATGGAGGGATGTGCATAATCTCCGCATCCTCATGCGATTCCTCTGGATGTTGCCCGTTCAATCCATTGTAAATGTTCTTGTCTTTGTTCTGGTACGTATGAGCTTCTTATCAGCTGTTGAGATCTTCTCGTACCTCTCTGCTATTACTGAACATGAGCCCGGCCTACTATACCTGCTCTTGCACTTCTCTCCGATTTTCACCTAGCCTCTGCTTTCAAATTTTAGAGCTAAAGATGTAGCTTTTATTCTCAGCGCGTTGCTAATAAATTAAACTAACTCGGTGGTAGATCTCCCAATACGGCGCTGTACATACATCTCTGTTGGCCGTGTTTTCACATCTTGCTGCGAAACTACACTTTGCACCGACTTTTTCCACCATTTTGTTTACGTCCATCTACGGTGTGGCAGCACTGGTATACTTCTTCGAGTCGCCTGATTCCCCCCTGATGATGGATACACGACGCTCTATGCGATTACGACGCTTCATCTTCGTAGTCCTGGCGTTTGCAGTTGGATCTTTACTTCTTGGACGTTTGAATGGACCACAAACTTATCGACCTGTCGCTGATGGTGTAGTCACTAACATTCCGTTTTACCCACCTGAGAAACCACTTGGTCCAATGCCGATAGATGCAAGCAAAGGTCATCCGGCTGCGCAATTGATCGACGCTGCAGAGGCAGATTTCCAAAGCACCCTCAACCGGCAATCAAAGTCCCTTACCGATGCAGTTCGCGAATACCGCCGCAGAAATGGAATACCGCCTCCTCCTCACTTTGATAAGTGGTACGAATTCGCGACACGGAATGGAGTCGTCATGATAGATGAGTACGACACCATCAATGAGATGCTGCTACCGTTCTGGGCACTCAAGCCGTCCACCATCCGCTCGCGCATCGCGAACGCATTAGGCCACGAGGATAGCTCACTGCTTGCGATTGCGGTACGTCATGGGGCTATAGAGAACTTTCAAGGTGGCGACGAATGGCAACAACAAGCTACGATTGGCATGATGAAACAATTTGTGCAATATCTGCCTGATATGGATCTAGGATTCAACTTACATGACGAACCGCGAGTTATCGTACCCAACAATCTCATGTCATCGATGGTGGCAAAGGTGAGAGATGAGATCCTACCTCGCACTGCGAAGAACACTACCCCACGCAATGCCTTTTCAACTCGTCCCGAAGACCTCAGTGACGGCACACGATTTGCCGAAGTTAGTACGACCAAGTTCAATCGCTTTGCGCATCAGCAGACATGGACCCATTCGCGGTTATCATGTTCTCCTGGAAGTCAGGCCCAGACTTTCGAAGACTACGCCGCCGACAATCTCACGGCGTATGCTACCAGCGACCTTGGCTTTATCTACAACGCGACTGCCTTTTCTGATATCTGTAACTCCCCTTCATTCTCCTCAACATACGGATTCTTCGAACGACCCAATGCCTTCAGCATCATCCACGAACTCACACCCATTTTCTCGCAATCGAAGATCTCCAGCTTCCAAGACATCCTGTATCCAAGTCCTTGGTACTGGATAGGCAAAGTAGGCTACGATGAGACCCACGACACGACATGGGAGAACAAGACAAACAGTCTTTACTGGCGCGGCTCCACAACAGGAGGCTTCAGCCGCAACGGCGGCTGGCGACGTCAACATCGCCAACACGTAGTCCAACGCCTCAACGCTCCAGACACCGCCAAAATTCTCGAACCTGTCTCCACGTCATCCGCTGCGAACAGCCCCTCCACCTCCTACGCAGTGACGGAAATCGACCGCCGCGCCCTCAAAAACCTCATCGACGTCCACTTCTCCCACATTGGCCAATGCGACCCAGGTGACTGCGATGCACAACAAGAATTCTTCGACGTGACCGAACGCGTCGACGGACAGGATGCATGGTACTACAAGCATCTCCTCGACATGGACGGCAATGCCTTTTCGGGTCGGTTCTACAGCTTTCTTAAAAGCCGGTCTTTAACCTACAAAATGGCGTTGTTCCGTGAATGGCATGCAGAGTGGCTACGGCCTTGGGTTCATTACATCCCTCTATCTCTCCGCGGCGACGAACATCTCGATCTTGTGAGATGGTTTTCGGGAGCGAAAGTGATTGATGACGATGGTGATGGGAAGGCGGAGAGAAGTGATGCTGATGGAGGGAAGAAGGGCGGCAATGGCGATAGTGAGGGGGAGAGGAAGGCGAGGGTTATTGCGAAAAGGAGTTCTGAGTGGCATGACAGAGTGTTGAGAAATGTAGACTTTGAGGTTTGGTTTTTCAGATTGTTGTTAGAGTATGGGCGGGTAGTGGATGATAGGAGGGAGGAAATTGGGTTCCCGGGGCCGTAGTCAAGTAAGAGGAAGTAGAAAAGGATGGCATATATGGCTGTGGTGCTTCTGCTTGTAGATAGACGGTTGTGCAAAAGGCGGGGTTTCTTCTTTCTATACTTGCTGGTGATCATGTATGCGAAGATTGGTGTGTGCGCCTGATAGGCGAGAGGTGTGGTATACCATCAGTGAGTAGCTTTGGTTTGCCTCGCTGCTCGTGAGGCGTGCATGTTGAAGGCGACGTTGAATTCGTGTAAATGGAAAGTAGTGACAGCGTTGCTAAATGAAAACCTGACCCTCCTTGAGTCAACTACTCTTCTGTCCGACAACGCCTTTGATTTCGTGAAAAATTACCCATCGTGTTCTGTCAATTATCCTCGCACGCACGCACGATACCGCTTAATGCTCTCTCTTGTTTACCTTGACGCCATACTCGGAATAGAACTTGCATTGCGAGTTGAAGACAAAACTAGAAGTGTCTTCTACGAAGACATTGCATCCGTATGTCTCCGCGTTGGGCGGAGTATACACTACCTGTGGTTAGCGAAGGACAGCTATGTAAGCATGAGAGAAGGTGCATACAATGTATTGATACCGCGTACTCTGTAGGGTGTGGGTTCGAGATGCAATGCACGCCAAGGGTGTCCGCCATATACGTGACCTCATTCTCCTTATAAGTAATCTCATGGATCTTCGTCATTGGGCGTTGGTTCTCGACGTCCTCATCGGTGGGAGTGGCGAATCGAGTCTCAGTGAGGCTTCCCTTGAGGACTTTCATGATGCAGTGCGCTTTTGCATGGCTGCGCGATTGTTAGCTTCTACTTCACGGGATCATAGTGCAGAGGCGCATATGTTGGAATAAGCAGAACATCGACGTTGGATGTCAGAAGTTGATGTATTATCGAAATGTCGTCTTACCGGCGTGTCTCCTGCTGACACATCGATCAATTGTAGATCGGCGAACGGAGTCGCTTCATCGTGCAGGAGACTGAAGCCTTTGAGTATTGATCGAAGCCGGAAATGTTGTGATGTCGGACACTAGAGTCAATCAACCGCAAAGATGTAATAACTTACTCATGAATCGGGCTTTTCTTGCCAGGACCCCATACCAGAATGAGCTGTTCGATTAGTTATCCTCTCTAATCGACCTAGCGGGAGTGGAGACTGTACCAGGTTGCTCTTTCCGTTGCCCTTGTCAACAACGTTCCGTGTATATGGGAGGTGCTCTGACGGGAAGAAGTACTTCTTCCACTCTGACTCTTCTGATATGTAGGCCTTCATCAGTTCTTGAAGCTCATTCTCATCTACATCTTCAGAGTCGATGCCGTTGCTGGGACCGAGCACGTCGTTGATCGCTTGGACGAGTGAGTGGAAACCATCAAGCTCAGTGTTGCGATTGATCATTATGGCGATAGTGGTAGCTGATGACTGTCTGCGGCGAGTGTGTTGTCGATAGTTATTGGTTTCCCGATACTATTTGAAGACGCCGATCAAGAGAGGTCAGAGCGTAGAGATAAGATAGAGAGCCTTTGTATAGAAAGGACGGAAGGGACAACAGGTCGTGGTTGCAGCCCTTCAAGACTGCTTGTGCCGGAAAGGCTTGCTTCATTATGTAACAATCTGCGCGTTCTAAGCTTGTGATATGTGGATCCGAGTCGGTCAGCAGAGTTCGGCGACATGTGATGCACCTCATATGCTGCATTCAGAGTGTTGAATGTAGTCCCCGATACGAAGAGCCCGAAAGCGGCTTCTATCGGGCATCTCAGCTTTGTGAAGGCCGGTGAGGGAAGCATGCATGGAAGCCACAATGGAAGGGTGCTGCATATGACGCTAACCACATCGAGTGGCGGTGGAACTTTCTGCCAGAATCCGTGCCCCGCTTCGTCATTGGCGGCGTGCTTTGCATCAAAATTGTGAACAACATCATCGCCTCTACACCTACCCAGATCAAGTCAACAGACACGATAACACAAAATGGCGACTACAGTGGATAAGGCGAGTATATATCTTCGGCATATATCATCGAACCGCATGCTAACATCATGGGCAGATCAAAGACATCGAGGCCGAAGTAGGACACTCCCCACAATACGCGATCATACCACGATAACTTACACGAAACGTAGATGGCCAAGACCCAGAAGAACAAGGCGACATCCTTTCATCTTGGTACGGCTTCGGAACCGAACATGCATGTTGACATGCTTATACATGAACAGGGCAACTGAAGGCAAAGCTCGCTAAGCTCAAGAGGGAGCTACTCGAGCCTTCTGGTGGCGGCGGTGGCGGTGGTGTGGGATTCGATGTTGCTAGGACTGGTGTTGCCAGTGTTGGTTTCATTGGATTTCCATCGGTCGGAAAGAGTACGCTCATGAGCAGATTGACCGGCCAGCACTCTGAAGCTGCTGCGTATGAGTTCACAACAGTGGGTTGACCGTGTTCGTCGCAATGATGAGCGCTGACAGTTTGCAGCTTACTACCGTACCCGGTCAAGTCATGTACAACGGAGCGAAGATCCAGATTCTCGATCTTCCCGGTATCATTCAAGGTGCGAAGGATGGCAAAGGTCGTGGTCGACAGGTTATCGCAGTCGCGAAGACATGCCATCTCATCTTTATTGTTCTGGACGTCAACAAGCCTCTTACCGACAAGCGCGTCATTGAGAACGAATTGGAGGGCTTCGGTATTCGAATCAACAAGAGTCCACCAAACATTGTGCTCAAGAAGAAGGACAAGGGTGGCATCAACATCACAGCGACAGTTCCGCTGACGCACATCGACCACGGCGAAATCAAGGCTGTGTTGAACGAGTACCGTATGGCAAACGCGGATGTCGCTATTCGATGCGACGCAACAGTCGACGATCTGATCGATGTTATTGAGGCCAAAGGACGAAGCTACATCCCCGTCATCTATGCATTGAACAAGATTGATGCCATCAGTATCGAGGAGCTTGACCTGCTCTACCGGATCCCCAATGCTTGTCCCATTAGTTCCGAACACGGTTGGAACATCGATGAGCTCCTGGAGCAGATGTGGGAAAAGTTGAATCTCGTCCGTGTCTATACCAAGCCCAAGGGCAAGATGCCAGATTACTCTGCCCCAGTCGTATTGCGATCAACAGCCTGCACCATTGAAGACTTCGTATGTCTCTCCCCCCTCATTTTAAAAGTCCCACGCTAACGAATTGGCAGTGTAATTCCATCCACAAGACGATTGTGGACAACTTTAAGCACGCTATTGTTTACGGAAAGTCATGCAAGCATCAACCCCAACGTGTGGGACTGTCTCACGAGCTTGCCGACGAAGATATTGGTACGTATCCTAGTATCACCATCCTGAATGGATAGCATGAGCTCACATATGGACCAGTCACCATTGTCAAGCGCTAGATAAGGTCTTATGATCATGAGATATGACGGGCGTTATGGATCCGGATTTGGGAAAAGTGAGTAGAGCAGAAGGGCCTTTTGGATGGCTGAACATGTCTCACTGCGATACCAATACCAGGTCGCAGCATTAAGATGACGAACAGAGCGAGGCTTGGAGCCGATCTCGCAGCCTGGATTGGCCGAGGGCTCGTTCCAGTAGCACCGCGGACGACATCAGGACGACACTAGTTGCGGGCAACGCAGCTTACGGCGCGGATCGTACTTGCCAATCGCCAATCCTCGAGGGCTGGTGGCGGTCCGATACCGTCCGCGAGCTATCAATAACAGACCTTGTTCTCTTACCAAAGAGGCGTCGCCCAAGACACTGCTGTCGTCGCCTCGGAGCGTTATGGTAATGGCGCCGCTGGTGTTATTGGAACGGTCTCAGCTACCAGCATTTGTTTTTATTCCATATTTGCTTCGGAATTTGATGGATTCAGATCAGCATTGTCTGGCCCATTTTTTGGAGCATCGGTTTTCCTTATTGGTCTACTAACGGGCGCAGCGGTCGATTCGGAGAAATCAGCAGGGGTCAGTTGCGCTGGCGACTCAGAAGGCACGCTGTCAGTCGGGCGCTAAATCATTATCGCTCCCGAGACCTGAGTGGCTGGTCGGCAAAACCTCGATTTTCCATGGGCGCGATTATTGCAGCTTTCCGAAAGCGTTTCAGCCGTCGACACTTTCTGTCTCTCCTTTATGCACAGCCGATGATTGACGTGCTGCCCCTGCCGTGGGAATCGCCACCACCTCGCGTACCTGAGCAGCACTGAATCGGCTCCCACTGTTTCGCGCCACGAGCGTACGGCAACGGTCAGGATTTACTGCGCTGGGCGCACGAGGCGAAGCCAATATGGCGCTCCCACTCAGACCATGTCTCATTCGGGAAGCGTCAGATTAGCCGGCTGCAGACGTGCTCAGCGGTGCGAGGGCCCTGATGGGATGATCCTACCCGGCCGCCTTGACATCCCATTTGCCCTTGCTAGCAGTCAGGCGTCGAGGCATGCACTTGCGAGCTAGCTAGGCGGCCGCATAATTCTGGCCCGCGCTGTCCTAGGGGCGCATCCCCGATGAGAGACCCGCACACGCTAAGCCCAACGTTGTCGCTCGCGTTCAAGTCGCTTGGCCGAATGGCGACAAGGATCATAGAGCACACGCCAGGCTTGCCGGCAAGCTTGGGCACGAAACAAACAGGGCTCCTCTCCCGCCAGCTGCAGTAGGCCGCGCCCGCATCGCACAGCCAGGGCCTGTTACCAGTGTCCCCAGACTTATCCTCAAGTACGCGCTGCAGGCCCGCCGCGCCAGGCTTTCCCTGCAGTTTCAATTCTCCATCTGAGCCCACTGCTTTGCCGCGCTGCTTTATACCTATATGTTTTGACCTCTGTCATACCCAGCGCCTTTTGTCAGCGCTACCCCCGCTAAGCAGGTACTTGACCTGTTGCTGTTTCGCCTCAGGAACCAAAATCTCGTCTCATGCATGCATGCGCTCGGCCGCTCTGAGGTCACCTACGCCGCCCAGGTATAGCAACACCAAGTACAGATGCATATGCCCGTCTGACGCCCTACTTTGCTCTGCGTCTAACACGAACACTCGTTCTCACGCTCGCACGGATACACCGCATCTATACGTTTCCTGCAATCCGACATGAGCCAATTCCAAATGGACCACGAGCACCAACACCACCACCAGGAACCTTTCGAGGATCATCATTCTGGATGGCATGGGGATAACGGATACAACCCACATCACCAGTCTCCAGTTCAAGACTACAATGGCTTCAACAATTTTGCGCCGCTACCAATGGAACCCATCTACGGGACCGGCATGCATCCACCACACCAAACGCACCCGACACCGAGGACTACACATCCACAGCTGCAGCCTTTGATCATGCCACAGATGCCACAATGGCCAAGTATGCTCACCAGCCAATCCACTTATCAAGCTTCACTGTTTCCTTCAGCCCCACTACCGATAACGCCGGCATCAGCAACTCCAGTCTCAGCAAGCTCAACTCACTCCCGTACTTCATCGACACCACGGAAAACTCTTACCGACTCGGACCGGAGACGTATGTGCCAATACCACGAGGAGAATCCTACTGTCAAGCAAACGGAAATTGGAGGTATGCCACTATGATGCACCTAGCCACACGGATCGTTCACTAACGTAACCCTAGCAATGTTCGGTGTAGAGCGAAGGTACCACTGCATATGCATCATGTCTCTTACCGTGCTGACTTTTGAGTAGTACCGTCTCGAAGGTGTTGCGCCAGAAGGAGAAGTACCTGTACCAGGACGACGGCAGCCGATCACCCATAAAAAGATCGAAAGGCAAATTCCCAGATATCGAACGAGCCCTATCCAACTGGGCAAGGAACCATCAAAGACAAGGACTACCACTGTCAGATGCCATTATTCGAGAGAAGGCCCGCTTCTTCGCTCAGACTGTTGGGAACTCCGAGAGTCATCTCAAGGCGAATAGTACGAGCTGGCTGGAAAAGTTCAAGCAAAAGAATCATCTCATGGGAGCAAGGGGAAGAAAGGGCTCGTTAGCAGAAGAGTCGGAGGGAACTTCTAATCCGCCATCGAACGCGCACACGCCGGGGGCTATCTCGCCTACCTCACCTGGCGGGGTATCGCCTGCAACCACAACCATGAAAGCCAAGAAGAGCCAGGAAAATCTCAAGACAGAAAGCCCTGACACATACGACTTCTCGAACCATCGTCGACCGTTCCATTCACAAAGCAGCACTTCCTTATCAAGCGTATTTACAGATACAGCTACCAGCCCTACGTCGCTGTCGTCGCCATTCTTCACACCCGATTCAGCATGTGGACCAAGCCCCTTCGTAGGCAACCGCCAGCCTGCTAGTGGGCAGCCAGGGAGCAACAACTTCCAGCGGCCCCGAAGCCAGACCTTTCCTATGCTTGTAGGCGTTGAGCAATATATGTCACCGCCGGGCTCATCTGATGCGCTGACTCCAAAATACGTCAGCAGCGGTACCCTCGATTCTCCTATGACCGAGATGCCTACCGCGCTTCCGGCTATTGATGAGGGAATGTCGCTCTCACCAACTCAGGTTCCTAATTCAATGCAGCCCCCTCCAGTGCCTGGTGCCAGTCAAATTGATGACAAAGGGTCATCCGCCGACTCATCGCCTATTACGCCATCCCAAGAAGAAGCCGCTCGCGCATTAGAGCTGGTTATGAATTTCTTCCAGTCACAGAACGCCGGTTTTGTCGTAGAGCCACAAGAGTATGTTACCATCGGCAAACTGATGGAGAAGCTACGAATCAAGCGCAGCTCCGAAAGCCTTCCTTCCGAGATGCGACGTGTGTCAGAGCCCACCTTCGCTACGTCCAAACTCGAAAGCGTGGACGCAATCCATTAGCGACCGCATATGTTACCTCACTCAATGTCGGCTCCACCTTGTGTCTCCTGCCACAGCGCGTATACGCTTACGACTGCTTTTCTTCCTGTGGAACGATATGTCTGAATGGCTTGGTTTCGGAGAGCAAGTCTGCACGACACTCCTGGGTCATGATACCAGGATCAAGAACCCATCCGCATGGCCAGCGTTACACAATGCAGGCACTATTTGGATTTTCTTTCATTGTTGCATCTCGCTACATTCTCGTACCAGCATCACTAGCATTGCTTCTATTTCTCACTATTCCTTCATTGACTTTGACTATCTATTCGTCTATTCCCTTGCTCGACGAACCACTATACCCCCCTTTAGCAGCGCATAGCAGCCGACCGTTTCCGAATTTATTCCCTTACCTAAAAGGAAGACTGTAACTGCTCACGCGGGCCACTATTTTGTACGCTTCACTTTGTTGCTTTTCAACGTCGATTTTACATTCGCCTGGAGGCCCTCATACGTTGCATCGAGCTGAAACGGAGCGATGGGTCTCGTACGCGCTACTGTATACCTATATGCGGGCTTCTGATATAGTTACCGACCCTTGCCGAAAGATCGGCTTAACGAAAGGGTCAATCACGCTTGAAATGCTATTAATGCTCAATACTACTACACGACTGTGCTTCTGATTTTACTAGTCATTTTGCCTTGCTCATGATCTGATCTTTCCCGAACGTAGCCTTTTGCTGATGGAGCACGAGTGACACTTCAATGATCGGCAAGGATCTGGCTCATGAACAGATGGTACTTGCCGCTTTAAGCCCCGTGACGGCGCTTTCGGCATCGTATTGCAATACCGTTATAGAAGGGATGTGCAACAAAGTTTGGGCAAAGCCCGGCGAAAAACAACATTGACCTTCGGAAAATACCTTGCCGACAGCATGCCGATCTCAAAAAGCAGTATTCGTTCGTTCCAGCTTCTGCATCCTAGATACTGCCAAAACGTGAATTGCATGTGAGACTTCCAGGTTCATTCGGCAACATTGATCCCCTTCCCCGCCTTTGCATGGAGCCCAGAGCTCGGACCATTCCATTTGCACCTTGCACATCCTTGATGCATACAAAAGTACATTCATATGTCCATCGCGCCAGCAATCGAAATGCATAAAGATCGATGACGAGCATCGCAGACCAGCACATAGCACAGATCTCAAACTGTTGGGCCTGATCTAGATGCCCCCAAGCGTGAGGCGTTCCCGTCTTCCCCGAGCGCGCGCCATACTCAGCTGGAATCTTTGCGCGTTCGTTCTTGTCGAAGGGCTGTCCCGATCTGGATCAGGGATGAGACGAGAGCTCAGAGAAGCGAGGATTGGCGTTGACACCGGCCATCAGTAAGGTGGTTTGGCAAGGCAATCGACGTTAAGGCGCCCGAAACCCTGTCATGCCGCGGAGGCGGAGTGTGGCTGCACTAGACTTTTCGCTGGCTGAGGTGAGCTTAGGCCTGAGAAGACACAGTCATGCGAGTCCAGCTTCCAGCCATGCTGTGAGTCGTTTAGGGGAAGAAGCCATATCCGGAATTAATCAAATGGTGATTAGTTCGAAATGTCCTTGCTGAATGGTGGTAAAGCCAGTTGGAGCATATTGAACACTTCCGGTGAAAACCAGTGTTTCCACGTTTCGAGCTATTTTACTTCTTTCACAAAGCCGTTACTTTTGCATTACGGGTATTATGCAGCCCGTTTGATTCTTACCCTGCGTTCCGTTATCGAAAAAGCAAGAGCAAAGCCAGTTGGCGTGCAACGCCACTTTAGTTCCAGTTCCCCTAGCCGCAAAAAGAAGCAAGAAGACAATGTCGTCGGTTTCCCCACCACCAAATCTTCGGGCATCCTTGCAGGTACTACTATATTGGTACTTTTTCTCTCCCGTGTGATGTCAAACTCCTCGTCTTCTGCTTTCTTTTTTGTTTTCTGCGTTACATTACTGTTCGGTACGGTCCCGGTTCGGACCGCAACCGTGCTCGTTCACTGGCTTACACGTTGTTCAAATGCCGGATGTACTTCCTGCGAAGGTCGCAGTTGCAGTAGCAGCCTTGCGCATTGTGCAGTTGATCCAGACAGCAAAAGAAAAGGAGCAGAGCCCGACGCGTGTTACGTACATGTCAGAGTATAAACAAGCAAAGTAAGAGTAGAATGAAGGACGCGCAATGGTAGATCTGTACTTGGTTGTCGCAATCTCACTATGTTCGGCCCTTTTCTTCTAAGCTCTCCCCAAGTCGTTAGTTGCGGTGTTGCGCGCAACGGCTAGACCGTCATCAGCATCGTATCCCGCAACGCGATTGCGAAAGCCTCCCTTCGATCGGTGAAGCACTGCGTTACCTATCATCGGCCCCCCGGATCCGGGCGCCGGTCCAGTCGTAGGTCAAATTTAGAAAGGCCGAAAGGCTCGTAGTACCTTCGTATTCGGGCCTACGTCAAGCAGTGGTGGCAGGTTGTAGTGCAAGAAGCTAGGAAACCTACACCCGAAAGTCAATTGTCACGTTAAACTGCTAGCTCTTGACTTTATTTCTTTCCTTGATTCGAATCTTCTGCCCAATGATGTATGGGGCTGACCCTTTTCTCTTCCGCTAATTATTGTGTATGCACAATGTGCTGGCGATAAGCATGGAAATGTCATTGCCATGTTGGTTGTCTGGTCATGCGGTGCCCTGCATTAGGTGGTCCACGTGATTGATATCTGATGCTGTGTAACGCGGTACGGACCGGCTAGGCAAGAGAGGGACGTGGTGCACAGGTGATCACCAAATTATCTGGTGTAAGGTGTTCGCGACAACGTTGTACCAACACGCGAACTTGCTTCTAATTTGCTCATAATACTGCGCGCAGCTGGTCGGGCTATCTGTTCGATGTTGAGGGCTAGTGTCACGTGCGACAAGGTGGCTTGTGACAATTGTATCAATGTCTAACGACACTGCATGACAGGATTGAGTAACATTGCTTGGGTGGTCAACTTGCATGAGATAGCCATTTGTATCGCTATGAACAGTCAACAGTACAACGCATCCGCCCGCCGTTGACGTACCCGCTAATCTTGCACTTCCTGTCAGATGCACTCATCCGTCGCTCCAGAAGTGTTCTTCAGTTCCCAACACGGGCCGATGCATAAATTGGTGTTGCAGGCACCTCCGTTGCCGAACAGGCCGTGGCTTCGGAGTCATGTAGTATTGGCATTAATCATGATGTGTTGCGATCTTCAGTTGCTATCATTCTGACAACATCTTCATGCGCCCAGTAGCAAGCGAACCTCTCATCCTTTCCTCATACTGCGCTTCACTTAGGCTGAGCGTTGGGAACGACTCAAACTATCGATGCGCCTACCGCTTCATCCAGACCAGCTGAAGCGAATATGCCGTACGCCTCACTATTGAGTCTTCATGCCTTACGCAGGATGACGATAGTTCGGTACCATGTAATGATTGCCCACTACGGGTGATGTTTTGCATGTTTGAGTCAGTCCCACCCGCTGCCGTCCCTGCACTAACCTTCCGAGCTCTTTTAACCGTTGAAACATGGGTCGATATTCGCAATATTGATGCCCATTGCAACCCCTGATGTACCCTCGCTTGATACCAAACCATGGTAGATGCTGGATCGACGTGGCTGGGGTTGATGGCATTGTCGCTAGGGATCCTGACGCACTTGCCCCGGACCCCGTGCGGTTCAGGAACAGGCGATGTCGCATCTTGTCAAATGCTGAGTAGCGAGCGCTGCTAGGGTCATGATTCTTTCGCGTTGCGCATCCCGCGGCATCGTGAACTAGGTCCGTGTAGGGGTTCCTCGCCTTGCTTCTAGAGTTCAGAGGATTAAAGTTTCAACGGTCATCCAGGGTAGCGAGTCAGTCGAGAACCCAGCATCAGCGACAGTGGTGTCTCGAAGCAGGCAATAAGCGGCGACCTGAATCCTACGCACGCGCCCACAAAGCGCGCGTTATTCGATAGGATCAGAAAGAATAAAATCCTCAAGACGCAGAACAACTGTGCCGCAAAGGAAGCAGAGAAGGCTGACTCGATCGTCGTTATGTTCCGCGCAATTGCTGCCCAACCGAATCTTGAAACACCTTAGCGGCAGGCTGTTCAGGAACGTGTTGCCAACTTGTTAGGAACCGCAACCCTTGCGGAAGCGATAACAGATAGACGGCTACGGGCTGGGGGCGCATGCGGGGTAACCTTTTGACACTTTAAACTTCTCAGCCCACCCTCGCTTCTGCGATGTTCACTTACTGAAACCCCACGGTTGATACATCGCCTAAGTGAGGCTGAGTTATATTTGACCTCGAAACATGGGTTCGCACGGAGCTGCCGACAGCGAGCACGGCGGTAAACATGATCCGCAGTCATGATCGTTCCCGAACCAAGTTTCTTATCATATCTCGCTAGGTGGGGGCTTGAATGCAGGAGGAAGCGGGGCTTAGACAGGTTCATTTTGATACGTGAAGGTGTATTGGAGCTCGGAGCGCTACTTTAGATGAACCAAGTGCAAGGACGACCCAACGTCGTCTAAATTCTGCGATGCTCGTAAGGACCGCGCGGTAGGTATCGCAGTGTAAACCATTGTCAAGATTGTAACGGAGCTGCGCACCTAGTCATTCCGTATTTGACTAATCATACTCCTCTGCCACACGACGCTCTGGCCTCGCATGTCGCCTGTCAACCAATATCCTTCTCCAAAGCCTCCCGGTTGTATGCGATTTATCCCCGCGCATATGTATACACCACACGGACCGTCGCGCTCACCGAGCGACATGCAGATTGTCCAAGCCTCCCATTCGCACATGGTGAACTTGAGTTGTATTTTTCCTGCCGCGTACAACACTTCCAAGATTGAGACCTGCAGCGTTCGTGATGGGGCCAGCTGGACTAAGCAATGGCTTGAAGGAAGACGTGCACTGCGGGGCACCTCGTGGCACTTTCTCTGTAGTTTCCGTCCGGCAATATCCCAATTAGTCAGGTGCTCGTCACAGCATGCAGCCAG